ATAATAATAACTTTAATATTTCTCTTAAGTTTATTTTACTACTTTATTTTAAATTAGTACTTCGCCCTAAGCTATTTTTCTGGACGGGAGGGAAATGGGGAATGGGGTGGTTTTCACTGGAAAAGGGAAAAGTGTGTAGCTGGAGGAAACATTCAGAATAAAAGAAGGGATTGTTCTTTTATTTAAGACTTCTCATACGTTCTTTTAATTGATATGCTAATAAACCAGTAATGTGATTGGATATCCAATGATGATGACCTAATTATTTAAGGAAAACTTTTTGATTAAATATAAAAAAGATATTTTAGAAGGTGCAATTTAAAAAATAATCATTAACACTCAAATTTATGAATGTCACTAGCCTTAAAATCTCAGGGGTTCAAAAATATATTTTTTTAATTATCCAAAATTACCTTTTTTTTAATGGTATAAAAATTTGTCTTAAATTTTTAGAGGGCTCTTCAAATTTGCCCTTGTGCCCCCTCCCTCACTCCTAATGACAATACAGCCAAAATTTATTTTTCAAAACCTTTTATTATTAAAAATGACAATATTAAATGAACAAAATATAATTTTATTATTTATTATAATATATGGGGGATATAAAATAATATAACTATAATTTATCTATAATATCATTATATTCGCCCAGCTATTTAAAATTTGTAAAGGGTTAACTGATGCTATTCTGTATCATTATGATTCATATAATAATTTTGGGCGGATATTCGTATCAGCCCACAGCATCCCTGGATGACAACGACGAAGTCATTAGAAAAGATATACACTGGTTGCTAATAGTTGATGCTTACAGTAAGTTTTCTATAATTGTGCCGATTAAATCAGTAACTGATGAGGTTATGATCAAAGAATTGCTGAAAATGATAAGCTTATTTCGTATACCAGAACAAATAGTCGGATAATGGCTAAAACTTTACAAGTCAATTGCTTAAAAATTTTTGTGGGGACCACGACATACATAACCAGTTTACTTCAGCCCACCATAAATAGTCCAATGGGAAAGTCTAAAGGATGGTCAGAACTTTCAAAATGCACATGAAAAGGTGTATTGAACAAAATATTATAGATTTAGATATTGCGCTAAAATTTTTTTATTTAATTACAGAAACACTTAATAGTACGATAGGCATTCCTCGAAGAAAATTAATGTTCAATCATGATATGAGAACTAAATAGGATTTGTTAAAACATAAAAAAAGATAACGAGAAGATCACGCCTATAACTTGGAAAAACAGAATAAGGGATATAGGAGACAAAATTTGGCATAAGATATTTGGTGAAAACAAATGGGACGAAGATATCATCAGAAAGCAATTTGTATATCAAATAGACATAATAAGTCGAGTATTGAGGAGACATCTTAATTAATTTAAAATAAGATATACTAATTGTGGTGATAGTGTAAAATATTTGTGAAAAGATTGATATAATATAGGATTGTTGTAGTTTTTTTGGATATATATTGTTATTATAAAAAAAATGGGTAAAAAAAATAATATTTGTAAAAAATTATATAATATTAGATTATTGTTGTTTTTTTTAATATATTATTATTACGATAAATATAAATAGATTGTGATTATAAAAAAATTATATTATTATTATTATCATTATCATAAATTGGAATAAAATTTTTTATTTTAAAAAATAAAATAAAAGAAGAAAAAATTATCGTGGGTGAAAAAAATTAAGTGTATATCGAAAAAAAAAAACTTTTACAAAGAAGAAAAGATTATTGTTTTTGAAAAAAAAGAAGAATCTTGGTCAACCGATTTTTGTTAAAAGCCAACATAAAAATGTGTGGTCAAGTAAGATTAATTTTAATTAATAATAAGTTTTGTGTTAAAAGCGGATTTTTGTTAAAAGACCAATATAAAAGTGTGGTGGCCAAAAACTTGCGACCTTCGCGTTATCAGCATACATTAGGATACCCGATTGTTTCGGAAGTTATTAGGTTTAGGATACCCGAGTGTTTCGGAAGTTATTAGCTTTCAGTAGGATACCCGAGTGTTTCGGACGTTATTAGGTTTAAGATACCCTTGTGTTTCGGACGTTTAAGTTGTTGTTACCACAAAGGTCTAATACACAGTAGTTCTTCCCAAATTTTTAATAAGCCAGTTACACGGAAGTGCTGCCCAAATTTTTGCGAATATAAATCTGATAGAAATTCGCTCAAATTTTTACTAAATAAGCCAGTTACACGGAAGTGCTGCCCAAATTTTTGCGAATATAAATCTGATAGAAATTCGCTCAAATTTTTACTAAATATGCCAGTTACACGGAAGTACTGCCCAAATTTTTGCGAATATAAATCTGATAGAAATTCGCTTAAATTTTTACTAAATAAGCTAGTTATACGGAAGTGCTGTCCAAATTTTTGTGATCAAAAAATTTTACACGGATTTTGTCAAATTTTAAACTAATAAGTGTGCATGTATATGTTCATCATTGGCTTATTTACTTTACTTATAATATCTTACTTGTTGACACTTCAAATAATCAAGATTTTTATTTTGAAATTAATCATAAATTTTTTATAACGCCGTGATGAAAAGTTTAAAATTTGTTAAATACTGGGAGGTTTAGTATAATAATTTTGGAGTGTTGGTTTTACTATTAATATGGATATGTAGTTTAGTTTGGGGCAGGGAGAAGGAGTCGCAGCGTAAGAATTAAAGGACAATAAGTTACTTGGTTACCGGTTCAGGAGTTAATTAAAGAGTGGACGGATAGCGATATAAACAGTTATTAGCTCTGATAAACAAAGTTTTGGAAATAATCAAGTGTTGCGACCATATAGAGAGCCCAGAGATAATTCTCGGGGAAGGAGAGTAGATATAAGACAATTTTGAATCTTGGGGAAGAGGGGTAATGAGTTGTTATAATTGCGGTAAACCAGGTCATATCGGAGATTGCCGGGAGGCGAAATGTTTTAGTTGTGGAAAATTAGGACATATAGCCCCTTATTGTCCGGGTAAACAAGAGAGATTAAGATGTGCGGGTTGTGGTAGGTGTGGGGATAATAAGGAGGAATGTAATACGAACAATTACAATGTGGTTTACCACAGAGAGGGATGAGTCCAAATGCTTTTGTGAGGACTATTGAGAGGGAGATAGTGAGAGAGGGGCGGGCAATTAATGTCAGAGAGTTAGAGAAGAAAAATATGGAATGTTTTCGATGCCTAAAGGGTGGGCATGTGGCGAGGGATTGTGAGAATTTGTGACTATATGATAGTAAAAAAATTGCAGTACAGGTCGGGGTGAGATGGTTAGGAAGGACGGAGGAGGGATTTAATCAGCGAAAAACGAATAGAGAGGGATGCGTAAATATGTTACAAGAAGGGATAGTAAATATGCTACTAGAGAGGATAGTCCATGATCCTTGTCCTAGAGTCATGATAAATTCGGGGGGAAGAATGGTTCCTATGTTATTTGATACAGGAGCTGCCATTTCGGTAATTGGTTATAATGGATATCAAAGTATTTGACCTGGGGTAAGGATAGAGAATGAGGGGTTTAGAATAAGGCAGTTTGATGGAACCATGTTAACAGCCATGGGTAGGGTAAAGATAGTCATCGGAGGAAAGGGTGGAAATATTAGTTTTATGGATTATTAATCGGAATATAAAGGCAGTGATGGGTTGGGATTGAATCACTAGAATTGGTCCATGGTATAATTTTTGGGAGGTATTTTCATGGTGTGATATATTTGTGCCAATAACAAGTGAGGAATATGCTGTTATGATCTTGAGAGAGAATGTGTTGCCTGGAATTGAAACCATGTTTAATGAGGGAACCAGAGAAAATCTTCCTAGGAGTGGAACAAGGAAGGATAATTTAAGGAGCGAAACAAAGAGAAATAATTCTAGGAGCGAATTCAGGAGGATAATTTAAGAAACGAAACAAGGAAGAACAATTCCAAGAGCGAAACAAGGAGCATTAATTCAAGGAGCGATAATTTAAGGAGCGAACTAAGGAAAAATTATTTCAGGAGCGTAACAAGGAGCGATAATTCAAGGTGCGAAATAAGTGAAAATATTTCGAGGAGCAAAGTAAAAGTAATTAATGATAGAGCTGAAATAAAAAAGAATAACTTTAAGGGCGAAATAGGGAAAAGGAGTTTTAAAGGTAAAATAGGGGAAAGAAATTTCAGGGGAGAAATGATTCAAGAGAAAACGTAGGTAGAAATTACCCGGGGCACGTTGGAGCCGTTGAGAGAGGTCATGGTATTACGAGGAATGAGGAGGAAGGAAAGGTGAAGGAAAGGAAGGAGGAATCACAGTAAGAAAATCGAAAAGTGATGAATACCACCACGCAGGAAAATCGAGAAATGACGAATACAAAGACAAAAGGAAATCGAGAGGTAATGAAGAATGGAACAATGCCCAGGGAAGAAGAATTGATAACTAAATAATTTTAGGGAAGAAAATTGGCTATGAGTACATGTGGTAAAACTGTAAAGTAATATTTGTTAAAAGATTGTTATAATATAGGATTATTGTAGTTTTTTTTGGATATATATTGTTATTATAAAAAATAGAAGTAAAAAAAAATAATATTTGTAAAAAATTATATAATATTAGATTATTGTTTTTTTTTTATATATATTATTATTGATAAATATATATAGGTTGTGATTATAAAAAAATTATTATTATTATCATAAATTGGAATAAAAGTTTTTGTTTTAAAAAATAAAAGAAGAAAAAATTATCGTGGGTGAAAAAAATTAAGTGTATATCGAAAAAAAAACTTTTACAAAGAAGAAAAGATTTTTGTTTTTGAAAAAAGAAGAAGAATCTTGGTCAACCGATTTTTGTTAAAAGCCAACATAAAAGTGTGTGGTCAAGTAAGATTAATTTTAATTAATAATAAGTTTTTTGTTAAAAGGCCAATATAAAACTGTAGTAATACCAACTACTAATTATAAACAATACGACCACTGATTTATATTTCAATTTATTTTTGATATCAAATTTTATTTATTGTTTTTCGAATGTTCGATTCTATTTTTAATATACAATATACATAAATAATCATTTATTAATTTATTACATTTCCTTCAAACAATTTAAAGTTAGATTTCTTCAATAAACCTCTTTGTAGGTTTATGGTTTCTTGATGAGCAACGTAATGTGGTATTTGTATTTGTGTTTGTATTTGCTTCATTCACTGGCACAACCATTTCTGTAACTTCCAAAGAACTTTCATGATTTGGGATAACTAAACGATTTCTTAACTGATCTGCATGCTTCCGTAATGTTTTCCCGGAAGATTCAACAATATAAGAATAAAGTCCTATTCTTTCTTTAATTACTCCCTCTCTCCAACCATTGGTATTTTCATTATTTAACCATATAGGTTGTGAGATTTCAAATTCTCTTTCCTTTGAATGTAAATCATGATGAAGGCTTTGTTTATCATTAGCCCTTACTATTTCGTTTCGGCATTTGGTCGGATCCAATCCAGACTTGTTTTCAATTGCCTCCCAAACATAATTTTAGCAGGAGATCTCCCTGTGGAACTATGCTCTCCCAATCGGTAGGTTGTTAAAACCTGTGTCATAGCTTCTTTGGGATCGCTAATTGAATCTCTCGTTGCATAATACCGACCTTTCAAAGTTCGTACTGTACATTCAGCTAATCCATTAGTTTTTGGATGATAGGGTGCCGAACGTATATGACGTATGTTATTTAAATCACAATACCTACGGAATTCCCCTGATAAGAATTGTGGTCCTTTGTCTGACACACTGTACTTGGGTATTCCAAACCTAGCAAACCATTTATTTAGTCGTTTTATCATAGCATCAGCAGAGGTATTCTGCATTAGATCAACTTCTAACCATGGTCTATTTTTCTGGCATCCAGCATATTTTGATAAAATTTTCTATATCAACATCACATCTGGGCCACCAACAATACAATCTAAAAATAGATTTCATTACATTTTCCCCAGGATGTCCCCAGTGAATCATTCCTAACACTGCATTTCTTAATTTATTAGGAATAACCAATCTCCCATTCCATTCTATAATATCACGATTGACAGAAAGCTCTTCCCGTCGATTATAAAAATTAACTATTTCTTTATCTTTATGACGATCAAAGTTTCGCCAATTTTGCTGAATATGTATTGCTACTTTTTTTAATATTAAATCTTGCTTCGACTCTTTTCGTAGAATATTTTCTGACAATTGCATATCATCTAAATTAATACTTCGAATATCCAAAACATGTTTAGAATCTTGATTCTCTTCCGAAATTTCTTGGTGTTTATTAATCAAATCTCGAATTCTAGAATCTAGTGTTATGCAACATTTTTCTTTTTCAATATTGTTGACCAAATTGCGTACTTGTTTAATCATAACCTGACGAGGCATTTCTAAATTGAATGCTATAATCCATGGTAATCCGAAAAGAGGCACCCCAGTTGTATTCATTATTACCACTGGTAGAGTCCTTGTCTGTGATCCAATCCTAACATTGACTTGGGTCTCGCCCTTGACGTCTAACGGATGATCACCATATGCAGTCAATGGACTGGTTGGCCTAATTTTTGGTCGCCCAATACTTGTCCATATATCAATTCCTATCAATGACGCTTGTGCACCAGTGTCAAAATCAAATTCAACATCTAACCCATTTATCTCTGCAGTTAGTTTTGCTCGATTCTCTCGATTTTGTTGAATCTTCCAAATATTATGAATAGAATCACTTGATGACACTCTTATATAGTTTAAATTCTTTGATTTACAGCAAACTGCAAAATGACCAATTTTTTTACATTTATTACATGCCGCATTTGTAGCTGGACATCTCACTTCTCGGTTATGAATAAAACCACATTTATAACATTTAAGTTTATTATAATCTTTATCAATATTATTATTGTAGTTATTATTCTCTTTATCAAATGTATTATTATACTTGACTTTATTATAGCCTTTATCAATTGTAGTCGTCGTTTTTATTGGATGTTTATAATTATTATCATTATCATTTCTTTTGTTATTAACATTTATCTTATTAACAACTGGCATATTTTTATTTGCCATTTCTTTATCTGCTCGCTCAGAAGCTAATGCCAGATCAAGAATAAATTGAAAAGTCAGTACATTATTATCTCTATCAAGACCGTCGGGATATAGAGCTCTAAGATCTCTTTCCAATCCCGGTATTTCCATGCCAACCATAAACTGATCACGTAAACGCTCGTCAATATCATTAAGATAATGACAACGCTTTCCAATTGTTCTAATTTTATTTGCAAATTCAGTTATGGTTTCAGTTGTTCTCCGTAATCTAACGAAATCAAATCTAGAAGCAAAAGCTGTTGACGTCGGTTTAAATAGTTTAAAACATATTGACTTAATTTCCTTAAAAGATAAAGTTTCGATCGAATCAGGATAACAAAAACGGTCCACCAACTCAATATTCTTATTGCCAAAAAATGTTAAAAATATATCTTTATATTGACATTCAGATGGGCTTACGTTTTTTAACCGAAAACTGGCTTCCCATTGAGAAAAATATCTGTGAATAGAAGTATCCAACTCGAATTTATCAAATTTAATCGTAGATAAATCCGCTATTTTTTTTGAATCTCCATTTAAGGAATTATTTTCTCCATTTAAGGAATTATTATCTCCATTTAAGGAATTATTTTCTCCATTTATCGTCGCCATTTGTAGTAATACCAACTACTAATTATAAACAATACGACCACTGATTTATATTTCAATTTATTTTTGATATCAAATTTTATTTATTGTTTTTCGAATGTTCGATTCTATTTTTAATATACAATATACATAAATAATCATTTATTAATTTATTACAAAAACTAATAATAAAATAGTTACTGCTGTATAGATATAATTATCCAATATCACATTTTACCAGGAGAGAAATGTTGGAAAAGATATAAACAACAAAAAAAATTAAATTCAAATCCTGTATTAATTATTTTTTAAAATTAATTTCATAATATTTAGCAAATTTTTGAAAAGCTAATTCCAGAATATTATTTACTAGTGACATTTTTTGCTTATCATATGCTTCAAAATTATTTTCCATGTCTATCTTTAAGAGCGGCATCTTATATTGAGAATAGTTTTTTTTTTCATTTTTTAATATACTGCTTCGCTTTTTTAGTAAAGATAAAAAATATTTTGATAAAAATATCATATTAATTTCTAAATATGTTATAAATTTCTTGTTCAATAACTATTTCCTATTAAAATAATAAATTTGTAATTATTGATTTCATAAGTTTTATCCATATCTTCCAGATTTTAAGTTACTATATTCAAATGAATTAACTAATATTTAACATATTTATGATTTTTAATATTTTTTAGCAATTTATTGCTGCTTAAAAATTTGATTTGTATTTATATCTTCATATGTAATGTTTAGTATTCGTTTTATATAGCTCTTTATAAATAATCTATCCAAATCATATGTTTTTCAAAATTTTTGGGTCCACAAAATAGGGACGATACCAATTTAAATGCGGTTGCGAGTAAAAATTACAGAACAATCATCCATCTCCAATTTTTCAAGTTATCATCATAAATATATATATCAATATCGTCATACATTATATATATATCTTAAAATAGAAATTTTCCAGAATTTATCTAGATTGGGGAAATTATGTGTAATTAGGTTTACTGATAAATTGGTTTATATTCTCTATATTGATGAAATTATTAATGGAGGAAATTGGGGATTCTGCAAAATATACCAAGTATTATATTTTACTTATACGTTTTTATATAATTGTTATTTATTAAATGTCCATGACCAACATGCTAGATAAGATAAGAATGAAAACTGTTTACAGACCATAAATCTTATCAATATATATTATTTTAGGAACGAATATTTGAAGAATATTGTATGGAAGGTCTTGACAAGGAAACTAATGAAATTTATATGGAAGTTTTGATTGAAAATATTATGAAAGCATTAAAAAATGCAGCATCAACAAAATTAATAAAAATTAAATTGACCAAGAAAAAAGGACCAACTCTTACATTTGAATTAGAAACAGTATATCAATATTACTAAAATATTTTTTAAAATCAATGTAAAGTTATTATAAAATTTTGTTTTGTAACAACATTTTTTATTGGATCAGGCCAAATTTTTGTCCTTTTTAAAATATTAATTATAGGACAATATAATTAATTTACCAATTAAATCCAATATCTTATAAAAAATAAATATTTGTTTTATTATTTTTTTTAACATTTTCAATATTTGGTTAGTTTTTTAAATTAAACCTTCGATTATATAAGAATATATATAATTTTTAAAAAATTTAACAATTTATATTGATAACAAATAGATTAGATTGGATTCTAATTTCTTCATAATTGAAAGACATTTATAACAAAAAAAGATTACAATGATTTTAATATATAAATAAATAATATTTCAATGTACATTGATAAATATAATAATAAATAAGCTTAATTGATAATTTAATTTAATTTGATAATAGTATTATTTTAAATGTATGTTATAGTAAACATTTATATATATATATATATAAAATTATGCATAACAAACAAAATCAGATTAGTGATATCAGATTGGGAATCAGTCAATATTAATTTAAAATTGTAATGGATTGGTTCGGTATCCAAAAAGTGATATCGGTACACCCCTAATAAAATGGTATAATATAATGGGTGAATAGTCTTTATAATTTATATACAAAAAAAAATATATGGAGAAACTAATATTAATTATATTAAGTTTAAAAGTTCTTGGTAAAATTGTGATATTTATAGGGTAGGGATTCCAAACATGATGAAATACATTTCTGGAAAAATAGATTTTTAAATTTAAAAAAAGGGCTCAAAAAATGATTTAAAGTTAAAATAACATATACCAGTAACATATATTAACATAAAATAACAAAAACAAAACAATAATAATATTGGATTGGATTTTTGTTTGAAAATTTTGGCTTAATCAGATGTTTTTTAAAAACTGGTAAATATTGGTCCCGATCTAATATGATCTGATATTTTAATATTGCCGCAGTTCTCTAATTAGAAAGTAATTGAGAGGTATATAAATATTTTAAAAGTAACGAATAACTTGAAAAATGGCAGTTACTTTTGTCGTTTTAGCCTGCATTTACAGTTAGTGCAAATTTGCTGCGAAATATATAAAAATACACAAAAATACAGGCATATTTTGTATAGTTCGCCACCGTGAATTTGTAGTAACTGTGAATGCAAGGTAACTACTCATTCATGGTTTGTGCAAATTAACGGTGGAGAATACAAAAATACAATTTTATATATTTCTCCACAAATTTGCGCCATCTCTTAATGAGAGGTTCTGTAACTAGTTACTTTAATCATTCAAAACCATTTTCTAAGTTAGAAAACATAACATAAATTTAGAAAATTATATATTTTTTGGATTATGATGAAATAAAAATTCATTTTAAAAAAATTATAATTTTTGCCATGCTGACAATTTTTACCAGTCTTTAGTATAAGAAAGAAAGGAAGAAATTCAATTATCTAAATCTTTTTCTTTTTTTAAAAAAATAGAGTTCAATGTTATCCAGTACTCGATCCATCATACATGATATTCCAATAAATTTAATATCAAAAAAATTTTGGCCAGACTTTCAAGCCCCTGATGTTTTGCCTTTCGATGTAATAAATTTTTTATAATTATATATATAATATAATACTTTCCATTATTTATTCAAAAATTAAAGTTCCTTTTTAACAAAAAAATCCTGTCTCCTGATTGATTCTAGTAGCACTAAAGATTACCGTAAATATCAGAATTTGCACTTTCATAGATTTTGGCATTTTACTAACACTTTATTTGATTTTGCTGTTTGATAAAAGCACAAGTTAAGTCCTACAGAGCTCACGTCAGCTGTAACTTTATCAATAAAATATAGGCCATATAGCTTTTAAAAATATTAATGTTATATTTCCTTCCTTTGTCACCTGATTGAATATGACATTTATAAAATGAATTTTAAAAAATCATAAATCTGGAGGTAAGAAATATTTTCATACCTAGGTCTAAAAATATTTCTACTGGCCTGCGGGTAGGCTCGAGCGATTTTTACAACAAATTTTCCAGGTTTTTTTATAATACACAATTAATATTGTTACAGTTACAAGTTGCTTCATCAAATAGTAACTAATTCCAATTATTTGTTTTTTTAACAAATTGAGCAAATTAAGTAATTTGTGATTTTTTAAAGTAGCCAGTTGTATTTATATATATTTTTTTTACTACCTACATTTAAAACACTTGAATTTAATTGGATTGAGTTAAATAATTATCTCTAAAAAGTAGTAATAAGTAACTAGTACAAGTGTTAGTCTATTTGTCACTTCACCTATTTGCTTTAAATCGCTAATTAAGTCGAGGATCGAACCCGAACCGTTAAACAGTATTAACCGTCATTAACTGAATCTAAACCAACCGTCATAATTTGTATCACCCAAACCTGATTCAAACCCCTAAAAAGGGAGTCTTAACCTTTATACATTTAAACTGTCTAATATATTATTATCTATCAATTATAATTGGTCTTTATTGAGCCTATAAAATGTTATATTCAATTATTAAATACTAATAGAAAATTATTCGGGTTTGTCTTAATATGAAACAATTATGAGGTTCGAATAATTCGTTTCGTTCGAATCCAATACTTGAAGAATAATTTGCTATATTCGAATAATTGGAATTGGTAATAATTATTAATATATTTTTTTAATAAAATTTAATTATTTATCATTTTATTAATAAACCTATCAATCTGACAAGTAGATTTTGTTTAACAAGATATACATCAACTGCCTATGAAAGGCTTTTCTTAGTTGTAACTAATTTAATGTCAAAAAATCGCATATCTTACCCTGCATTCATCTGTGAATTCAGGGTTATAAATAATAAACACTTTTTAAAAAAAAACTCTTTACCTTAAAAATTGACTTGGTAATAGATTAAATTAATATATATTTTAATTTCATTAACATAAAATTTCCGTTTGAAATTGGATATGCAATAAAAAAAAATTCTGCCAATATATTTTCGTACGAATTATTTTATAAATTAAAAAAAATAAATTATTTGAATAATTCGAATGCTGTCTTTTGTATTCTTCGCCGCTATCACAAACATTTAAACAAATTAATGAATCAATAAGTAAGAAATAACTATATGTAAATATGACTTAGTTTACTTCTAATATATATTTTTTTTTATTGATTCTCATTATCCATTATACCAATGATTAAATATTTACAAACTATTATTAAAATATTTAAAAAATAAGTGGGCCAAACAGTATTCTATAAACCCTTTCTCTTACTTATTTGAAATTTTTCAGACATGATAACGACACTTTTTAAAACATAGCTATACCAATGAAAATACTTTTCTCCCAGATGTATTCGATACCGAAAGATAAAATCAATACATTTCCTAACAGTAACAATCAATCATTTTTAAAGTTTTTACTATGGAGGTATCCTATCAGTAAATATTTTTTTAGCCACGCTAAATGAACTTTGAACAGATGTTCTGGATGTTAGTGTTATATTAATATTCGGAATATTTAAAATGGTGAAAATACTCTGTATAGTAAATATTATCTTTATTTAGGTTTTGTTTTCTATTTAAATTATTTTCATCATGCGCTTCTAAATTTTATTACATTTATTTCTGGAGCTTGATGTATATAGGACATTGGGAAATTTAACGATTTTGTATCGACTCTTTTCTCTTTCTATTATCTGGGTTTTGAATCCATCAACTTAAAGCATGGGTGGAGTGTGGTAGCTATTACTACATACTTATCATATATTGATTTTCAGCGGAATTATCATAAATATCAGAAAATACAAAAACATAAACTTATCTTCCTTCACCCGAAAATTTATTTTCGTTTCTTATTTTCATTACTATCCCTGAAATCTCTAAAGTGATTTAATTTATATACCATATAATGTCTGAATAGAAAAAAATACTTAAAAACCTTAATGAAGTTACATTGTCTTTGTTTCATGAATATTTTGTTTTAAATAAAAAACCCTCTTTCAAATCTTTTGCTTGCAAATGTATGTAATTCCTTTATTTCTTCATAAGTCACGAAATAGAATTTGTAAAATTAATATAGAGAAAATAAGCAATTTTATTGTTTCAGAAATGACTTGGATTAATTAATCAACACTTGGCAATTTTGGATATGAGGCTCTCGCCTTTTTAAAACCTAAAGGAAATAAGCTTTCAGTGCTATCCGGCGTTCCTTAAGAATATTAATATCTAAACCAGAAAATTGGTTTAGAAATTTGGAGATCAAATTTTTTATCAGTCCATGTGCAGTTTTCATAGTTTATTTTAAATATCTCAAAATATTTTATATGGTTTTTAAATTTTATTTTAAATATAGTTTTTATATATGTAACATAGTGTTATATTTAAATTATTTTAATATATATATATTTTTTAAAAATAATTAAAAGTTTTAAATTTTAAAATTAATCATTTTAAATTTTATTAAATCAGAGAACTGGAACCATTTGCACTGCCCGGCTCGAATTTTTTTTTCAAAAAATTTTTCGGCCCATCTCAAGTTTTGTGCACCTGCTTGATTTATTTAAAATTACATTTATTTTTTAATTTTTATAGCTAATAATGACGATTTAAGATATTCGGTTTTCAAATATAATTTTTTAGGCCCGACCCAAATATATTAAAAAAAATTAAAATGCCACCCGGGGCGGGTTTGCAGATCTCTATTAAATATTAGTACTATATGTTAACAAGATGAATAATATAATAAATAAATAAATAATACAAATATTTAATTTATGTGAAAATTAAATATTTTCTACATTTCTTTTTTTATCAAATGAATTTATCAAGCCAAAAAATAAAGTACAATAAAATTAATATAATTATACTTTTTTTAAAATTTACAATATATTATTATTGTGATAACATATTATATCAGCTACTATTCTAATATAGCGACCAATAACCATTAAAAAATAATATATACATAACGGGGGGAATTCTAAATAATTTATGGAAGATCTAGATTAATCGGGTTCAGGGAATGAACCCATGAAGCATGTGAAATTAGATTTTATAATCTGAATTCCTATGCGTTGACGTAAGTAGACGCCTTCTTTTGGGTCTCCTGATTTAGTTCTCAAGGCTCTACCAATCTTTTTAATTAGGTTAAGAGCTTGACTTACAAAGGATGTTAAGGTTGTCATGACAACTGGTACGAATTTATACTCATCAGGAATATCCACATATTTATTCTTTTTAAAATCTTTTGTTTATTTTAAAATGACCTTATTGATGTTAGAGGGTGAGAGGAGGTCAACACAGGAGAAATCCCATGCTAGAAATCGGCCATAATCCCAAGGAATTTTTGTTCCATCGGGTCGTCTCCCATCCGTAAAGAGACCTGGAGGTTCTAAAGTGGCAGGAAAGCCTGCCGACTGTAAAGCCCGTTTTATTAGAGCATTGCGTCTGTTATGCCGGATTGAGCATCCACTGTTAAAGATGCATTGGAGGCAATGACGACCAGTTTGACTTACTGGCTTCTTGCACTTAGTGCACTTATATGAAACGAAACTGAGATTGCCACATTTAAGCGAATGGCAACAGCAAAACTGAATTCTTGATTTGAAAATTCGAGATCAAGATTTTTATAGGGGATGACACCCAAGTATTCATGTCCTGAACCTTGGTTGAGGGAAGCTAATAGGGCATGATCTTCAGATAGCAAGGTCGAAAAGAGGTAATCAACGGAACCTTGCAATCATCGAATTGTCCCAATTCTTTTGTTTATGGGAGGCTGGTGTTTGACATTCATCTCCGACTGAGGCTTTCCATATGATATAGGCTTCGTCAAGCAGTGCATCTGGCAAGGACAGGTGATCATTTATTATTTTGGAGCTTGCCAATCTGGACGAGATTAAACCACTAATTGATAAGGCTATGGGCGATCGTAACCTTAAGTTTCCTTTATTGCAGAGGAGAGTGGCTTGATGCCATGAATTGGAGTTTAATTTGAGATTAGTTATTTTTCCATGATGTTATTTATTATAGATTTATATGCTTTTAAGTGATTAGGATGTTTAAAAACAGCAGTTGATCGTAGAGCATATAGGATCTTTGGTATATTGAAGAAATTTTTAATTAAAAAGATTTATGTATGGGAAGTCGTATAAGTAGTTCTTCCATATTGTTTAAATTATTAAAAGTAGCTTGGAAAAAGGCTTCAACTGCTAAGTAACCTCCAACTGGTGAGCCAAGATGTGAAATAAACACCTAATTAAAATTGACCTTAACAATCAACACAATAAAACGGTCTGTCTTCCTAAAATCCTTCATTAATAGCTTCCATGCTACTCCAGCTATAAGCTGCTATGCGAATCCCCATATCTTACAATATGCTGAATATAGGCTTTCTTCTTCAGAAGGAATTCAACAGGGTGACCCTAGGGTCGATATTATTCTGTCTAGGAATAGACAATCTAGTTAAAAAAAATTAAAAGCAGCTGCCTGTTAGATCTTCATCTCTGATACATAGATGACGGGATTATAAGCGGCAGCACAGAAGAGATAGACAAAGTCATAGAAATTTTGAAAAAAGATTAGCCAGACATAGGCCTTCTCTTAAACGTCGACAAAACAGAATTCTCTCAGCTCACCTCTCAATCTTCCAACTGCCACGCCTTTAAAGAGGTTATGGCCGAAGAACTAACACATCTTGGCTCACCAATTGGAGCTTTTTCCAAGCTACTTCTAATAATTGAAACAATATGGAGGAACAAGTTATACAACTTCCCACACATAAATATTTCTTCTTAATTAAAAATTTCTTCTACATTTTCTATTTTTAAAAAATAAAGAATTTGAATTTAACTATAATTTTATTTTAAAATGTATCGATTTTACAATTTCTAGACATAAATTAAAATGTAATACGATTTCGATATTTAAAATGTATCGAGACATCGTTTCGGTACCTTGACATTTCGAAAGTAACGCCGATATTATTTGATACACACATATATATCGGATGCAATATCACTATATTAACCTTCAAGAAAATTTTGGTTATACATCCGACACCATCTAGTTTATCTGTATTACATAAATCCGTTAGCATTATACTATTTAGGAAAGTATATAAATGGCTTAAAGAGAGAAAAGAGTATATACATTTTATAATCATCTATTATTGAATTTATTCATTTTAAATCAGATTAGCATTCGACTTCCGCATCTAAGAGTTCTGAAGAACATGTTTGATCGAATCAAGCAAAGGGCCTCTCAAATAGTAAAAATAAATAATAAATATAAAAGGGTGTTTTAATTTTTCCAGACAGATAAAAAAAAAATTAGTCAGCACTTAATGTTGTTATGGAAAATATAAATTTAATCCCAATATACGCAAAAACACAATTAAAACCTAATCGATTATTTAAAAGTACTAATAAAATTACCGGCATAGGGGAATCATCTTTAATTATTTAGTTTAATTTTGGATAATATCGCTGTATTTAGTTACTGCATTAATTTACTACCAACCAGATTGGGTATAGTATATTTTATATATATCTCACGCTTACAAATTTTGATGTATTATACGATTTATTAGATGAATATACTATCAAAATCAACAGATTAACATCCCTACTTCATATCCTTCTAAAATTTCCCATTATTAATCTCTATGTGAGACTTATAATATATTTTATGGTTTCAGGCTTAACAATATTCTCTTGACAAAAATTTATTATCCAAAATTAGCTATATATTTTAGATAAGTTCTGGGATCTATTTACACCTCAGATCCTTCCTAGGGTCAATGTAGCCTGCTATAATAAAATATTTTGTCTGGCAAAATAAAAAAAGCGTAGTCCCTATACCCTCCTCCTCATGAGATAAATAAAAAACACTTGTAAAAAAAATATTAAAATTAAACAATCTTATTTTGGCAGTCTAAATAAAATATCTCTTTTTTTTCACAAATGTAATATTTTACGCGTCCATTTAAAAAATAATAAAAGATCATAACGGGGAATGGTAAAGGCAGATTGAGTTTCAAAATGGAAACCGACATTGTAACCCTAAATACCCGCTTTAAAGATTCGATATTTGCATTCGAAAGCGATTTTCCTGCCATTTATGACAACAGTTGTACATCTTTCACTCAAAAAATGGATAATTTATACACCGTTGGTTGTGACAAGCATCTTAGAACACCTGCCTCTATAGATCAATCTGATAAGGTTTTTTTACATCTTCGCGCTTTTTATCTTATTAAATTTTATGGTTTTATACATATAGTTTTTTTTTATTACAATTTTTTCATGATATATTATTTTTAGTTTATTAGCATATGTTTGGTTTATCTATTATTATTAGAACTACAATTAGATCTTATAATTTACATATTACATTGGCTTAGCCAACATTTATTCAGAGAGGGGGATTGAGTTATAGAATTTTTTTGTGGGGGGAGGGGGTTCACTCTAACTTTTATTTGTCCGGCCATCGTCTAAGTCCCCTCTATGAAAAATTATGATTGGATATTTTGATTTTCTAGGAGTTTTTTTTATTTTACTTCTTTTAAAATATGTAATATCCTTTCATCTCCGTTAAAGTTAGCTGAAGAATTATAATCACTAATTCTAAAATCCAAGCCAATGTTAGCGCCTATGTAGCTTAAAGAATTTTTTTTATAGCCAACAAAATGATTTAGAAGAAATTTAAAGGCTGCTTTTATTTCTAATAATTAAAATATAGTTCTGAATAATGATTTTTAGATTTAAAAAATAGGAATAAATATAAATTTAGGTATATTTTAAAAATAATTATACAATTTAAAAAATAAAGTGATGTCCAGTAGAGATTTGCAAATCACCCCATGGCCTGTCTTTTTTAATAAATTATTTCGGTTCGGACTGGTTTTGACCGAATATTATTTTAACGGGTTGGGTTGGGTATTACATTTTGTCAAATAAATTGATATATTTTATAATTCTTGTAAGAAACAAGGCGCTAATATTTTTTATTTGTAGAATATTTTTTTACAATAAAAAAATTAAATTTTTCTATATTTAAATAGTTTCGGGCGAGGTCGGGCGGTCATTTTATTTTGAGTCGGGCTATACGGGACAAATAAAACAACTTTTGAACCGGACCGGGCTTGAAAAATTAGACCCGATGCAGATCACTAATGTTCACCATGCTATTATAAAATTAAGAAGAAAATTAAGTCGAACTAGGGCGCCGCCAAGGCATTCATTTTTAAATTATATCAATGCTCAATACTTTATTGTATATTATTCCAATTCCTTTCGGAGACTAAAGAAAAAAAGTTATTAGCAAAATAAAGAAAAATTGCTATCATGCTAAAATGGATAATAAAGGAGAACTAAATACCTGATTTGTGCTAATGACGACTATTATTTCCTTTCAGGTTTATGTTTATTGACTGGAAAAAATGATTGATGATTATCAATCAAGCATTACACATGCACCCATCCAAATATCCATTCATTTTCGTTCTAGCATAATGCTAATTTTTTTCTTATTTTACTCAATAATGCGTTTTTCTACTATTTACCAATTGGGTTAAAGCACTAAGATATACTAAATATGCACATGATACAGCATTATAAAGTATAATTATTTTTACAATTATAATATAGATAGTAAAAGTGGATCTCAAAAAAATTAGCGCGATTTTTACATCCTATCCCTTTACGCCCGAACGTGCCTGTATAAATATAAAAGATAGGCGTTCAATTCAGATATTTTTAGTAAGGGATGACTTCGAATTTCAATACATATTACCTTGTTTCGCAGAAGTCACTTAAAACAAATATTTTAAAAAAATTTATAAGAAATTTCGAAGATTAGTTAGTTACGGACTTATTCTTGTGATCAGGAATTTTCACATTATATATTTAATAAATTAATTGAACATCTAATGTTTAGTTTACAAATAGATAGGAGTGCCTATTATAGTTTGGGAGGCTTTAAGGCTAGCGGACGAGTTTTCTCGGGTTGTTCCAACCTGAGGTGGGTTAATCTTTAGAATAGGTTTTGGCGGTTTGAGTCGATAAATTTATCAATATCAAGAAGTCTCAGAGATAAATCTATTCAAACAATAAGTCACATATTCTGCAACAGAATATTAAAATTAATACTATTCTTGATAATCTTATAAAATAAAAAAGTATTATTTTATAATTTTATTATTCCTAATATTGAAGATCTTATTTGACTGGAAATGTATTCTAAAATATATAAAGTATTCACACTTGGTTGTAATCATAAGGATATTGGAGCGGTTTTTTTACAATTGGAAGCCTTTCCTAATATTAACCCCTTCAGGTGGCTCTTCTAAAATAAATAGAGTTACTTTTCAAGTCTGTTTAATTTGATATTACTATGAGATGTTTCTTTATTTTAGCTAAGGAAACAGAATAAGGGCATATAAAAAATAAAGTAAAGAATATCAAAATAAAGTTGTTTTGAATATGTCATATTACATGCTTTAGAATAATGACAACATATGAAAGTTGGCTATAAATTCGAGATATATATTATAATAAAATTTCCGAAATAAATAGTATAAATATTATAAACGAATTAATAATTAGAAATATTCAAAGACACTAAAATCAATGTATAAATATTCTGTAATAAAAATATTCCTAAATTACAATAAACGTATTTTATTTATCAAATTTTGTTTCACAAAAAAAAATGACCATACAAATAGAACCTTAGCAACCTATAAATGAATTATTATGTAGGAAAGATTTTTGATGTAGGATAATGGATGCCATATCATTTTATTGCAATATAAAATCGAAGTATTCGATGATTTTTTTTATTATTAGCTATCAAATCTCGAACATTTTTATTTAAGCGTCTCAAAGGCTACCTGAATCAAATATATAAAAATAGGAGAGGCAAGGTAAAATATATATTCAAATTGTGATAATCATTTTTTTTTAATATAATTTATTAATGTATAAATTAAATATTATATTTTAAAATTAAAGTAAAAACATAATTAGAGCCGAAATCTCAGAGCGTAAAACTAAAGTTCATATTTGAATTTGATGGTTTTCCGGTTCTTAGACATTACCCGATTCCGGTATCTTAAGGTTCAAAATTTTTAACATATCCATGAGTTGTACTTCCGATAAAAAAAACCATTTCGGTTTTGGAAATTTTAATAAAGGGGTTTCGATTTCCTAGAAATTTTAAGAGTCTTTGGTTCCAATACTTAGATTTAACCAGTTCCCAGGGATTTTGGTTGCAGCTACAAACTACGAACTTAATTCTAGCAAAATAATTAGAACCCAAGAATAGTATATCCAACTTTTAAAAAATCATATTTAAACATCAACGTTATAATCGAAAGAATTGGATAATGGCACGAATACTTGTATCTAAGATAGGTCCTTTAGTATCCTATACTCTTCTTTTTGACATTTTTAATAAGATAGTCATATTCTGTTTCTAAGATACTATATTTACAAAGAAATCTCTACCTAGATTCTATTTTTAGAGGACATGCTCAACTGATAATCGGTATAAATTATACAGACCAGTTTTGATTTATTAATTAAAAAAAATAAACTAATTAATTTGTTATGACAAAAAAAAACACTCGGTCCTAAAAATAAAAATTTGGGCCAGGGGCCTGATTGTTTTTTTATAGGCTTCAAGTAAATTTTTTGATCATAATAAAATAACTCCACATTATAAAAAATAAGGAAGGGAAAAATTTTAAAAAATTAAGAACCAAACATGTTTACCTTTAACTATATTGATATTTCCTCCTGCATTTTCAAATCCGAGCGATGGTAAACTCTCTCCTTCATTCATTCCTATTAAATTGCTCTCCTCGCAATTGTTCGACTCGGCATTTTGATTTACTATATTATTCGGTAAATTTTGTAAATTCTCGACGGCTTGGATGCTTCCAATATTTTCGACACTTTCTATATTGTCATTTTCTGATATTCTGGCTATTCTTATCTCGACATTAGGGAAATGTTGCTTGATAAAGGCTCTAAGAACGGCATTTTCTTGGGTGAGTGATCGAAGTCTAATTAATGTTAAATATATTTACTGTTTTTTTCTGATATTATGATTCTATTCTACTTCTTTTCATCTCGACATTGTTCTCTTCATTTCTCAACATGATTTCATACGAAGGGGAATTTGTTTTAAAAAAAATACTCGGGCCAGGTCGTATATTTCAAAAAGATCTGGGCTGGGCAGAAAATTAAAAATCTAGGCCGGGCCTGAAAATATAAAACCCGGGCTGGGTCGAAAATAATCCGAGACAAGCGATAAAAATATTAAGATAATGCAATAAAAAATTTTTAAGTTGGCAAAATTATAATAATTAAAAGATAGCTAGGAGAATAATAAATTTCATTAGTGCTTCTATATAAAATAAATAAATTTATAAAAACAAGTTTTACTTTTCGTCCCGTCCTGCAATTTCAGACCGATTATCTGTCCGCATATTTGTTTCGGGTCGAATACCAGTTTTTGAGGCATTAACTTTTAGCCTGTCAAGTTCTTGACTCATTCGTTCACAATCTTTTAAGGCTGTAAATAGATTTTCGTTTATTCGCTTGAGGTCATGAATATACTCTACGGTTTTTGCGAGAATGCCACCTTTACTCTGTTCATGTTTAAATTTCAAATATACCAGTTTTATATAATATATTTTTATATAGAGGATTCTGAAATAATTTTGGAAAATACTATTTCAATTTTTTTTTAAAATGCAAATATATTTTGTTAGGGAATGCTTTAAAATAGAGGGTATAAAAACTTTTTCTATAAAAATAATCTCATTAACGTTGTCTAATCGTTAGATAATTTAAATATAAAAAAATTCGAGTCAGATCCAAAAGAGTTTAAATAAAATTGAAATTCCAATTATTTACGCGTAACGTATAATTTATAAAAACTATGAGGGTTTTTTCGATAGCTGTATCGAATCTTTTTTTTTAAAGTAACCAACTAAGAATTTTTGTTCATAAGTATCTTGTAACAAATTACTTATACAAAAATGTAGTTAAGACTACATCTTTTTAAAAGGATCCTTATTTTAAATGCTTAGGTCATTTGGCAGATGCATAAGGATGGGGAGATACTCATAATAATTACGGTTGCAAACGAAGGGACTCAGATTTTCTTCGAATTTTATTTAGGACAAAAAATGGAAAAGGGCATATTTTAACTACATATAATATCTACTGTAATTTTTACTCAAGTTATTGGCAAGAAAAATTATTTCATAGCAACATTTATAATATGGCCAATATTTTAAAATATATATGCACATATGTGATATTGGTGAGATAAGGGCAGATGAAATTTTTTTTAAAAAATAAATTAAAAAGAATGTGAAATGTAGCATAATAGAAACAAAACCTTAGTCAATATAAGGTCTTCGCCTATAACTAACATTTACTATAGCGGGTCATAAGATCTGGTTGAAACTGTGATCTTTTAAACCAAATATAATTAATTTTTCAGTATTGGGTATTTTATTTAGGTTATCGTAGGCAATCAACAGGATTTTTTTTGGAAGAGGGGGGGATAAATAAGCAATTTTATATAAACCTAAGATACTGAGTGCGATCCTATATTATTGGGGAAGATTTATATCTGCCATTTTTGGAAAATCTGTTATACCATAATCACATCCATGATTTTAAGCTCCAGTGGCATACCCAACCGAGAAAAATACTTAATAATGAATATCACTCTACATAAGATAATAATCTTGAAGCAATAAAAAATATGACCTCAAAACTCATTTTAACCGATATAAAATCAAGTAGTATTTACATAATTTTATCGAAATGTAACATAATCGTAGCTAGCAAAAACTTCTTACACATAAGAAAATTTAGAATCCTGACCGTCCAGAGCTGTTATAAGGAAAGGTCCAATATCAAAGTTGTTATTGTATTTAGATAGAAAATAACTGTATCTGTATATTTATAGATATATTTTTAGCTGTATTTATTTATAGATACATTTTGATACAATTTTTTATTTTACGGTTTTTTTATTATATTAATCAGAGACCTGCAGGTCTGGCCCTAAGCCTGGCCCAGGTACACGGGTCGGTCTAATTTTAATATTTTTGATATACCAATATTTTAAAGCCGAATTATTGGCTATAAAAAATAAAAATAGATGTAATATATTTTTAAAAAATCCAGGCCAGACTACTAATTGTACCTGGAGGTCTCTGATATAAATATTTAATCCTGATTTTTGTAGTAAATATCTGTCTGAATTTATCTCTACCCAATTCAAGATGAGTTTTATTTTCCATAATAGATGACGAAAATAAGATAAATAAATGATGAATACAATTATTTAGGTTTTAACAATAGATTTTCACATTTTGCACATTACAATAAAAGAAATTATCTTAATTGTATGTTAGAAAAATATATCTTTAACTCAGGTCTGTATATCCTGTATCTAAACTACAGCTACTTAAAAAAATTTAAAGATGGTTAGATAGAAATATATCGTCAAGATACATTTATATATATTCTTTACTATTTAAAAAATATATATTGTTAATTAATTAAAAAATGGATAATTTTATTTACTATAACCTGCCCTTGTTTAGTTTGATCGCTGCCACATTCTGGGACAATCTTAGAAAGTTTTAATATCCAGGTATTAATTTTGTCTCTCCTACGTCTCTCAACTATAAAATTAAAAATCAAAATTAAATATAAGTTATTGAGCAAAGTGTTCTGAACCGAGAAAGAGAGAAAAAAAGATCTTTTATTTTTTGATTTACTAATAATTTTCTTATAATAGCATTATACTATCACAATCACAACGATAACTATGTAACTGGAATATACGAAATGTGCGTTAGAAACTAACTTGATAAAAAGATAAGTTGTATAAGAGTGGCTCAAATTAGTCGTTACTGGTTAGTGTTTAGTTTATTTTATTCAGGAAACCATAAACATACCTTCGTTATGAGAACTCCTCCGTTTCTCGTCCTTGAAGCCCTTGATCTCTTGCTTAACTCCGGCGGCTATCGATTGATGCGGGTTCATCACCTTGTGATTTTGGAGCAGTTCCGGTGACATCATAAGTAGTAAATGGCCGCCTACAAATAATTTTTACGATAAATATAAAAAAAGAAAAATATTTTACGTTGGTACATTATATTTAAAGAGCTATTGATAAATTATATGTGAGCATTAATGGGAAACAAAAATATATAGGACTTTTTGTTTTTAAATTTTCCAGCACTTTGGGAAGATAAGTTTTTAAAAAAAACGTCATTCATGATTCCATTTTAGTTCAATTTAGGGTTGGCGAAATTTGTGATTTTTTGGAAAAAATAAAAAAAAACTTATATTTCAATTACAGTGATTCGGAAAGAAAGTCATTGTTTTTCTAAAACGAACATTATTATGAATCTAATAAAACTGTTAAACCAAATTTTAAATTTTATTTTTTTGATTAATAAAATAATGGTTTTATTATTTTAATTTCATTGTTATTTCCTAATTGGATGTCCTGAGGCATTAGCCAAGTTATACGTTAATACCCTTAATTTAAATTAATCTTGATTATTAGTTTTATAGCAATTATGTCCAAAAAATTATAAAACTCTCCCTCTCCTTCCTTTTTCTGATAGAAACTAGTTATTCAATTATATCATGATAAATATGGTTTAATTAACCTTTTTCCTGAGGTAAATCAATTTTTTATAACAAAATATTACAAATCATAAGTAGTGTTGTTAAAGGGCTCGTTTTGAGCCGATTTTTAACGGCTAACTCAATATTTCATCTAAAATAATATTATGCAAGCCCTGAAGATTTTGTTTGTAGAAGGAACAAAGATATCTTGAGATGTTTGTTTATTTAAACGGACCATTCTAAAAATCAACATTATTATAATACTTTCACCTACATATTTCTTATCCTCTCTTCTAACCTCCAAATATGCTTCAAATTTAACAAACAAAGAAACCGAAGTGGAAATGGAACCTGGCTAGTTTTATATCTTCAAGCCTCTTACTATCAATCATGGTAAAATTCCAAGCTACATCAGACCCGTTTAATAAAATTATGTTCTCCGATGAAATAGTAAAAAAATGAATGATGGATTTAATTCATAGTAAAACAATCAACAGCTTCAGTAGAATATTTTCATCATATGGAGTGTATTCCAAACTTAGGAATAGTTTAGGAAAACTAGTTTTCTATTAAACAATTAAATTCAAATACCAATGTCGAGTACATGGAATGGACTGTCAAGTTAGGCATTTTGAATTTTAACATTTAGATTTTGAAAGATTTAATGATAATTCTCTTATAAAGTTTTAAAAACAAAAAGAATATTTTTTTTAAAAATTGTATTGCATTATTCTAGTTATAATGATATAATTATCTTTATGGTAAATGATAAAAAAAACTGATTATGCTATTATTTTTTACTAAATCTTAGAAGTCTTTATTTTTCTTGACTGCAAATTGAACCCGAACTGAGTAGTAATATTTCCAGAACCCTTTTTTAAAATATTAAATAATTTCTCACTATATTAAGATTAAATTTTATAATTAACAATTAATTATGTCAAAAATTGGAACATTACAAAATAAGTCAAATATTTTTTTTATCTAATAAATTTAGTATTTTTCTATAAAAATTATCTAATTCTAAGATAATTCGATGTCTTCCTTATATTAAGTATTTTGATCAAATTTAGTAAATAAAATTTATTAAAAATATTGATTTTTATTTGCCAATCCTAATTCGATTTCTTTTTTTTATTGACATCATCTAGCGTCACTTGATCGTTAAGCACTTTAAAGATAGTAAAGGCGATAAATTATAAGAGAAGGGGGGGGGGCATAAGTGGGAAAATAATAATGAAAATCTCCTTTTTCGAAGGACGCAAGATGTTACTAAAGAAAAAAAATATATAAATGGCACGTAGGCTTATAATTATTCACTATTATTTTATTCATTGTAGAGAAATTAATTACAATTTTAAATCTATTTGAAAGAATAAAACTTCGAAATAATCATAACCAAAAGTTATTCTAGAACCATCCTTCAGACTACCGTTTAACAAAAATTATAATTATCTAATAATGTCATTGTTCGTAGGGGAGAACCAGGACTAGTCAGCGCAATCAAAATCATCATAGCTCCGAAAATAATGATCATATAAGATCTACTAAATACCATTCGATACCACAATTACCTATAATTATACACCGTTATAATTTTTTTTCTCCAAAAATGTTTTAGTAAAAGTTATTTTTTGAACGCCCCGAACCCATGGTTAGTAGGTAAAAATCTCAGCCTTATTTTCCTTATTCCTTTAATTTGTGAATTACGAGATGAGATTGGGACCGGGATAAATGATGGATCTGGGAGATTCACGTTGAAGGGATAGGAATATCATTAATTAAAGTGTTAGTAGAACTAAATGAGGGGCTAGGAATAGAAGGAAAAGTGCTGGGAAGAGAATTAATCGATGAGCTAGTAATAAACATAATTGAGTAATTTGAAAGAGGATATCCAGGACTTTCTCTTAATATGAGCGATCTATGATGATAAAGGAATAAAATCTTCCTCCTGAAAAATATTTTCTAGGGGTATATTTAACACGATTCATATCCTTTTTGAATATTTTTTGAGAAGGCTGCCAAAGGTAAAACATCCTTTATAATAGAGGGAAAAAGAGATCCAATAGTGATTTCGCATCCACGAATAGATACCATTGTCATAAAATTTTTATAAAGACCCATATACTGTCTTCTCTAAGAGTTGCAATTTATGAGTTCAGTGTGGAGGAAGATATAAAGTATTATACCATTATCTATACAATATTGAATTAGCATGATAAGATTGATGGGATATGTGATTATCCAAAATTAGTAAAATTTTATATTTCTGGCTGCATCTGGTATTAGAAACAACGTGACTTAAAAACGTAATAAACTCATCCTCCTATATCCAGCCAGATCCGTTGGATGCGCCAATACTTCCCCGAGGACCGTCTCTAATAAAATGAATATAAAATTTTTTATCTGGAAAAATAAACATGGGGTGAATATAATTCCCTAAAGCTTTAACAGCCAGCGCATTGTTACTCAAGTGATTCGCTCTGCGAAGGTGATGGCTCCTATTTATTTCTGACACTTCTGCGCAGAATTTTTTGGGTTTTGCAGTTGTCAAACCTGTTTCGTCCATATTATAAATTGGCATTGGTCCTAATTCATGTTAATCTAGTATTCCCATATACAGATTTTAAAAAAATATAGAACGGCCTCTTAATTAAAACCAGCAACTGAGCTAAACTAGTAGCCTCGGGAGATCTTAGAGATAATATTTATTCTCATAAATAAAGACAACTATTATTCACTGACCATTTTATTTATTTAATTGAATAGCATGATATAATATGCTTGAATCTTTATCTAATATATAAATAATATTACAATTTTTTAATACCTTTTTAACAGATAAACCATAAAGTTTTACTACATTAAATTAGATTTTCAACCATTTTATTCTCCTCATCTTCAAATAAATTTTGCGTATTATCTTGACCTATCTCTGACATAGTGACAGCCATTTTATATATTTTATACTGTCTTAAAAAATATGTAATAGGTATGCCTAATAAAATAAATAAAAAATTTACACAAAATTTACCCAATTCTATATTTAAATATAACATCATTTGATATTATTATCAGACCGAAATAAAATTTTTGAGCCGAAGCGTCAGAAACAAGTCGGAGCCACCTCTGCAGAGCGAAGGACTCTAGTAACAATGGAGCTGACTGTTAACGCTTTAGGGAATTATATTCGTCCCATGTTTATTTTTCCAAATAAAAAATTTTATAATCATTTTATTATAGACGGTCCTCAGGGATGTATGAGGATGAATTTATTATGTTTTTAAGTCACATTGTTTCTCATAACAGATGAAGTAAGAAATATAAAATTTTGGATAATCATATATCTCATCAATCTTATGCTATTCAATATAGTATAGATAATGGTATAATACTTCTATCTTTTCCTCCACACTGCACTCTTAATTGCAGCCTTTAGACAAGACAGTATATGGACCTTTAAAATTTTTATGGTATAGATTCGTCGATGCGAAATCACCGTGGGATCACTTTTTCCCTATGATATTTCCTCTATTATAAAGGATATTTTACCTTTGGCTGCCTCCTCAAGAAATATTCAAAAGGGATTGAATCTTGTGGAATATACCCATATAATGAAAATATTTTTCGGGAGGAGGATTTTATTCCTTTATATTAAGAGAAAGTCTTGGAAATCCTCTTTCAAATTTCTCAATTATGTCTATTCATAGCTCATCAATTGATTCTCTTCCCAAAATTTTCCCTATATTCCTAGCCCCTAATTTAGTTCTATTACTAACACCTCAATGAATAATATTCCTATCCCTTCAAACATTAATCTCCCAGGTCCATCATTTATCCCGATCCCTATCTCTTCTCGTAATTCGCAAATTAAAAGAACAAGGAAAAAAAAGGCGATCTTTACCTCATCCCCATTCTAGAGGGAACTTATATTAAAAAAGAATAATAAATCAAAAACATTGTTAAAAATTTAATAAAAGATCAGAAATATAAAAAATTTCATAATTAGAATATTGATAATACCTTTTTAACAAATAAACCATAAAAAGTTTTACTACATTAAATTAGATATTCAGCCATTTTATTTTTCTCCTCATCATCAAATACTATTTGCTTATTATCTTGACCTATCTTTGGCTTAGTGCCAGCCATCTTATATATTTTATGTCTTAAAAAATTTGTAATAGGTAAGCCTAATAAAATAAATAAAAAATTCACTCAAAATTTATCTAATTCTATATTTCAATATATAACATCATTTGATATTATTATCAGGCCAAAATAATATCCTGATAACTAAAATGTTCATATCTAATAAAATGTAATAATTTGAATCATATTATATTGTCAATTATAATAGATATATATAAAAATATTTGTTTGCTAGATATAATTTACATATGGTAAAAAATTAATCATATCTGATTGAAAAATATAATTATAATTTGAATTTAATCAAATAATATGTCAATCACAATATATATGAAGATTTTAGTTTGCAAAATATTTATTTAGGTCTAATATTATATTAAAATTGAAATGTAATATGAAAAATTAAATTAATAAATTTAAATAATAATTATCATTTTATATATTACATTTATAGATTATATTTTAGCTTCTAATAGATGATACTATCCTTGATAGCATATCATTTTCATTTAGTTTTATAGCTTTTTCATAATCCTTTATAGTAAAAAATTTCCTATTTGGAATTTTATGTACCATAATAATATTAGAAAATTAATTGATTGATTGTGCCGACAAGTCACGATTCTACTAATCTTAATGGTCGTAATATTACTAATATGATCTTAACATATATTTAAGCATTACATATCAAACTGAAACTTCCTAAATATTAAAATAGATATTCAACTTTCATATATTGGCCATTTTGTCATGTTTAAACTTTTAATTTTTCTATACAACCTAAAAATATTAAGAAAAATATATAATTTCCACGTCAAAAATACGTCTTAACAGATAAAAAATTTAAATAGCTAAATAATATAAATTATTTTCATCCCCAAATATGAATAATATAGAATTATATTTTAGAACAAAATTAAAATTTTTAATCGTTACTGGTTTTAAAATAACAAGCCCCTTGCACCGACAACTGGTCTCCCTTAAAATTTTTTTAATCCAAAAACTTCAATTCAATCTATAAATTAAAAGCCACTCAAATATTCCTTTTATATACCCGGTAATATACTGTGTTCAAAGAAGAATCCATCTAACCCTGAATTCACAGTTAGCGAGAATTAGCGACAGGTATACAAAATGTTGTAATAAATTAAAAAGTAAAATAATATTATTTTGCAGATAGAAGTGTAGGACTAATGTTTGTTAGTTTAAATCATTATTTTGAATTAATTAAATTAAACAAAGGTAAAATTATAATACAAATATTATTTTTTCAAACGATATTTTTTCAGAATCATTTTTTTTTTCAAAACGACCTTTCGTTGACAGTTTAATTTATTAATAGAATTTAAATATTATTTGTATAAACAAAGTAATTAAACATTTGTATTTTGATGAAATGTAAGGAAGAATAGAGAAAAAATTGAACAATTTGTTCTATAAAAAAAATAAAATAATAATAATCATCCCCTCGGAAAATGGTAACACGCGATCTCATCTTAAAATTTTATTTCCGATTATATTTTAAAGAAAATATCGAGAAAAGGAGTAATTTTTGATTTATACGATTTAACACTTATAATCAGGAGACACTTGATCACGCGATATTATGATCACGCGAGACTAGATGGAATTTTGATATTCTATTGAATTCCCATTTTTTTTTTAAAAAAAATATTTATATTCATAAAAATACTAGATGGGTTTAAAAGATAAATGGTAATTTTTTATTTTAAAAAACCGCGAAAAATTTTTTTTTTATTTTCTTCTAGACTTGATCTAAATTTAAATACAATATTGAAGATTAGTGGAAAAAAAATTTAGTCAGAACAAAATTTGAAAAGGAAATAAATCAATCAAATTCAGAATAATTTATAAAACGTTCAGAAGAACCTTTAAAATGTGAAGGGATAAAATAATCAATTTTAAACCGAAGGGCTTGACTGGCAAAAAGATGTAAATTTTTTAAATAAGTTTGGCACATTATATATTTTTTGAGCATTTGCCCTATCTGAGAAAATTTTGGGCCCTGAGTTTAATTATTATATCTATAAAACAATAGAATTTAGTAAACTTCAAAAATAGGATAAAGTGGTAATGGGAAAATCAAGTGTTTCGTAATCCAATGGATTGGTGGGTGAAGGGTATTTCTAAGGGACCTGAAACGTTATGTATAAAGGATTCGGTTCGGTTATGGTTACGGTTCTGAGGCAACAAATTATAAAATCGGTTCGGTTAAGGTTTAAAAAATAAAATTAAGATTTTTTTCAGGTTTTACAATAAAAAAAAATAGAAAGACACAAAAACATAAATGATTTTGATTAAGATGATGCACAATATACTAGTTATTAAAAAAACTTTTCAAAGAAAAGTTTATAAATTATCAGATATTACAGTTAAGTTATAATTTATACACATATAAAGCAAAATAGTTTCAAACCGATTAAAAAAAATATAAAGGTTTGGTTCGCTACTTTTAATGATTTTGTATAAAGGCTCAATTACGGTTTCGAAAATTATAAGGATTCGTTCCGATATAACAGTTAAGTTCGTAAGGTGTTTCAGGTATTTATCAAGAACTTTATTCAATAAAAGAAGTTTGTTTCTAAGACTGTGGCGATCCACAAATTTTTCATCATTCCGATCCGATTCCGATAATTATATTGATTTTTATTTACTATCTTATCTATCTTTGAACCAATGTCATAAAAATATCAATATTTTCTATTTAAAAATATCCAATTAAATTTCGCGAATGATTAAGTGTATTTTGTTTTTTTCATTCTCCAAAAGTTAATAATCTTATATAAAATATTTGCAATGTTTATGGGGTGAATGTGTAGTGTTGAACAGCTCCGTTTGGCCGATTTTTTAAAAAGGGCTATATCCAGATTTTCGCCAAAATATTTTTATCTAGGACTCGAAATTCCAATAGATGTCCAAAACTTTTTGCCATATGTGGGCAAAATAAATAAGCTTGAGTTATTAACATTTGGCCAAAATCTTTAGTTAATAATAGGTTAAATATACCCGTTTAACAATACTAACTGAATGTGACTCGTTAGATACTCTAAAAGGTTTTAAATTATTTTGTTAATACCAGCTAGAAATGAAACTAGGAGTTATCATTTCCCAATTGCCAATATCTGAGGATGAATAATATCAAAGTATCAATTATAACAAAAAAAATTGTAAAATTTTAAACTATTTTTTAAAAAGATTATATAACAAATAAATTATTATTAAATTATTTATAAAATAAAAATGATTACATAATTATATATATAATAATAAAATAACCAAAAACAATAAAAAAATATCGGATCCGTTTCTTAATATCGGCACTGCCCTAGTTGTTTCATATATTCAAAGAAAGAATTAATAAATCGATATAAATTGTTCACGAAAAAATTCCCCTTAGATAAACGATTTAAATACGGGTTCCCCATGGATTCCCTATAAAATATTTGGTTTAATAAATTGAGTATAGCTTTTTATCAATATTTTTTAAATGCATAAAAATTATTTTTACACTAATTTCGATTTTAAAATGAAAACCATTTGGATAATTATAATAGGCACAAAAATTGACTAACTCCTCCTGTATTGTAATGCCATGATTGAAAATAATGACATCCATTTATTTTTTTTAATTTAAAAGCTTATCATGATAAAACATAAAATTAGCTTTATTTGCCAATAATAAAATTTATGATATTTCTTTGGTTTTTATTCCTTTTTTTTCGCTTTTGGTCCAAGGCCTATTTTGCAAATAATGTTAATAAGTAATACATAATAATAATATAATATGAAGTATTTTTAATGTTTAAAAATAATTTCTAGGTTATTTTCAATGAAATGTTATCAGATTGATTAGTAGCAATTAACATGTAATTTCTAAATGCCTTTGAATAAAACTTAACATTAATTATAAAATAAATTATCTATTGGCATCGCTAGCCTTTTGAAGCTATTAAAAAAGTTAATATAATTGCAATAGGCCTAAGTTATTCCATTTTATCTGTATAATGTGTATAGGCTATAGGAATGCCACCCTCCCCCTTGGAAATTTGCTTGTTTTTGTAAATAACATTCTGACGATAGAAAAAATTCCTGATGCCTCTCTACCCCCCCCCCCTCCTCATCAAAAAATGTATAATATGTTATTAAATCATTAATTAATAAAAATAATTAAAAGTTAATTATTTAAATTTTCCAGAAAATGAACCATTTAATATTTTTAAAAAGCTAAAAATAAATTTTTTAAAAAAAATAATATAACCTAAAGAAAGCCCTTCAGTTAAATTTATGAAGAAAACCCAAACCTAATAGTACCCCTTAGCAAAATCGTGTTAATATAGCTAATAAAATAATCATATACGAGCAACGTACCAATGCCACCTATTAGACATCAATATGGTATCAGTGAATATTTTTACAGGCTTGGCCAAACTTTAAAATATTTTTTAGGGTAAGTCATTTCCTTTCACAAAAAAATATAAAATGGAATCAAAAAAACATGATAGAAAATTTTGACAGGTCCACTTCTACTTGTAGTAGAAATATTTTCCTGTAAGTTTATTTTTTGTAATAGAATTAATATTCTTTATTAATAATAAAGAAATTGTTTTTATTTTTAAAATTTTGTGCTTATAGTAAATATTATGATGGAAACCTAATATTTTGTTTAAAATGCTACCTTTCTTATGTCTTTAGAAATTAGAAGATCAATTTTTTGTTTTATATTTGTAATTTAAAAGGCCAAACTTTTTTTTAATTTGTAAGTGTTGATTATTATTTTGGTAATCAGCCACTAGTATTGGATAAAAAGTATCAGGACATTGCTTTAAAAAAAAATAATTTCAAATTTTCAATAAGATTGAATTGTCCTGCCCCCTTTTCCTTTTTAAGCTATATCAGGTATGATTTATATTTTCACTAAATAATTTATTAAAATATTTTTTTAGCCTGAATATAATACAATAAATAATAAAAATATATACCATTGTTCGTAGACAAAAGTGATGTTTTGTCTTTCATAGAATTAGGAAAAAGGGCATTGGAATTAATTAAGTCATTGATTTGTGAATTGTGAGACAAGATTTCAGAAGAATATAATGTTAGATTGGAGTTGGACCTGATATCATCTAAAGAAGATAACGTCATGTAATTTGGATTATTTTGAATTGAAGATTGTATGAGTGAGTTATTCTATTATTTTTATAAAACTCTTAATCATAATAAGAATATAAAACTTGATTTTGTTGGGATGAAAAATTAACATCAGATATTATAGGACCAGTTGAATTTGATTTATGTGAACCTCCTTTGGAAAAATTGGTGCTAATTGGAACTACTCTATATGTTATTTGACCTTTATTCAAAAATAGATAGATTATAAAAGTTTAAAAACCATCTCTAGTATTTTCTTGATGAAGTTGATACTGAATATTTGGATCTATGAATGCAGATTGAGTCAGTTCTGTGATACATTCTTGAGTGTCACAATCTAATGATTCTGTTTCTTAATTATTTATATAAAATAATGGATATTTTTTCAATTAGTAATTTTACCTTCAACTATATGATCTTCGTTATTTATTGAAATTTTGTGGTCACTAATATATTAAAAACAAATTTTTATGAGATTTTTATTATTTTTTTCAAATACTCACGTGTGATTTAGTGAATTATTTAGCAAATCCATAGGGCTTATATATGGGAATATATCACGAGTATAAAATCATGTGTCCACGATCTTGTGGTTTATATAATTAAAATAAAGATAATAGAAGAAAATATTATCAAATGGTTAATAATATTTAAATGATGAGGTGAATATAATATTTTCAGTGTCAATTTGATTAATTATGGTAAGATTTAGAGCGTAATGATCTTTATTACTAAATTCATATATGATGATAATTGATATGATAGGTGAAAATTTTTTTGATTTTATTGATTTAAAATTCTATCATAATATGAAGATTTAAGAAATAGTTTTGCCACTTTATAAAAAATAATTTCTAAGTTATGCTATGAATTTCAAATTATAATATTCATTTTCAAGACATTTTTTTTCAAGTTAGTCTATAAGGCTATAAGTAATTTGGAAATATAAAAAAGCGTTTATATCTATGATATGAATTGATAAATATACAACTGAATTGTATTATATTTATATATGTTATATTGAAAAGAATATATTCTGAATGTATAACTTATATAATATAGAATCAATATACATTTTGTGCCTTTAGATAAAGAAAAGATTTGTTAAATAACCCGATTTGGGTCGATTTTTAAAACGACCCGACATAAGCTTCTAATTTGGAAAATAGAGGTCCAACCCTTTTTGCTATCTATGAACAAAATATAATGGTCCATATTATATTTTGGCTGAAATCTTAATCGAGCCGTTTTTAGATCGGCCTAAATCGGGCTTTTTTTAACATCAATATTATATATTTATGTTAAAGCAACCAATAAAAAAAAATTAGCTCCCTCCCCCTAACGTTACTGATGAAAAAGGAACGAATAAAAATAATACGTTATATTTAAAACTTGTTATCAAAGTTGGGCAGTTCAGCGAATACTTGTATCTTATATTATTTCAACACTTTTAAAAAGATACTTATATGTATAAAATACTATTTTTAAACTATGGCTTTAAAAAAAATCGACATATATATTTATTTTCAACCAATTTCATTGTTTTTCTTTCTATACTCTCTTATATTTAAAAAAATCTTTGTTTTATATTATGACCAAATGTATATATGTATAAATATATACGTACATATACATATATACTACTAGCTTGGCGATTCATTCAATAAATGTATTTAAAAGTGTTAATACATAGGATTAGCTTTATTGCCATTTTGTCGTTTGCACGATTAAATGACATTAATGTGCATTTATATAACCATAACTAAGGACAATTAGTCGAAGTACACATATGTTGTACAGACACTTTTAATTAATAAATCGCCAATCTACTATATTATATATCATTAATTTTGACATATTTTACGCAAATTAGATAATTCAATTATGATCTTATTTTGTAATAAGATAAAAATCTTTATACAATCGTATTTTTTAAATAGGCCAAATCATCTTTTTTAATTAAAAAGATTTCCTTGATTCTCCAATTACTCCTTAGGTTTATTAATTTTTTCTTGCCATCATATTTGTAAAACAAATTCTCAGGTCTTTCCATTGCTGAAGCCATATTTAAAACTTGTTGAAAACTTATATTTTCTCCCAGGTCATTTATTCCATTTGGGTGTGAATATCTTACTACATAGCTGCCATTTTTATTGCTGCCACCATCTGATCTTAATCACTCACCCAGGTCTGACTAAAACTTACACTCTAGTGGTAATTTTTTAAGCCACCCTGAAAACTTAGCAACTGTTTCGCATTCCCCTCTTTCTATTGAATGAACTTAATTCTAAAACTAAATAGGTATAGTGGGTCTAAAAACTGCCTTATTTCATCATAATGTAGTTCCTTCAAAATTCTTGGATATTTGAATGGCCTTATCTCTGCCAAATTACTAATCCCCATGTATTCAAATAATATTTTTCTTCTTGGTTTCCTTATCCACCAATATTTTCCTTATCTCCAAAACATCATTCATATATTTAATATTTGAAAAAAAATATTAATTTCCCCACTCTTAATATTAAGAATGTTTGGTAATCACATTATAAATGTCAATCATATACATGATAATCATAATAATATTATCCAAATAAACTGTAATATAAAATAAAATGTATGAAATATCGTAATACAAGGTCTGATTGCCTATTTTTTGGACATCGTGTAAAAAATAGTAATATTTGGATTGATGATTAAAATCTTTTTATTATATCTATTTTGTTTATTATTAATTTCATATATATCGTGATATGAGTGTATTTTCTTAGTCATCAAAATATCATGTGCTTCTTAGTTTTTTTTAGTAAGCTTAAAATTTTTTCAACCGATTTGAAAAATTTTGCATAAAAATGTTGCTATAAAATATTAAATACATATAATCTCAAGGCTGAGGTTAGTTTTAAAATTAAAAATTTTGTTTAATATCACCAAACTATCATAAATCACCATAATATAGTGTGCAAAAATATATTTGTAAAATAATTTTTAAACCGTCTAAAATGCATTAGAATTTATAAGAATTAATGAATAAAGAAAAATTAAGCAATTTATAAACTATATTAAAAATTTCAAATATAAATCAATAATTAATTCACAAAAATATTCTTGAGAATATTCTAAATAAATAGGTATTTAGAAAAAGAAATATATGCAATCTGCTTTGTGATTGAGCTATTTTTTTTAACGATTTTATAATGTCTAAAATCTCTATGATATATATATATATATATATTTAGAAGGGCTAACAAATTTAATTTATTTTGATATATTAAAAAAATAAAAAATAAACAGTATTTTATTTATATATATTAAAAATTATCACAATTGTAAATTAAATCTAAAATATCAAACAATATGTGAAATTATTATTTTTAAGATTTCAAATTCGAAGTATAAAATAAAATTATTATATAAATTGCTATGGTTTCTTTTAAAAAAAACAAATATTTAATCATTAGAAGAGAAAATTAATTTTTATTTTGAATAATCATACTGAGTTGTTTGGCTCTCTTAATGCATAATTTTAACTAATATTTAAATCGAGTAATATAGCATTGGCTAAAAAAAATAATAAAATATCAGAAAATTTTATACATTTTATATTAAAAAAATATATGTATTTTTCAAAATTAATCCACAGTATATAGACTAGCGGCAAATACAATATCCCTCTTTATCTTAAAAGACGCTTCCTCCATTTTCTTGTATAAATTAGTTTCGCCAATTATCCTGGCCGCGTTTCTAACGTTGTGGCAAATCTCCTCGAGTCTTTGAATGCAACGTACTATAGCGCCTTCTTGGGCCGTAGTTAGGGTCGCTACTTCTTTGAACGACTATAAGATTAAATATTAAGCTTATTAAAATATTACAATGTTACGCGAAATAAAATTAGCTTTCGTAATTTAAAAAAAAATGGGTTATTACTTTATTCTATAAATTCCACTAGGACAAACCCGCTATTTCCTAAACCAGAATAAGACTTAAGTGAGGTGAAAACTAAAAAAAATGAAATATCCTTTCCTATGAGTTTCGGCTTTAAAAAAAATTATGATTGTTTGTTTAATGGATGATAAGTTTAGCGGTAGATATCTGCTAATCATGGCCTATATTTTTTTAGAAATAGTTTTGGTTCGGGCCATTTTTTTAAAAATTTCGTGCCAGGCCGGGCTTAAATTTTTAATTACATTATATTTGTCAAATAAATTGATATATTTTAAAAATATTGCAAAAAACAAAACGCTATTATTTTTTATTTGTAGAATATTTTTTTTACAATAAAAAAAATATATAATTTTTCTTACAATAAAAAAAATATATAATTTTTCTTTCAATATAAAAAAATTTTTCTTATAAATTCGGGCCAGGCGGACAAATTCATACAAATTTTATTCCAGGGCCTGAGAAGGCCCGATGCAGATCACTACTTAGCGGGGTAATAGTTTTAAATGTTTTTAGAAAGTTCTGAAAATATATTAAAATCGATCTATTTTAGCAAATTAATGAATTGCACTCTTTTTAATATTTTTTTCTGAATAAAAAAAATTGAGGGGGGGGGGGGTGCGTTTAAGGCTGGATTCATAGTGAGATCCCGACACAATTTAATAGCTGATCGATTTTTAAAATCCATATAAGATGTCAATTTGTCTTTAACTTTATTAATTCTAATTCATGATAGTAATCTAAGAATTATTGATTTTAATAAATAAAAATTGATCTCATTTAAAAAAATTTAAATTCAACTGATAAATCGCATCGAACCTACTATATAACCAGTCTATGGCTACATTCTACCTAACAAGCTATTATATTCTTACAAATTTTTATGTGAAGATGGATTAGTTGCTACAAGGCATCTTAAATTTTTTTTAAAAAAAATTGTCAAGTTTAAGCATTTTTATATTATTCAAAGACATATAAAAAATTCATTTGATATAGAACTGTTGTTGAGATATTTTAAGAATATAGTTATAGAGTATATCAACATTAAGATTGCTCTAAATGATGGTAAGATCATTGACCAATTCGACAAGGACAAATTCAATGGATCTTAAAAAAAAAGAAGAAAATTTTGATTTTAACTTTGCTAGAACATACATAGGCTTAAATATAAAAAATTGATTTTTTTTTAAAAAAAGCATAAATATTTAGAAAAAAGGGGGGGGCAGACCATCGAGAATAATAAAACGAGTAAATAGATTATTTTTTAGTCAAACCTGGTTTTTATTAAAACATATGACTCAATAATTATTTTTTATAACGATGAACTGTTGAGTGTTATATATAATATTAGGATCTTAGATAAACTCTGGCGCATTGTACCCAAGTTTTCAAAATATAAAGAAAATCATCGCGTATTTAAAAAGGTATTTACGATAATTTAGTAAATTAAAACAAAAACCTTATATAAGGGTTTTAATTTAAGAGAAAAATTATCACGTGTTATAAAGGCATTTATGATAAAAAACACCTTAAAGGATTTGATTTTAATTTAAAGAAAAGAGTTGATTATGAAATTTTTAGAAGTTGTGGACAGAACAAAGTGGTAATAATAAGTAAATAATGTTTTAATTTTTTATTACTTTCCCCAGAGCCCAGTGGTATACTACTTCCATCATGCTGAAATTGAAGGATTCTAGATATTTTTCGCTGTCAATCTTGCACTGCATTTCCACATCGGCAATCTTTCGGGCTATATTTAGAAAATCTTGTTGGTGCTAAATAAAAAAGGAAAAAGAGAAACATATACTTTGAGGGGCGAAATTTTTATTTTTTTCCGATTGTTAAAATATTGATTAATAAACAAATCCATTTTATTCTCCATTGGGGTTTTTAAAAATCAAGCCGTTTAACAACATTAATAAATACATTATAAACGGTGGGTATACAAAATTTCTTGTCGATTATAATTTTTGAATTATAATTACAATACAAATAATTTTGAAGAAAAAAAATATATATATTTCCCTCCCTCAGAATAACTAAGTGATTTAAAAAAAAACATTCACGTTTTAAATAAATTTTGCAAAAAAAAAAGAAGCGAAATGGCGTAAATTATAGCAAACCTTTACTAGTTCGGGTGTACGGGCCGGAGTTTCAATATGCTTTTCCTGACATACCAGGCAACTCAATATTCCGACAATGATTTCCGGGCTCAAATTTTCGAAATAATTCCAAAACAGCAGCTCCGTTATGATTAATTCCGCGTTGGTAATGCAACACGCTACCCTTCCTTTCATGAGAGCCACGTGATTTTCGTCAATGTATTCCAGCTTCTTGAGCACCTGCAAATATAGAGGAAAAAAAATCGTGAAGGATTTTATTCCAAAATAATGCCTAATAAATATCAGTTATCAAAGTTACCAATATCGCTAATTATTTTTTTAAATGGTTAAATACCCAAGAAACATATCAATATACATATTTATATATAACCGCAATCCTCTGTTCGTATTCAGGCAAAAACTGAATGTTGCCATATTTAGATTCCCCGTCAGGGTCATTATTATTACTATAGGCGGACGTCAATTGTTTCAAGGTTGCCAATTTCTTCTCGTAACTGTCATGAACGATAAATTTCTTGAAATGGCAATCTATCATTTGATCGAACAGTTGGCTGTGGGCAGAAGTATGGAAAGGTGTGATAGCGGGCCAACTTTCAAAGGAAGGCAGCAAACGGGAACACGTTTTGACGCACTTAAACTCGCGGGATATGCTTAACATTGACATCATGCGTTTTAGGATCTCCTCAAGCTCCGCGTCCGTGTCTAAGTTTAAAGATTTGGACCCAAATTTATTGTTATTGTTATAAGATAGCGAGGATTGGTGTTCTAGGTAGAAATTAGAAGTGTTCGTAGATGTGAATCTACTTGAAGAGGAGCCTTCTAAAAAATATATAATGTTTTATTAATAGTTAATTAATTAAGAAACAGAGTTTAAATTACTCTTCAAAATAAAAAATCTTGATCTCTAAAGATATTTTTAAAAATTGAGAATTTGAGAATGTTCATTTTAAGATAAAATTCCAAATCTATTTTGTTTAAAAAATATTTTTTATAAGTAAATCTAATTCTAATTTTTATGCATAAAAATATTCTCAAAATGCTACAATTTTGATCTTCAAAAAGATTTTTTGCCTTAAAAGATTAGGCGAAGATAAATATTCAAGACCACAATATTTATCTAAGTCTTATATTGTAAAATGATACCATTTCCCAAAAAATGGCATCCCTTAAGCTTAAACTATTTAATCATTTTTAGACACAGTTCCGGACAGATAACGATGCTCAGGAGCGTAAAAAGTGGAGAAATGGGATCAGAGAGAAACTGAGTTAGCCGGGCTAACCTGGAAACCCGCCAAAACGAGTAAGGTATTTCTTAAAAGTTGTAGCCATTCAAAATTGGATAAACTTCGAACACCCGAAATATTCAGGATTTTTTTTAAATAATCGTGTGTTCATAATACTTTCAAGGTTTAAAAATATCTGGAGATTTTTTATTGCACAAAATTTTTAGAAAAAATCTTGAAGATTTTTATTTCGATGTTGAACAAATTTTAAACTCTCAATAGAGACGTAAAGTTAATAAACTAATTTCTTAATACCTAAAATACTTTAATAATTTAAAACATATATTCTCTTGTATTTTCAAAATAAAATAAATAATTTTTAAAGAACGTTTCAATTTGGAGAGAAGTGAAGGAACGAACGCAAAAAATTGATTGATGTTATCTTTCTGGGAAGAATAAGTAGTGCGATTCCTCTGCTTACCGGTGAAATGTTTTACGTTGCTCAATATTTCGTCCGCGTTAATAGGACAACTCAAGTTGCTAAGATAAAGGACGTCTTTTGAAAAAAAAATATATTAAAACACCCATGATATCAGTAGTTATAAGAAGTGGCCTAACTTTGATATGAACTCGATGGTAACCATAAAACTTCATTGACAATATCATGTTTTACTTAATACTTATAATCCTATATAATGCTAATAAAAATAATAATATTTAGTCCAGGTTGAAATGAAAATAAAAATTTCTTTAAATGAATTAAACAATTTACTATATCTGATATTTTAGTCAACCTATATTCGATATTTTTAACATTTATGAATACAAAATATTGATTAGAATTTTAAATATGGTCAAAAATATCGATGTACAAAAAGATTATATAATTAGGGTCAATAAGGATTTAGATCAAAATGCTCTAGTTCTTTGGTATATTTAAGACTTTTATTTATATTTAAATGATAAAACGTTTGGTGTTTAAAATAAAATACATTTAGATCGTTTATATGTTTATATGTTTAATTCAACGATAGAATTTAAGGAAGTTGCAAATTGCAAGGTGAGGCGGAAAAATTGTTTGCCCTAGGAGGACAATAAAGTAACGCGGTATTTTTTAAGTATCGGAACTGAACCATAAATTCTTACAGGAGCGTGGCTTAACAAGCATTAGTAGAAGTGGTCCCATTTTTAGAGATTTTCACTACCAATAATAGGTAATCCTCAAAAAATAAGCTATTTTATAAAACAATCTTTATTGTAAGAATTTTACCTTTCAAATCGATCTCTTTAGTACCGAACCTATCTTTATCGCAATCGTCTAATTGGCGTCTATTATTATGGCCGACTTTTATGATAACAAACAAAAATCGAAAATCAATCAAAAAAAATAATATAATTATTGGAAAATGAAAAGGATTAAACTAATAATCAAAATTAATTATTTAAAAATATTTTATATTTTACTTTCTTCCGTCTGCGTGTATCCCTCACCACCTAAATAATGATCATTCAAAAAGACCCAGTTTCGAACCAGCATTTGAAGCAAAAACACGTTCTGGTTAAATTGATCAGTTTGATTTCCCTGTTTAAAGTGAGTGAAGAGCGGGGATTTTTTGATGGGTAACACGTACAGCACTTTCAGATAGGGAGTATTCATGTGTCGATTGGCCCGTAAAACAAGGGCCATACATATTTGATAGGTGATAATTTTGGAGGACGAAGGTTTAGCTTAAAGGGGAAATTTTTTTTAAAAAAATACAATATTCGTTATTTTATTACTTTGATTTAAAAAAAAAAATTTAACTATTTATTTAAACCTAAGAACTGCCATACCCAAATCTTCTCCCTTCAAAAAATTAATATCGGGGTCTTAGTTGTCTTTTTTTAGATGTGGGCAAGCGCCATATTTAAAAAAAATTGAGAGAAAAATATTCCACTCACTAAATGGAACCGTATCGCCATATTTTATATCAGAAACCTGCAGGCCCGGACCAAAGCCCGACCAGGATTATACGGGCCAGGGTATACAAATAAGCCCCCTAGTTTGAAAATATTTGAAAAATTTAGGGCCAGACCATGAATTAATCAAAAATAAATATACATATCGGGCCATATATTTTACAAATGTGATGGCCGGACAATTGGTTCCTCTGTCGATCTGTTTTTATATCAGATGGTTTGAAACTTAATTTTTTTATAAAAATTGTCTCCAAAAATCTAAGAATTCATAAGCAAATATGGTTATTTTTAAGGAAAATATATATATAATTAAGAAATAGATAATTGTCACATAGCGTCAACTGGTCTAAGGAAAAATTTACAATTTCTATTAGTCCAATTTCAATTTCCCCAATTCATTAGATTTCCATGAAGCTTAATGTGCGAGAGGGTTAGATATATGAAATTTTTTTGGGGGATCAGTTGACGCTAACTAATAATTGTCATTACCAGCAATAAAACTATTCGTCTTGTCTTCATTTCCCATCAATTTAAATATAATAACGCGACCGGGATTCAAAATTTCGTTCAAACGCTTGAAGGAATATAGTTTGTTCTTGTGTTAAAAAAATAAATAAATGATATAATAAATTATGTCTGAATATTATTTTAAGTCATTTTAAAATTTGATTGTCAATTTCTTTTTATCAATTAAACATTTTGACGAAGAATGTGGTAAATTATATATACTATTTGGGAAAAAATATTGTATAGAACCAGAATCGATTTTAATATTTTTCAGAAACGGTTTTAACAAAAGTTTAAGTAATTTAGGGATTGTTTCTAAATCGCTAAAAATGGCAATCTCGCTTATATTTCCTAGAAAAATAATTAAAGTAATATTGAAAATAATATCAAAATAGATGCTGAATTAAACACTTGTATTTCTCGCATTCTTAGCGATTTTTTTTTATTAAAAAAAAAATCAATTTAAATACAAGTGTTTACTTCCATAATAGCGCCAATTATCAATATTTTCAAAATTACTTTTAAAATTTTCTAGCAAATATAAACGAATTTTTTTTTGTTTTTAGTAGTAAAGAGTCTTAGACCGGGACTGGACCGGACCGATCTTTTTTGAGGACCGTGGTCCGGACCAGTCTTTTTATCTTTTATGGCCAGACCGAGGTCCGGACCGGTCTTTTATTATTTAAGTTTGCTTTACTATTCATTAATATAATTTTTTTGTATATTTTATTTTATGATATTTTTCTAGATGAGTTATTTTAGATTTTGTTAATTTTTATTTTACAATATGAAAACCATAAGTTTGTCCAAGAAACATTTTACTTATAGTCACAATAAAAAACATAGAGTATGTGTTCACTGCAGTACCAAATTTAATGTATCGTCAGAAACAAGTAACAAAATAATTGTTTATAATTTTTTAAGCAATAAATTAATCAAAATAAGCAGTATTATTATTAAAATATTTTGGTTATTATTTATATAGTTCTATTTTTTCTTAAGAAACTGTCTAAATAATTCATTGTCAAAATAACTTAACCTTATTCTTAATAAATTAATTAGGTACCTTAAGTAGACATCTGATAAAACATAAAATATATACTTCTAATGATGAAAATGAAATATCTCAAAAACACAATCTACTCTTAATTTTAATATGCCCTCCACAAGCACAAAATCACTTTCTTCAATACCATTGGATAAATTTTATTGTTTATATAATACTCTTATATTTAATAATATAAATTAAATTAAAAAAGTTTTTTATTTAGGACCACGGTCTGAATCGATCTTTTTCTTAAGGACCGTGGTCCCGTCCGGTCCGAGGTTATCGGTCCAGTCCGGACCAAAGACCGAACCGTGACCTTCACTTTTTAGTTTGACGATTTAGAACGGGATTGTTCAAAATATTGCGTGATTTCATTGAAGGGTTATTTACTGTTTAGATTTTTTGTCCCTGCTTCAGAGGTTGGAAGTAAAACAGAATCCTCGGAACAAATAGAAAACTAGAACCATAAGTCCCTTTTTTAAAAAAATTTTAGGTATCGAAGCCAATTTTTTTTTAAACATACAGAGAACCGAATTCTTTTTCTAATATGCTAAACTCTGAGAGAAACATTGTTAACTAGATCGTGCCCTAGAGAGTTTCTTAAACAATTTACTCCACAGAGATAATTACGCCTACTGCTATCAACACCTATTGAACTTGGTAGTTCAGTAACTATTCAAAGCGAAGCAATAATTAAATAAAAACTGGGAAACTCCCAATTTTACAAACACGCAATAAGCTAACTTCCCGCATTCTTAAAACTTCAAAATTCCTATACTTATAATAAGAATTATATATGACGTCAATCAACCCAAAACAATTTACTAAATAACGCTCGAATGTTATTAAATGTAAAAAAACACTGATTATTGAAACCTTCGATAGCTAACCTTACCCCGTTTGCAGAAGAAAAAACTGTTCCAATAGATCGAACCAGCATGGTGTCCCTTCTGAACCTTTAAACCTCTCCTGTCACTCAAAATCAATTATTTTTTATGAATATATAAAATATGATCACTGAGTGAACTGAACCGTTAAACCGGAACGAATTTCATAATTTTTCACCCCAGAACCGAAACCTTTCTAGATAACGGTTCGAGTTGGTATAGGATAATTTACGATGCTATTAAATATTTTTTTAATAAAAATATTCCAATAAATGAAAAACCTCGAATGCTTGAAAGAAAGAAATTATCATTATAACTTTTCCTTTTTTTATACCATGAGAAATTTTTGGTCTTCGAAAAAATTGTTAAACGTTTCCAGCAAATAATCGATATCGTCTAAGCACGTCGTACAACTAAAGACTTCGGGCTTCTCAGTCTTGTCTATCTGACGTTTGAGCTCTTCCAACTTATTTCCTAAGAGAAAAAAAATATATTATGATTTTATTTCAATATTTTTGATTAAAAAAAATCTGTTAATAAATTTCTGTGTAGGTGAGTTAGTGGATGCAAAATCGCTCCATTTGAAACCGATTTTTAAAAAGGGTTAACTCGATATTTTAGCCAGAAATATTACCTAACTGGGATTTCGCTGATAGATGTCCATTGTGTCATCTATGAGCAAAATCTTCAGGTATAATATTTTTTTGGAAAATGTGGGTTGTATATAATTTTCACCTAGTAAATATATCATTTCATTTAAGCCCTACATCCAATGGCATATATTTTTTTTTAATTTGCATTTTTTTTGTCAGCTCTATTTGCTAAATCGCGGATATAATTTTCTGAAAAAAATCCCTAGTTAATTTTTTTTCAAATTTAAATTTTCAAAAATAAACCCCCCTTTTTCCTCGAAAAATAAATATTTAGGGTTTATTTCCTGGGGAAATATCTTTCGCTCACTTTATTTGATTACGAAAAGTAAATTTTTTTTTAAAGTCTATCATTTTTAAATGTATATAAAAAATAAATTTAATTATACTTTTAAAAAAAAGTATAAAATGCTATAAATTAATTTTGGATTGATAGTCTATCATCTTAATCTCGGTAAATTAGATTGATATTTTTTTCGTTATATTTTAAATTCGTAATCCTGGATAATTACAAATGAAAGAATTTAACGATAAAGTTTAATCCTGTTTTTCTTCGTGGATACTTAGGCCCATTTTACGTAATAAAGTTTTAAATTTTTATTGAATTAAAAACCTGTATTGGCCTGATTATAAAACTCAGCAAAACTACGTTTCATCATATCCTCAGCTTTCATGTTCTTGTTTTGCAACAAATGCAGAATCATACTGTAGTTCAAATAAAATTTAGACTCCAGCTTGGCCGGCGTGCCTAACATTATAATTTTCAGGTCTATTTCGTCTAAGATGGTATCCTTTTTTTTTATCCATTAGAAAAAAAATGTTACATTATTTGTTAACATTATTAGTTTTTTTATGGGTTGAGATCATAGAGTGGCTTAAATAATTAAACTCATTAGGGAATTTCGATATAAAGAAGGTATTATACCTTTGAATCGATTTAAACGCCGTTTTAGTTAAATAATATAACTACACGATGAAAAGAAGAAAGGATGAAGACGGGAATAAAAAATAAAAATGAATTTAAAAATCTTTTGTAACTTTGCAGAGAATGTAGATGCTTCCGGTAGTATCCATACCCCTTCTGCCAGCTCTTCCAGCCATCTGGACGTATTCTGCAGGATTGAGATTTCTGAAGCCAGAACCATCAAATTTTCTTAGCGTTTCAAATACCACAGTCTTGGCAGGCATGTTTAGGCCTGTGGCAAACGTTTCTGTGGCAAACAACACCTATTTATTTCAAAAAAAAGAAGCTTTTTTAAAAAATATGCGGCCAAATCCTTAACCTTTAAAAAAATTGGCCTAAAAATATCAAATTATGATTTAATTGAGGATCGTATTCAATTAACCCCCTTCTATTTATTTTTAAGGGTTGGCTTAAGTATAGATGATTTAACAACACTGTCCCCGCTTTATTTTAATTTTTAATTCTTTTCAAGACTTTATAATACACAAATTAAAAAAATTATCACTCGTTATAGAGGTTCAACCTTATTTTACAATATTACTAAGTATATTTTGAACGTTTCCATAATGATTGACAATATTAATTTTGATAATATCATGTAGATGCTATTAGAAAAAATCAATAATATATCTAACTAAACCTATGCAATCCTATTATAAATTTATCAACTGTCTACCCACTTAAATAATTTATTTAACCTTGATGCACTGTTGGTGGAACAGGAATTCGACCATCTCTTTAAGCAAAGGAAGAATGCCGCTGTGGTGAACACCTAGCCCAGAAGAGAGGAGTCTAGTTATGTAGCGTACCTATACAATCGATATATATTTATTTATAGATAGTGATCATATGATTTGTCTAAGCAAAAATAGTTTTTCAAACCTGCGGAAGTTCCTGGTCAAGAGGATTGAGCTTGGCCACACATTTCTTGACGAAAACCTCTATTTTATTCCTCTCGATCTTATCAGTTAAACAGATACCATCCAAGGACTGCACGATGGTATCAATTCGCTTGCGGCTGAAAAGAAAGACGACGGCAGGCAATTTGTTGTTTAGTCTACAATGCTCTATCAAGTTAATCCAAACCGATTTATCCTTTATGACTGTTACGGGCCGGTTGGGTTGTTGCCTAATAATTTTATGTTTCGAGAAGCGTTAAAAAAATATATTCAAGGCCTTTAAAATTTTATCGTTCATGAACCCATAATATTAAATATTTAGCAATTTTCATTAAAAGAAGTGTCGTTGAATTCAAATCAGCTGGTGACACGCCATTTTTATTAAAATTTAGTAAAAAATATTTTGTATGAGTAATCAAAATGGCGTGTCGCCAACTGACTTGTATTGATATATATTTAAAACGAATGAAGCATAAGTATAAGTAGCATTATATGTCATTGATCAGCATCCGATCATTCTAACTATACATATAATCCAGCTAGAATTACTTTGCAAATTTCTATCTTTCTGCTTTCTTTCTGAGAAAGAAATTCTATTAAAAAGCCTTATTTTAAGTTGATTTATTTTTTTAAACGAAACCTATTTCCATAGCTCATACTGGAACTTCCTCTTCTGTTGGGCCCAGAAGAATTCCTATTGCCATTAGGATTATTAGACCCTCCCCTATTATAAAGATTGGGTTTATGATTTTGGTAAGGAAAGCGCCGTTGAGTTGCGACGGCCTAATATATATATTTTTTTCAAAATAAGTTTAATAAAATAGAGTTTAAAAATTAAAATATCATTTATTAATGCAAAATAATATACACAGTTAAGGTCTCTTTCTATAACATGATGACCAAATTAGCCTGAAACATTTGGGAGAATTTAAGTGGGATGGTCCAAATTTTTTTAAATTTTATTCATTGGAAATATCAAAAAAAAACATTGTACTTTTTACTTTAATTTTCCAAACACAAAATAAACTTTATATTTATTTGAACATTCAAAAGGCTAATTGTTTTTATAACTGACTAGGAATATCATGCATATTTTTGCAAATTACATCGAGTTTATATTTCGCCATCTTGAAATGGTCGGCTAAAAAGTTGTTGGACGAATCCACAATCATGAACGTGTGACCATCGTCTGCAAACAAGAATGTTAAATGAAATTACATATATGCATATAAAAAGGTCATATAATATCATTCAAATACATTAGGTCATATAATATCATTCAAATACATTTACAGATATGAATGATATTAATCTATTTTCATTTAAAACGTTCCATAAACTTTGTCCATAGGAAATAGAGCGATTGCCCTTGTCTAGATTGGTGATGTAGAGATAGTGTTCAAGCGGGACAGGCCTCTTGCTAGTGTAAATGACGTATATGGGTCTATGCTTGATGGAACCTATCCAGTCCGCGAATTCCAAGGCGTTAGGAGCCGTAGCCGAAAGAAATATCATTTTGACGTGCGGTGGTAGCAGTATAAAAACTTCCTCCCACACGACTCCCCTTTCTTCGTCGTTGATGTAATGCACCTTTTATATCATATCGTTGTTTTATATATTATATTCGGAGTTTGGAACCAGAAGCATTATAAGAATTAGAACACCAGTCCATATTAAAATTTCCAGAGACTGATTTTGAAACCTGTTCTAACAAATGTGAATTGTTTAAAATTTTGTGATTCAATTTTTTTGAGGATTTTAATATTATTTAATATTTTTTTAGGGCTGAACCTAGTGTTTGTTAATCGACTAAATTTAGGATCGACAAACAGACGACTTACTAATAGTTATAATCAAAAAATTTGACTAAAAACTTTATTTCTATTAATAAAATAATAATTAAAAAAAAAATATTAAATTTGGTGCCAGCCAGGGGTATAAAAATAAACAAGTACAAAATGTAAAAGAATTTTAAAAAATATAATAGTAATAAAATTATAAACAAATTCAAGAAATTAGTCGGCTAATTTAGTCACTAAAGTCGTAGTCTGAAGAAGTCAGCTAATTAATAACAATAGCTACATCATTCTACAATTTTTTCAGCGATGAGATCTGATATTTATTTTAAACGGCACCACAACCGATATTTACATTGATTATTTTTGTCATTATTTAATATAATATAAAATATTGCAATAATAAAAAATCTGTGTATAAATATTTTTAAAAAAAGGCGTTGTAATCAGAATATTCACTTATACAGGCTCTTAAAAATCAATTATAAGATATATAGTAAATAATGTCTTATTTTTATAAAGTTATAGCCCTTAGGGAATAATTATACATACAGTTCCATATAATTTTTTTTAACAATGATAAGAATGTTCGCTTATCTATTTTAACCTTTATACAAATAAGCAAAAATAATAATTAATCATTAAAATTATAATATTAGATATTTTTCTTAATAAGGATAAGAGCCTCTGGTTTTTCTGATAATAAATTTCTTCTATGTGGGATATCTATATCACCAGCTGTGCTGAAGAATGATTCTTATGCAGGAGATGCCAGATACTTATGTGCAAGGTTTGCCAAAGTCAGAAAACATTAACCCTCCAATAATCAAGAGGATCAATCGGAGATAAAATATTGATATCTCTGATAATAAATAAGGCTGCATTATATGTTCATAGTGTGTCCGTTCCGATACCTTCCGTCTTAAAAACAAATCCGGCAAATTTTATAGAGCGTTATAATGTTACTTAAAATTTTTTTAAAATGGAAATCAATATATATCATTTTTAATGAGATTGACTTTTGACGGAACGGATGTAAAAACGGATCCGTCTCCACTTTGAATACAATCTAAAATTTAAATTTGCATGATTTTTATTAACTAGAAATTCTTCCTTAATAAAAAAAAACTATGGAATAAACAATAGACAAATAAAAATACACAAAAATTTTGGGTAAATATTAGTTTATTAACATACTTTATTTTACTATAGTTAAAAAAATAGCAAAAATAAAAATTATACATTTTTATTCTATAAGACACTTTTATATCGGAGTTATGAAGAATTATCACGAGAAAGAGAAATTAGTTCAAAAATAGACATGAAAAAAGTTAAATAAAAAATCTGTATTAAAACAAAAATACGTATTGGTTAAGTTTTTGAAAAATATCAGCGAACTCGAATTAATGGCCAATACGAAGGTATTGGATTGTAACCAAAATTCTAGTTTAATAGAGTATAAATTATGTCTTCGATATTTTTTTTTATAATTCGATTCAATTCGATTGTGGCAAAATTGTAAATTACAAATATCTAATGTAACTCATACCAAAATAAAGATGTAAAGCCATGCCACAGTCAAAATTTGTGAAAAAGTGCAACAATATTAGGAGTTGGAATAGAACTCGTGACTAAATACGATATCTATACATTTGTCACAACTTGCTTGCTACTATCTCCTTCGAGTTCCTATATGAAATGTATTCCTTTTATCTATTTATTTTCCGTTCTAGAAATAATTCAAAAGCTATTAATATTATATATTATGGTAGATGAATAAGAAATTTTTAAATTTTAAATCGGCCTAAATTATATTATAAATATTTTACACAAAAATGTTTTGGATTTATAGGCGTATTATTATATGTACTTATATTATATTTTATACAGATTTACTTATAAGATATTTTTTACAAAAATGATCTGGATTTATTGTAAAACTTGATCACAAATTCTGCTCGATCCTTTCGACTAAACATTTTTCAGAGTTTAAAAATAAAATACTATTAACACATAAAAATCACGGAAGATTAACTTATAAAAAAAAATTTTTTTTATAAACGGAAAAATTTACTTTAAAAAACATTTTTTTACAAAAATGATTTTGATTTATTGATAAAATTTGATCATAAATTCTGTTTGAACATTTTCAACTACACCTTTTTCTGAGTTTAAAAATACTATTATAATCGTGGAATATTTCATATACATGTAGATCATAAAAGGATTTACTTATAAAAGACTTTTACTAAATTTGATCATAAATTCAATTTAAACCATTTTCAAAAAATGTTTTTTTTCTTCAAATTTTCAGATATCATGATCTTTGAAGTTTTTTTGAGCAAATGTTATACTCTTCCATTTTTTTAAACATGCTTTGAATAATGATAGAGTGTCTACTCTGATTGCAAAATGTTTTCCTATATAAATTATATAAAAATATAAGAGAAACAAAACTTCAATGAATATTGATCTTTAATCCCAAACATTGCTCAAAATTTTTAAATTACCACTGGGTATAATACTCATATTATATCACACTATATATGGGCACCCATTGGAAAAAGGCCTTCCTATAAGTTACCTCGCTTCAAAGGAAAAAATATAGCTATATTATGTACCATAGGAATAGGCGAACTAAAAAAAATAAAAAATTACAGACGGGTAATGTTGTTAAACTACCTAACTTTAGTCAACTATAAAGCAGCATAGCCATGTTTATAACCAAAAATATTCGAATCAATCTTCAAGTTGAAACTCAACTTAGAGGCTTATTTGAATTTTTTAGGCTAAAAGCTTGACTAGGCCACAATAGAGAAGGTCAAAGTTAGGTAATTTACAACACTAAACGGGGATTTCACAGCAATGAAATTAAAAACATTCCTCGAATCAAATTCAATGTGAATAATGGATAATGCCCCAATTCATATTCATCGAATGAGGCTTAATCTTAAAAATTATCAAAATTTAATGTAAGTTTGAATTTAAAAATTATTATAGATTTAAAAATATTTTAAGGTGAAAAAAATATTTTAATAATTTTTTTAAAAATGATAATTTTACAATAATTGTTAGTGCTGTAAAGTAACGTCGTTACTAACTTCATTATCTTTTTTGAAGAAAAGGAACGCCATTCGTTACCTTCTTCTAGAAGTAACGAGTAACGGTAACGCGTTTCTTTTTTTATGAGTAACGGTAATGCAAAAGGTTACTTAAAATTTTTTCTCAAAAAATATTAAAAAAAGAAGAACATATTTTATTGTACTATAAAATTACTTTTATTTATTTTTTTTATATAAATAATTTAAGCCGAGTTTTTAATTCATATCAACCACCATTCCTTCATTTTTATTCTAAATTTTGTTTGTCAAATTTTCATTTTAAAAATTAATTTAATAATAGAATATTAAATCATAGGTATTATAAAAATAACCATTAAAAGAAATAATCATACATAATTATATACTAAATGCAATTGTATATTCTTGATATATATTACAAAATATGACGACGCATTATTTATGTCTGTGACCTTCGCTTCTTTATATATTCTACATATGATAAATTATTATTTGTTCGACTAGTATTACTTTCCGAATTAAAAACAAAATGAGATATAATGGTTATAATACATTTTAAGATTTAATAAATTAATATCCATTAGAGGGCGTTATAATTTAAATTTATAAAATGATTTTTTAATTATATTTCTTCAGTAACACCTTAAAAACTAAAAGATTGAAAAAAATCTATATAAATTTCCTTAACATCTAGCTCATCAGGAGACCGAATTAGAAACGGTATAGTAAAAATTTAAGGAATATTATGAAAATAATTTTTAAAAAAAATAAACTAGTTTTGTAATAGATAGGTTTCATTTATTTATATACTAAAATATTTATACTATTTCGTTAAAACGGAATGATAATCTAAAAATAATCTTAAATAGCAACAAATTAGTACTTCGTCAAAGATGACCCATTCTAGCTCTGAAATAAGGTCGTCTTGTGTGTAAAGCATAACTTTAAGAATTTCGGTGGTCATGATGAGGCAAAACGCGTTGGATTTTATGCATACATCTCCGGTTATCAGGCCTATGTCCTCACCAAATATTTTTTTGAAATCCCTGAACTTTTGATTCGACAGAGCTTTAATCGGTGAGGTGTAAACAACTCTAATCAAATAAATTAAGCAACAAAAAATAATTTTAAATATATAAAGTTAGAAAAATAATACTTATCGCAAAAAAAAAATGTAAAAGGTCAATAGATTTTTTAAAACAACTTATTCTTTCTACAAAAAAATTAATATTATAATCTTAGCCAGACCATGAAAGTAAGAGGTTATAAACATTTAATTTTCATTCTTTCGACCTTTCTTGCATGGAATTTAACTAGTTCACATCAACCTTTTTTTTGTTAACACATAGATATGAGTACATATCATGATTAACTATCTCTAAATATAGGGATAAAAAATGAACAAAATATTTTACTCATTTAATTATGTAAGGAGGTGGAGGGCTATTATATAAAATGCAATATATTTATTATTATCCACAGCATGTAATGGCCAATTAATATATTTCACGTGTTTTTTAAATAATTTTTTCAATTAATCGTTTAAAGCTAGAATTTGATGTTCATATAAAATTAAACACAATATATATTCATCAGTTAGTTGTCCCCATTTTATGGTTAAACTTAAGATAATTATCTATCCTCAGTGCTGTGAATATAATAAAAATAAATATATTTATAAAATAGCCCTTTTATTTATAGCTTGGGTAAGTGCAGATAAAAACAAATTTTTCTTAATATTTTGACCAGAAAAAAAAAATTGGTACGAAACTTGTTGAATTCTTTATAAATATTTTGCAACAGAATGTTGTGTAGATATATCAACATGCAAACTGTTGATCGAGGTAGTGGGTAAAACATGATGAATAATTCAAAAGTGAATATGAAAAAAACCTTGTTTTGTTTCGTTTGGCGAGCGCAATGGCGTATTCAGCTATAACCGTTTTACCTGCAGAAGTATGGGCCGCTACTAGGACGGTTTCGCCCTTGGATATTTTCAATATCGCGTGCTTTTGAAAATCGTCTAGTTCAAATGGCCAAGTATGGCCTAAACTTGGAAGTCTTAATTGTATTTTTATTTTGGTTTAAAATGTTTAAATCACAATGTTTCTCATTTGTTTCTATACTCAATTTTTAAAAAAAATATTTTCCTTTCTCTTTAAAGTTTTGGATTATAAAGTATTGATACTAAAATTGTTTTTTCTTCACAAAGAAGAAAATATTTATTATATAATACGAAGGTATAGTAATATCACGCTTGTAAAGAGAACTTTATTTATTTATTGATAAACTATTCTATTACTTAGCCTCCTATGTCATATCTTGTTTTCCCAATTATTCTTAAATACAATTAATAACTACTCGTGGTCTGAATCGAGCCTAAATTTACTAGCCCAGTTCGGCCCAATTAAAAAAATAATTGTCCTGCCTGGTTCGATCCTGAACTATTTGTCCTGAAAAACTCAACTCAAAAAAAAATAATTTGTCCGCCCCCTCGGTCGAAATTTATTTAAAATAGAAAGATTTAATTGTTTTTTTTATTGTAAAAAAAAAATATTCTAGAAATAAAAAATATTCCAAGTTTCTTGCAAGAATTTTAAAATATATCAATTTATTTGACAAAATGTAATGATATCATATTTAGAATTTTAAACCTGACCCATCCTGGCTAGAAAATTTTCAAAAATATCAAGCCCAACCCACCCAAACAGATCTCTATAATATATACCACCCTGCAATAAATTTATGCGAATTCAGGGGAAGTAATTTTTTGTATTTGAAACCGAATTCATTCTTATCTGTGAATGAAAGCTCTTATACAGCTAACAATAATCATATTATTGTTTTATTGCTGTAAAATAAATTTTAAAATGTTCCTTTAAATAAAAAAATTTATTCTTGTGGGTTTCCTCTGGTCAACTGGGAATTTTCTTTTCTGATTTATGAACTTATATACAAGTTTATTCTTTTTTAAGTTAAAAATTAAAACTTGGTTTTAAAATCGGCTATCGCGTCGCTATCATTGGCCAGATCTACGGAGCGGGCCCATTTATAGCCTTTTTGTGTGGAAGAGGAAGGTAGGGGCAGCGAAGGGTGAACCAGCGAACTGTGTTGCTTTTGAAGTGATAGCGATTCTGATTTATAATGGTAGAAATATTTTGAAAACTTTCTTGGAAAAAAAGTTGAAATCATAACTTTAAACAGAATCTAAAGCCGTAAACCTTAGTTTGGTTTACCAACTGAATTCAAACTTTTGATTTTTGCTAAAACCGTCTCGTCAAATTGGGTTGGTAAATTTTATCTTGATTCTCCAAACCAAGCTCATCAAAAATCGTAGAATTTGGGGCAACACGCTCAATACAAGTATTGCCATATCTCATATCAAATGGACTAAAAATTAACTTAAAAAAACGAACTAAATGTTATATTAAGAAAAGGTTTTGAATTATAGAAACATGACAAATTTTTAAAAAATAAAAAACACTTATTTTTTGGAATAATCCTAAAACTATAAGATTTAGAACAAATGATAATACAAGTTTTTCTAAAAAAAAAAAGAAGTTAATTGGTTAGGGGAAGTTTTAATCTTCATTTATTCTAAAAAAATTTTAATTAAGTTTCTTCAGAATATCTTACATTGAAATATGTATTTTGTTACTTCTTTAATTATATATTCCAATAAAACGTTTTTTAATTTTTTTTTAATAACACAATGTTTTATTTTTATTGTTTTAAAATTATATATCATGGGTGAGTATTATAGTGTTCAATATCCATTTTTCTTAAAAATGTTTAGGAGAGCATTGAAATAAAGAAGAAATAAATATCAAAAAATTCATTTATCTAAAATCATGCATTTTGCAAAAAAAAGTGTATATAGAACACTATAATACTCAGCAGATATGATAAAAAATATATATTTACGGTTTATCATTTAGAATAATTTAATTTTATATAATTTGTATTATTTTTGAAGATATATAAATAATATCTTTGCAAAAAATTTATTGATAGTTTTCATAATAATTATTATATAAAATCAAATTATACTTTGCAAAATAATCCCTAATGGAGTATCTTTATCCGTCAAATTCAAGATCTGCTTCAATTTAGGATCAAGATCATCGATATCCATGACACTCTCTTGTCCTTTGGAAGAATCATCCTTTGATATTTTTAAATCGCCTAATGTTTGGGTAATATCATCTTTGCTCTATCAGTTTTGTTTTTTTTAAAACAATTAAGTTTTACAAATTGTATATAAATTACTTATAATCAAATTAATGCTCGTTGATGTTATTTAGGCCTAGAGATGTAAAAAAGGGAAAAAAACAATTAATATTTTTTTTTAAAAAAATGTAAAAATTGGGAGAAAATCAATTTCAAAACACTCAAAAATTAAATTTATAAAATTAATTAAACTTCCAACAAAATAGTTGATTATATTTAAGATGATTTAAGAGTCTGTAATCCCCAGCCTTGCCCATAAGCCAGGTAATGTTTGAAAAGATGTTATCTAGACCAGTCTGAGGAAAATATAACAGGCCAGCCTGGTTGTGCAAAAAAAAGCATGTTCGGCATGCTTAATAGAAAAAAATTTATTCTAATGCCTAATTTTGTAAAAATAATATTTATTTCACTTATTAAAATTTCTTTTCTCTTTTCCTACATTTTGTGTTTATTGCTATAATAAGATAATTGCTACGCTAAACCTAAATCCTCACTATTATTGGTTATTTTTCTATAAGTTTATTTCTGGATTTTCCAGGCCTAACTGGGCGCCCTAGTAAAAAAAAATTGGAACCAGGTAAAAATTTGGGCTGGCTGGGCCAGGAAAAAACTATATTCCAACTAGGTTTAACTTGAGAATTTAACCATTTCCAGACCTCTGAGATGATTGTGATATGAAAATTTGCATAAAATTTTGATAAATTATATAACAATTTAAAAAACATAAAACCCTATATATTTTCTATTATTTTTCCTGAAAAAATACTTTTTCCCCTATTTAGGATATTAGTTTGTAGAAAAATAATAAATACTACCCTCTTAATATAAAAAGATATTCATATTTATAAAATTATATTTTTTATATCTCAATAAATGAAAAATATGTGGAGCTAAAATAAATATCTGAACAATTCTTTTTTTTAACCAAATATGGGTGTCAATTTGGTTTTGGTAAATATAAGTAAATCTATCCATAATAAAAATATTGATTTATCAGATTATTAAAAAATAGTATTAGGCTACTATAAATGAATATCTGATCTGACCAGGGCCAATATTTCATATCTAAAATAAATTAATTAGGCAAATATTTTCTAAAAATCAATCCATTATTATTATATATAAATTTATGTATGTAATTATAAAATATTTAGTATTTATTCATAATTTCATAATGATAAAAAATTATAAAATATATAATTTATTAACCATAATGCTTATTTTAAAAAATATTAGTATAGAAGAAAAAGTTGCTAAATGAGATATTATTTTTCTTGCAACAAGAAAAAGATTTAAAAATATTTAAAGAATGATTACCAGCCATAAACATTATCCATATTTTAAAGAGATGATTAACTTTTTGAAAATAACAAAAAAGAAAACCATTTGTGATAATTCCCCAAATATTGCCTTTGTAGTTTAGTTAAGTATATTTAGCATAGTTGATTTTTATCACATTAGTTCAAAATAGATGGTAAATTAAGATTAATCAAAAAATTATATTGGTATTGGCTATCAGATCAGTTATGTATAAATATCAAAAAATATCGGATTATTACTAAAAAATTTCACCACAACTCTAATAACTTAAGATATATATAAATAATTTATGTATATATATATAATTTAAATCATAAGAATAATATTACTCTTATTTCTTTAACTTTTAATATTTCATCATTGTCAAGAGCTAAAATATAAAAAAAAAGTTTATTTAATTAAATATTAAAAATATATATGTATACGTTTTATATGAAAAGGTTCCAATACAATTTTATGTTTGGGAAAACAAAAATCAAACAATTCTTCAGCATCATCTATTTTATCAAATTATTTTGAAAAATGTATTATATATATTATAATAATGATATTAAAAAATTGATATTTAATTAAACAAATAAATTATTATTTTTTAGAATCAACTAATCAGGGCTAATATCAATACCAATAATATCAGGTATATTTTTAGGAATATCTTTAAACATCTCTTGATCACAGCTATCAGTGTTAAACACCTTAGTTAATATTATTATTTAGTAAATTACTAAATAAATAAACTTCTTCATATCCAATGACTTCTCCTGTTTTTAAATCAAATTTTTCTTTAATTTCTGTTTGAAAAGGAGGTACATTAAAGTTAAATAAAAGTCGATGGTCTAAATCACATGGAATAATCCTTAAAAAAATTTTTAAAAAATTGTGATAAAAATTACTTGTTTTCTGGTTCAATGTTATATGTTATATTTTTTTGGGCATCTCTTAATATATCTTCCAATCTTGATTTAATGGAGGGAATTAATGGTGGTATACCAAGTGGTAGCTAATATATTTAAATTAACAAGTTACGTAGATGATATTACTGTTTCACATTGTAAGGCTTGGTTTGGATTATATTTTTGCTCAATACAAGGTAAAAGTTTATTAAAAAGCCCAGCTTTGGTTAAAATGACTGATTCCGATGAGTTTGGTATGAAGTTTAACATTTTCAATTTTTCTGAAAGTAAAGATATTAATTTCTCATAAAAATTTCAAATAAACTTGATGGCGCGCCTGTCCCGATCATCAATTGATTTTAAATTGGATCCATTTTAAAACATATGTTAAATTATAATTTTAAAATTAACTAAATGGCTGATAAAGAATGAAATTATTCAGGGATCTGAACTGAAACTACCGGTTTGGGTTTATATAAGATAAAGGTTTCGGGTTTAAGTTTGGTTCCTAAAAAATAATAATCGCTCGAACTTCTGAACCAGGTTGAACCCCTTTATATTCAAACTTATCTTAGAATAGTGTTGTTATTTGGTTGGTTGTGTAAAACCTAGAGAAGGGGTTTGGGTCTAAACATCGAATAAACCACCTCTGAGCTCTAACCCCTAGCACAGACCCGGGATTGAGATCTGGGGTTCATACCCGAAGTCCAGACATGGGGTTAGCCGGGTTACAGATCCAGGGTCCCGTTTCGGGGTTCAAATCAGGGATCCAGACCTAAGGTTCAAGCCCGGGGTCCAAACACGGGGTTCATACCCGTTGTTTAGACTCGGGGTTTAAATGAATAATGTTATTCCAAATAGTTCAAATATAAAATATTCACCAAAAATATAGAAACAACAATGCAATGGCATTTTCTGAGGTTAGATAGTAGAACCCTACAAGCAACTCAGCTTAGGGTTAAAAATATTTTAATCGGGACCACCTAGGGCTTAGAAATACCAAAAAATAAGATTAAAATGAGTTATTATGTTGGTTAGCCGAGCGATTATTTTCAGCTATACCATCCTAGTTTAGAATTAGATATGAACTTTCTGGTCAGATTTAATTTCTCGCCATTTTTTAAACACATTGATTTTTTTTCTAATTTTAGAAATGTATCTTAAACATGTACATTTGATAACATTAGTTTCTATATTATGCAAGATTGAGCTTGAATGAGATATTTAGAATATTTTTGGATAGTTTTTATTTAGGGGTGGGTAGGTGGTTATAAACAAGCATCTTTTTATCCTGCCTAATCTGAAGTCAAAATATATAAAATCTTCAATTTACACTTTTTATAGTTTGTGTAATTGCTATAATTGGAAGCTAACTCAGCTCAATCTTCACGCGCTTGTTAATAAAAATCCGTTAACAATTAGGTAGTTGCTTATTAATTATTTTTTAGTTATATATAGTAGTGTTATTAAATGGCTAGTTTTGAGCCTATTTTAAAAACAGCTAACTCAATATTTCATCCAGAAAAATATTACGCAAGCCTGAAGATTTAGTTCATAGAAGGAACAAAGGTCTAGACATACATATATTTTCGAAATCTCTAGGCTTTATTGTATTAGCCGTTTTAAAAAATCGGCTCAAAACGAAAATTTCAGTTTTTTATATATTTTTAAAGTTAAGTTTATTAATTATTAGTTTTCAGTGTGTAGTGATGTTTATTAAATCATGTTCACGTTTAAATTCTAAATAAAACCCATTCAGATTAAACTAGATTTTGTTTATAAAAATTATCAAAATAACACATTTATTTTTAAAAACTTGAAAGAAAATGTTGAGAAAAACATTTTAAAAAAAAATTATTATAATTTTACGACAATTATAATTTCAAGCTACTTCAAACCAAATATATTTTAATCGACTAAAAAATCGGCTAATACAAGTGTTTTAGCCAAAAACTTTCACTCTGGCTTTTTGGGTAAAAAGAGAGGGTTTCAAATTTGGAAGAAATTAATATAAATAAAAACGTCTCAATTTTAACGGATTTTCATCGGCACGTACCTAAAGATTGAGCTGAGTTAGCTTGTATTGAGCCATTACCCAATTATAGCACTTACACTAACTATAAAAAGTGTAAATTGAAGATTTTATGTATTTTGACTTCAGAATAGACAGGACAAAAAGACGTTGTTTATAAACTAACCCCCACCCCCATCCTAAAGAAAAAGGATCCAAATGTATTCTAAATATCCCATTCAAGCATCTTGCCAAATTTAGGAACTAATATTATCAAATGTAAAGATACATAAAATTATTAAAAAAACAATACCTGTTTAAAAAATAGCGATGAAATTAAACAAATCCGGCCAGAAAGTTCATATCTTATTCTGAACTTGGATGGTATTGCTGAAAATAATTGCTCGGCTAACCAACATAATAACTCATTTTAATCCTAAATTTTTTTTAAATGAGTATCTGTATCTTAAAGTCTAAAAGTTACAGATACTTTTAATTTTTTATTATAATTTAAAAGGTTAAATATTTATTTTAAAACCAAGTTAAGCATTTAAAGATATTTTTAAAATTTCCTCCCAATATTTTTTAACATCCTAATGAAATTTTACTCAAATAATAATTTGTTCAAATTTTTCCAAGTTAATATATTGTTAATATTAATAATAATATTTAATAAATATCTCATATAAACAGGGATGTGGTCGACACTCGCACGCGAAGGCAAGAAGTACGCCGATTTAGATAAATATGGTGCCCTTTCCAGAAATTTTTAAAGAAATATGGGGTACGGCGTGCCCCTTTCAAAAATTATAATTATTTTTATAATGGTATACTAGCATGTTAAATTTTTTATCATTAAATATAAATAAAATATTTATCAACAAAATGGTAGTATAAAGTAGTTGTACTTTTTAATTCAAAAACTAATCCTTTCCTATTTTAATTTATCCTTAAAAAGGAATATCCAATAGAAATGTATGTCCTGCATCCATTTTGACTATCCGTTTACAAGCCTCGGAAACCTGGCAAGGACTGCATATATTAAGTGAATGGTGTAATTATAAAATTGATAAGTCATACAAAATAGAACACTTAAATGGCGATGTTTGGGAAAAAAATGCGAAACGTGTTAATTTAGATGCCCACAAAGTCTAAAAAAGACCATGAAATGAATAAAAATAATGCTGCCTTATTACATTGATAAACAAACCAAAATAATATTTAATACTATATATTATATTGCAAAGTAAATCATCCACTGTATATTTTGAATCGTTAATAGATATACAGGAGCACGATCGTTTAGACATGGGTTTATTTATTTACCAACGCTTATTTTTTAAACATAAAATTACACAATACATTAGCATGATTTTCTCTATATTTATTAAAAAATATTAAACTATTTTATATATGGTTCCCCAATGTTTATATTTTTTAACCTAATAAAAAAATTACATTAAAATTTTATAGTATGAGCTTGATGTTTTTCTTTTATTTATTTCAAAAAATAAACAATAATATTTGCGTGTATTTTTTTTTAACATAATAAAAATAATAGTAAAAAGTTAATATTCATTTTTTGTTAGTAAAAATAATAGTAAATTTTTTAACATAAAAAATAATATTCATTTTTTTAAAACGAAGTCAGATTAGTATTAATTTTTTTCAAACATAATATGAAGATTATATTAATTTAATTTAAGAATTTTTTCAGAAAAATTTTAAGGAAAACAATGTTTCCCTTCCTGCTATGGATGCTTCTTCACTATTAGAGTTATAAACTTAAGTTAAACTCGGTATAGGCCTATAAAGGCTTAAAGATAATATTTTAAAAGTATATTTATTCTAGTTTAAAAGTATAAGAATAAGGCTTACAAAAATTATCTTAACAATGTTAATTTGCCTCAAAAAGCTACAAAACTATCAGATTTTATCATTTTTAGTTTACTAAAATGGCAAAAAATAAATGTAAAAGAATTATAAATTTCAAAAAAGTAGTATTTGGTTATGTTTAAATTTTTCTAACTGTAATACTATTTACTTTTAATTCATACGAAGAGTAAAAGTGATATTACTTAAATAAATTAGAAATTAATTTTTAAATTTCTTTTTGTGAAATTTAAATGTGTTATATAATTTCCAAACAATAAAATTTGATTATTGACAAAGTTGATAAATCTTACTAAATGTTCTAAAATTTATTATCATATCAGAGACCTGCAGAGGGACAATTTGCCCTGATTTATTTAAAAACAAATTTTCGGCTCTGCCCATTTTTTTTTAAAAATATATTATATTTGCTTATTATTTAAAATATTCGGTTCAGACCGGGTGTGTGATTCATACAAAATAAAGTGTTCAAGTGAAAAGGGTTGTCAAAAAAGGATTGAAAAAAATTAATAGTTAAGTTTTCACAGCTAATAGTTGGAAGTTTTAAATTTTTCAGGGTCGCGGGGAAATTTCCCTTGTGTTACATCTAGTGTTGTTAAACGGCTCGATTTGAGCCGATTTTTAAAAACGGCTAATTCAATATTTTATCCAAAATATTACTCAAGCCTGAAGATTTTGCTCATAGGTGGCACAAAGGTCTAGACATATATTAGCGAAATCGAGAGCCTTAGACAATATTTCTTTGGCTAAAATATTGAGTTAGCCGTTTTTAGAGATCAGCTTAAAATGAGCCGTTTAACAACACTAGACATCCATACAAATAATCAATGACAGATATTAATAACTAGACTGACCATTTAATTAAATACAAATCAGCTGGTGGCACGTTATTTTGGTTTCCCATATAAATACTTTACAACAAAATTTTATTGAAACCTTCCTTAAAAAATAATCCGCGCACTTATAATAATAAATAATTTATATAGTAAACCTAAATGGCCCCACCAGCTGATTCGTATTCAATGCATCAAAGATGCATTGTAATGAATAAATCATTAGGCTATGTAGGAATTATATGTCACTATAAATAATTTAACACAAATAATATCCGATTTTTAGCTACTCATTCTTATTTAAGTGAATTTAGGTTCCTTTTATACATTTTTTATTATTTATAAATTGTTTAAAATATAAATATAATATTTAATGAATATTTATACAATCATAAATAACCCCGAATAATGATAATATTGTATCGGTTTTTTCGAGAATATTTGCCTGATCCAATTCATCATTGCTCTGATATTTAATACCGGCATATTCCTACCATATATTGAATGCAAAGATTCATTTCAAAATATGAAGATCCAATTACTTTTTGTAACTTTTTTTTAAAATAATCATCTAAATATTTTAGATTTATACTCTATAGGGGAGACCAGAGATGGTTGGGGCACTGCTCTTTTAAACCTGAAAAATTTACTAATAATAGACTAATATAGATAAATAAAACATCTTCTGAATCCTAAACATATAAGTTATTTGAATAGTTACTATATATTTTATAAAACTATTTTTTTTATGAATCGAGGAAATTTTTATTTTGGCTCAACCATGCCATGCTCTGGGTACATTAAGACACCTATGTGTGATAATTGGTCTAAACATAAAATAAAAGGTCTAAATATAAAATTAAATTTTTTTAAAATAATGCTATAAAATAAAATATATTTATTTTTTGATAATATCAAAATAGCTTTTTAAGTGCGTTTAATTAAATTTAAAAATTCTGATTGAATTTCAAAGAATTTTCTGAGTCATTTATAATTTATATATTGAAAAAATAGGAAGTTCAAAAGTTGGTAGAAATTTTTTTTTTACGAAGATCACAGTGTACCTAACTATATCAGTTTTATATTATCATTTGACCGATAAAAATTTTAAAATTATGTTTAATTTTTTTTTCTCAAAATATGTATTTTATGTATAATATCATCTCATGCAAATTTCATGTAGGATAGAAGATAGAGGTTCTAAATTGCCAAAACAATGATGGCGAATAATTTTGGAATCTCGCTTATATCTCCTAGAAAATTAATAGATTGGGTAGAAATAACAGAAAACATTGACGCTTACATATACAAATTTAAATATAAATTATACCCGGATAGGACACAATTTTTATGAAAAATCCAATGACATATGTACACTTTTAATGAATGAATCGTCAGTCTAGGTATTATTATATGTCATTGGAAAAATCTTGCCATTGTTTAAAAAAGGAAACCACGTGACTAAAAATAAACTATATACATATATTCCTTTTTTTTTTACTGACGCATGGACAAAAAAATCATTTTTACAGGCCTGAACAGGTTATTCATTTTTTTTGAAAAAATAATATCGGAGTCGGACCCGTATAGAAATCGTAATGGTCCTGTTTGTGCCATGATGATCTTTTAAAAATACAATGTTCTCTATGTAACCATATATAAATATACCTACATGATATTTTTTTGGTATTAATTTTACGCGGTTAAATTTTGCTGTAAAGTTTATTTAAATACGATAAAATCTTAAAAATAACCTACCTAAGATAATTTTGAAAATCATAAAACTCACCCATTCTCAGCAGCCGGCCCATGAACTTAATATTTTATTTTCTAGCTGGCCTGTTTTGAAAAAATTATTTAATGGGCTTGGCCCTAAATTTTTTTTCATTTAAATTTAGCTTATTTAAAACAGTTGTTTGCTAACTTAGAAAAAATATATTGCCAAATTTTTCTTCTAATAATAATAAATTTCAGTATTTAGAGCAAACGATTGCCTAACTAAATATTGAATATTGTTTCTTTTCATTAAATACAACAAGTAAAATGTGCTTGACAAAAAATTTTTGAAACTTATTATGTGCTTGAGAATTTTTTTTCGATTAAATATATGGACAGGGCCCTTAAATTTTTTCTGTTAGCCTGGTCCGGGCCTCATCAAAGGCTCATGAAGGTCTCTGAGTCACACACATTAGATATTTGATTAGAATAGTTTTTAAAATATTATGGATCTCGTTTCTGTTCGATTTCCAATTCTAGGAAAAAAGGATAATTTAATATTTCAACCGAATTTATTTTTTATAATCCCAATTACTAAAAAAAAGAAGAAGTTAATATTAAATAAATTTAAATTTAATAATATGAAAAACTATATTAAATTACAATGGAATATATTTTTTTTTATTAACTACTATGTCTACCTTTAGTAACATTTATATTATTATAACGAATTCAAAAATTTATTTATAAAAAATAAGAAAATAAAATAATTATTGATAAATAAAAAATAAATAAAGCACATTAAAAATTAATCAACAAGGTGCGCTTTTTGTTATAATAATATTATTTTATTATATATTTTTTTGAAAAAATACAGGTAAATAAGATATTTATCTTTTAATTATTTTTTTCAAAAAAATATTGTATAAATAATTAATAATGATTTAATGATTTTAAAAATATTCATGTAAAATAATAATTCGTAAAATACCTTATCAAAATATATTTGAAAATAATCATAGGAAAAATTCAGTTCAAATATTCGAGGGTGCCACCGGAGGAGTGAAATAAATAAAATTCGTTCCATTAGCTATCCTCCTCTAAAATCATGAAACATCCTAATAATCCTGTAAGTAGCATTATTTATATTTATTACGATTTTGAAAGTTTTGGAATAAATTTAGATAGTGAGGTGGGGCGTGGGGGGAAGGTAACAAAAAAATAAAAATATGGTTACCATGGGAAGCTATAAAAAAAATATATGTTTAACACTTTAAGAGTTAAGATATTAGCTAGGAAAGATTTTTTTAAATATATATATTCTTAAATAATAATAATAAACAGGAAAATTTAGTTATTTTACGAAAAGGAGGAGTAAGAAATTATAAACGAATGTAAGAAAAGTCACCCAGTTGCCGAGACGTTAATATTTAAGAATATAATACTGAGCTGAGTTATGGCTAAAGATCGACAGATTCTGCTCAATATTCTAAAGTCGCATGCCTTAAAAAATCTAAAAAATCGGCTGCACTCTAGATGTGAAATTTATTTCTGCATTATTCAAAGTTGCGCAATATTTTCAAAATAGAAGCGAGGGTCGAGATGATACCTTCGGCTAAATTAGGTTTAACCATTTTTTAAACCGGTTAAAAAGAGAGCTGATAGAGGTATGCAATGGGCGGGTGTTTATGCCACCCATCCATGCCTCGGACAGGCATGGTCGGATTTTATAAAATATTTTTAACATTGAGTGGATGGCGGGGTAAATTTTTAATAATTTTCAGACGAAATGAGCACAATAGAACAGACTTCGATTTATTAAAAATAATATTTCTATTTCATAATATAGCATTTTATATATTTTTGATTAAAAATATATTAAAATAAATAACTAAAGAGCCAAACCAGCCATTAAAAGAAGGCGGGCAGGTTAAACAAAATTTATAGATAAAGGGGGGGGGGGGGCGGGCGGGTAATTTCTTTAAAAAAATTATAAATGGTCGAGTGGGAGAGTTAAATAATTTTTAAAACAACGAGTGGGTGGGCTTTTTAGCTAAAAACTTGCCCAGATACCCAACTATAAATACAATACAACTTGTTTTGTTTGGACTCTTGATAATTCGGTCAACTCCCTAATTTGACCCAAAATTTTGAATTCCAATCAAATTCTCTATTAACTACTATTAGAAAATAAAATGTTTTAATAAATTGGGCAATATCCAAGGAGGAGAAAAATCTTGACCCTTAACGGGGCTCAAATTATAGGTTTTATATAGAAGGCAATGTCTAAAAAATTCTTGTTTGTGAGAAGGAGGGGGTGGGATGGCCATAGCATTCAAAATAGTTATTTAAATGGGATTATACAGGCAGTTAAATTATTTAATTTTATAAAGATCAAATCACTTCGGACTAATTGCGCAATATCTTTGATAAACTTTATATTTTTTAAAACATTTTTTTTTAAAAAGAATACTTCAAGTAAGATTCACTTAAAACTTTTAAATATGAAATTTTTCCAACTTTTTAAATTATTAAAGTTTTTAAACAAGTCTCGAACGCAACCTTTTATCTTTAAATAAATACAAAGTATGACAGGGCTGATAGTTACAGGGTAGCCGTAGCTATAAGGAACAAGCACGTTAGCAAAGCGGCCAAAATGGAGGAAGGTAAGGAAAATATTGATCAATCTATCCCAACCTCGAACATTTTCGCCAGATTCGTCTTTTGGATCCTCAACATAAACACATACACCCACCCAGAGGATCTGGAGTTGCTTAAAAAGGATTTCGAAATTGTAAGTTTAGCATGCAACAATATTTTTTTTTTAAAATGGGATTTATTTCAGAGTTTAGAAATCTAAATCTGGAACACACTTTTAGAATTTACAGCGGAAACAGAATTTATCTTAATATTTCCAGGTACCGGTTTTCTAGAACCCGTTTAAACTAAACGATTGTATATAAATGTAGGGTGATTTATTTTTAGAGGATTTATTTATTGTTCTTAAAATTTTTTATGAATTGCGTTATCGAAGTTTTGGAAACGGAACTTGGAACCATAGGAACTTAAATTTTCAGAACCATAACCCGCTTTTAGAAAATTTAGGGAAACAGCTATTTTATTTGTTTTGTATATTCAATTATTCCTGCTATAATCTGTAATATAATAAATAAACGATTTCTAAATTCATATCTAGGATGAACACAGATTGAATCTCGAAGACTTTTACATGAAATTAGGGACAGATCCTAAAAAGGTAACTTCTATTTTTTTATTTTACTATTTATGATTCAATCCAAAATAATTATACTCGTTAATTTGGTCTGCAGGGCTTTTCACAAACAAGGGCTTTGGAAATGTTGGCTAAAAATGGACCAAACAATATCCTGGCTACCAAAGATTATTCAGTGATCAAGGGAGTCCCAAATTGTGTCAAATTCCTTCAAACCTCAATGAAGAACACCCTTAATGGCTATGGCATTATTTTGTGGATGACTACGATCCTTTGTTTCCTCGTTTACGGACTTCAGATTTACTTTTTCCTCAAGCTCTCAACACAATACGTAAACATAATTAATCAACGTATAACTATGTTATAATTGAGCAAATTTGGGACCTGGTCAAATCATTTCATATATTGATACCCCCAACGATTTGATTTATTTATCGGAGCAACTTTCCCTTCCAAAAAAATAAATTACCCTCATATATCGATTAAGTTTCGAGCTAATAGTTATTAATCAAGTCAAATCTTATTATTTTTTAGAAGTTTGTATTGTATAAAAATAATTTTAATTTTATATAATAAAATTCAAAACCAATCTTACTGTCGGATCCTGGTTCTTCGTTTTTTCTATTTATCCCAGGTTAAACAGACTTTTAACTAGGATATCCTTAGTTCTTCTAAGTTTGTAGATATATATATATATATTATTTTATTATGAAAAAAAAAATCGACATAATGAAAAATCAATATTTTAAAATTTAAATAGTCCAAATAAATGTTTTAAAATTGAGAATTAATCCCCTCTGAGTCTATTTTGCCAATACTACATTCATAGTTATTTATATAGGGGAAATTACTTTAGAACAGCTGATTTATCTAAATTTCTGTTCGTCTATTTATAGTTATATGATTTGTCAGATTTGGTAGTACTAACCCAAATCTCTCAAACTTTATATAATCCCAACTTATATCTTCCTAGCATTTAATCTTAATCCTTATACTTGTTTAATTTTAGATATATATTTCATCCAATTGAAAAATCTCATTCACTTAAGCATCCCTCCAGTTGAGCTCATTTTGGGGCGCAAATAGTAATAATTCCTTTGTTTATATAAAAACATTTCAAAAAACCTACAAACAAGTTATACATAGCTATCTTACTGATAATCTTGAATTTGGTGAACGGAGCTGTGATTGGATATCAAAAAATTAGACTGTCGTCTAAATTGACTGAATCATTCTCAAAGATGGTACCCAAGGTTTACAAATATAAATAATGGCTTTATTCATATATAAATGATAATTTATAGTATTGAGACTATAATTTTAACGACTTAATCATTTATGCACTTAAGAAATGCACGGTTTTAAGAGGCGGCAGTAAATGGGAGATTCCAAGTGAAGAAATAGTCGTTGGAGACATAGTTGAAATAAAAACTGGCAACTTGGTTCCAGCTGATATGAGGTTGATCGAAACGAAGGACGTTTTAAAAGTAAAATCTTACTTTTATATTTATATTAGATAAATTTTATTTTACAGTATATTATTTATAACATTTTACTAATAGATATAAGTTTAGTTTAAACCTTAAATTTAGAAGAAAAAAGGTTAAATTTTAAGAGAAGATTTTCTATCAGATTTTTTTTTTAAAATTATTTTATAGAGATAATAGTCATCCCCTTGGAAATTTTCTAGAGAGAGAATAATATATAAAGAAATCTTTCTCATAATAATCATATTGAAAAATGTTCAAAAATAAACCTTTTACAGAGACCCGCAGAAATGCCAATTTTCAGGTTCGAGATTCTTTATATTTTTTGGCCCGGTCTGACCTGTGTTTTTTATTTTTAGACACGTGCAATTGAAAAAATTTTATCACTTTAAAAAAAACACTCTTTCAAAAAGATAATCAAAACGGGGATTGAAATGATCCATCTTGTGATTTTTTTTAAACTGGTTAATTGATATAATTAAAATTTTTTACATAAGATTCTTGTAGGTTAATCAGGCAATTTTTGAACCTGCCCGAGTACACATCTTGATCTTTAGGAACGGGCTTACAGGTCTCTATATTGTTAATTGAAACTATTAAAACATTTCAAAAATATTTTAATCTAACATTTCAAAATAAAATATTAGATAATTTATATTTTTTTTAAACATTTATGCTAAACTTATATACGATTTGCAACATACGTTAATTAAATTACACTTTAAGTGGCCCACTTTTGCATGTTTAAGCATATTGATATATTTAAATCATAAATATTTTAGACGAAAAAAAGAACGGAGGAATAAGAATTCATAGAAAATTGGAATTAATATATATTTTTTAAAGTCTCTAACCGTACAAAACATTTCTAGTATTGTGAGGCGTTCAATTTTTAGAAAGAAGTCGGAACAATGGCCTAAAAATGTTAGATATTATTGAGATAACTATATAAATAAATATTTATATGATTTATCAAAACATAGGTTGATCCTTACAACCTGTTTGGAAGGCACGAATTACTTATCAAGCACCACGCTTTTCAATCCAGCGATCCACTGGCTAGTCCTAACCTAATATTCGCATCGACAAAGATTAAGGAAGGTATATTCCACCCATTTTTTTAAATATAATACTAATAATTCATAATTTCTTAATTTTGATAGTATTTTATTTATGATTAGAAGTTACTGTTTATACTAATAGATGGCAAAATAATGCAGTAATAAATAAATCTCGATATTCATATTTAAGAAGATTTTATTATTTTATAAAGTTCATGAAATTTTTTTTTTAAATTAATGCCTGCCTTGACTGAGTCCTAGGAGAATGTTTCTTCGAATCCAACCAGCTGAGTTCGGGCGGTTTGGACTTTATCAGGTCCACGCAGGGATTTAATTCGCAACATTACTTTAGTTATTTATATATATAAATAAAATCTCTTATTTTTATATAAGGTATCGCCAAAGGGGTAGTGATATCAACCGGCGCAAACACTATCATAGGCAGAATAATCTCCTTAGCCGAGAACATGATTAAAATAGAAGTGCCCCTTTCGGAGGAATTGAGAGATTTGGTATGCCACCAAATGCCTGTGATTGTCATTTTGTTAGCGATCACGAGTATTATTGTGACGCTGATTTTTACCGACTTTACTTGGTTAGATGGTCTGATAGCCACTCTAGCCTTAGTCATTGCCTTCATACCCGAAAGCTTTTACATAACTCTCACGGTAAATTCCTTTAAAAAAATGCAACTTATAGTGCCATAAATACAGGAGGTGTGGGTATGAAACTTAATTTTTTTGTGCGATTAAAGTTAGAATTGAAAATTGGATTAGTCATTTAAGGCTACGTTCAAGTAGTTGAATTACTTTTCGTAAGCAATAATATATTAGAGAATTAAGAAAGACCGAGACTTGGTTAGACATTTTAAGCATCAAATGAGAACAGAATTTAAAACATTTTAGGCAAAACGGGATCTTAATATACTAATGAAATCGATGATAAATTAAAATTCAAAATAAACACTACTCACAGGGTGGTATGATATTAGCAGAAAAACTCAAATATGGAACTACCCCAAGTAGCAATAGTAGATTGACCAAAATACTTACATCTAACTCCAAAATTCCTTCTAAAGGTAGCTTTAAAAATTTGGAATCTATTGAAACTATGGGAGCCTTGACAACTTTACTGATAGACGATAGCAGTTTATTTGTAGATGAATCTCACAATAAAATATCACATTTTTGGTATGACGCTAATACTTGGACAGGCGAAACATCCTCGGAATACGCCCATTCCTCGCGGATCGGAATAGAAGATAAAAGTTTTTATATATAATATTTGTAAATAATAACATGATATAGTCATTCAAGAACCGCAGAGATGGGAGCGTTGGGTAAGAGTTTTAGAGACAGTATGGACAACATAAATATTCAAAAAAGCATTTTATAATTCTATATTACATCAAATAAGTGGTTAGTTTTTAGAATTTGGATCTGTTAAAAAGTCAGGGGCTCAAAAAACTAGCCCTAGTGACAAATATTTAAAATTTGCTCAAATTTAGACATTTTAAGCTCCAATTTACTTTTACCTCTCATAGCAACTAATCGAATTTATATAAATTTTAAGGTATTTCAAAACATCCGCGAAGTAGATATTGTTTTTTTTATCAAATAATTTTTTTAAAAAACAATTAAGATATATTATCCTCGTAATATTTTATGGGCAAAAAACAATATACTCGAGAATTATTTTAAATTTTTCTAAGGAAATTCCCCCAAAATTAAATAGTAAATAAATAAATAATAATCATCTTTAATAATCTTACAGGAACGAGAGTTCATTCGAGAAACGAGACGTGGCACGTTTTATCCAGGATAGCTCTATGCTGTAATCCGTATTCATCATCAAGTCCCAGGCAACATAAGGACTTGTGTATTGAAAGGTTATTTAATATATATTTTATAAAACACATCAAAATCCAGGAATGATATGTGGGGTGGAATCATATATAATGTTAAATACGGGTCATTTATATTCGTGTCAATGTTGTAATAACGTTAATCCTTTATATTAAATCAAATTTGTTTTTTGATATAAGAACTTTTGTGAAAGAATAAAAAATCCACTAGGTATATATATTGTTTAATATAATTTTTTTTTTTAAAAAATACAGTCCGGCTGATCTAGCTATTCTGAAATACATGGAAAGTATTCAGGGCAACGTGTCGAAGGTTAAAGATATTTACAAGAAAATAGTCGATGTGCCAACAAAGAATCCCAAACAGATGCAAGTATGTAATATAAGATAAAATAATAAGGCACATAGTAGTTTTTTCATCAAATTTTACCAAAAATGCTAAATATTTTTGTGTAGTTAAACAACAGATAGTCAGCTTTGGTATTCCCATTTATTTGCAATGTCTCCTCCCTATATCTATTTTAAATGTAATGGCAGCTAGTCTATTAGATAGACCCTCTCTACAATAAAGATAGAGCAGTGGCCATTCTACCCATCACATCTTAGGGATTTCCATACTCAAAAGGCCTTAAAACCCACTAACATCCTTGGATCTCTCGAATCCTTGTGAATGTTAAATGATAACCGGCATACATGAGAAATCATTATAATCTCTTGGATTGGAAACCTCTTTGTTTGGGATTTTATCACAAGTAGAAACATTCTGTCAGGAGTTAAGCTGAGAAGTACGCTAAATACTCTGACAATACCAATGACTTTATTTTCCCCCCATGGGAGGGAGCATCCTTACAACCTTCGCGGCTACTCTTTCTAAAAGATTTAGAAAATGGCATGTTACCCGAATTGAAGATTCGAAAGAATGGTGCTACCTCAGATAAAAGGTAGGCATAGCCATATAAATTCACAAATCTAATTTCATATGTACTAATTTTTTGTCTGAACCTTATTATTTCGCATCATATTTTTCAAAAATATTTTCTTTTCTTTTCAAAAATATATTATCTTCTTTTTTAAAATATTATATATTTTTTTAAAATATCGCATGTTTTTATATTTTTATGCACACATTAAAACTAATTTGCTCAAGATGAAGAATATTTATATAAATTGGTGCCATCAATGGATCTTTGCTCAGTCCAGTTTTTATCATTTTTTTAAATGCAAGGCCTAAACCGAAATAAATGTTGTTGAACACCAAAATGACAACTATTTATAACATTGGAGATGGGTTAAATTAAAAATACTATAATTTATGGATTAACATATCTATGAAATATCAGAATTCATCAAGTATATATACAAAAAACCTTCCCGTTAATTTTTTTCCCCGACCCGACTCAAACAATTTTTTCAGACGTTACCCATTCTGGCCGGGTTTTGCAGACCTCTAATTCTTATTGGGTTATAAAAATTTCAGGCATAAAAAAAGAGATTCGTAGTTTAAAATTTTAGAGTTCTGTTTAGATTATTTTTGAACAAATTTAAATCGGTTCGTTCCGAGTTAGAAATTTATATCTTTTCGATTTGTTTCGTTTTTTTAAAAATAAATTAGAATTATTTATATAATAATAAAAAGCAAATAAATAAAAATCAATAAAAAATTAATTAACATAACTAACCACATCCCTGATAAAAACAAAGAATCTGATAGAAATAGGGAATAGATTATTTGAATCAGCTGATGATACGAGATATAAGTGTATAAAATTCAGCACATTATTTAAGTACATTATCCTTTTAGGCCTTGTGAGACAAATGAGCTAAGTTTAGGTTTTTCATTTCTATCGAACTGAGAAAAAAATTTAAAGTGATTTTGTGATAAGGAAAATTATTCACCCTTTCTTGGCCAGGCAGAAGTTACCTAAAAGCATGAAACGATTTTCTTGCTCATTTAAAACGTTTATGGGCTTTTTACACGAGGATAAAAAAAAAATTAGAGCCCAGATTAAGTTTTATTTTTAGAAAGAGAATTGACAAATTTAACTCCATTTTTGAAGGTTGTGGGTTCTTATAACAAAAAACTTTATCCATGCATGACATTAATTTTTGATTGAAAAAATATCGTATTTATTTAATCTGATTTACTATGAAAATCATCCATCCATTACGAAAATAAATAAAAACATTAAAAAAATTAAGATGACTATACACCTATACGAAAACACGAATCATCACCATAGCAACGAAAACAGCGCGAATTGGAGATATTACGCTTTCATTAAGGGCAACCCCTTATTCGTAATTCAACGGTGCTCCACCGTGTGCATAGATGGAAGAGATACTGAATTGACCGATGGACTGAGGAAACTCTATTACGAGGCCTACACCAAAATGATGGGTCTTAATGAGGAGTATGAAAAAAGGTTTTCCTATTTTATAAAATAATATATTTGAATAATTTTTTGACTTCGCATTAATAATATATTTTAGTAGGAGAATTAAAACGTAATATACTATAAACTAAAGATTTTGTTATTGGCAATGGTAGTTTATTTATAGATGTTCTGTTCACAATTATTGTTATAGGATAAGCAAATTTTTACTTAATACATTGTTAAGAGATAGGCTAAATAAATTTTTATCAAAAAAATAAACCATAGTGGCAGTGAAGACAAAATGGACGGCAAACACGTGATAGCCTACGCCGAAGCTCGTTTAAGCCATAAAAGTTTCCCACAAAATTTTGATTTTTTGATGCATTTTGGACAAGCTTCGTTGAATAGTTTGCAATACGAGAGCAGCGATGGCCGAACACTTTGCAGCGATATCTCGAAAAATGATGACAGTGAGCGGTTTAATTAAAAATATAATATCCTTAGCCATTCGATTAGAAAATTTGTATTTCGATTCGTTTTTATGTTTATAATTACAATAAAATCTCCAATACCATCAATTTAACTATAATTATATCAGAAATTTTTTTTCATTTATTTAATTGAAAATATAATCTTAAAATTTGATGATTATTCTATGTCTAACCATAAATAATTATTAATGTGGTCCATGAATACTTTTTAAATATAACTCAATAAAAATTTATTTTTCAAATTTAAATCACAGTGAACAAGATGGCGGATTTAATAATAACAGAGAATCATATCTTTTTGACGAGATGGAGTTTCGATTAGTTGGTATGATCGGCCTCACCTCATTAGCGAAGTGTCATGTGAATACAACTAAAGCATTGGTGCAAAAGTGCAAGAACGCCGGAATCAAGGTTTTAACAAAACATTTCAAGAAATACGCATCTACGATTTTTAAAAATTTTACTATTCATGTTATTTATATATCATTATAGCCTTTTATTTTGGTATTTAATTTATTTATCCAATAAGGCAATATTATCTATACATTTATGAATAGGTGGTCATGTTGACATCGCAAAACAAGGATATGGCTAAAGCGATAGCTAAAAGATACGGAATATTTGACGAAAATTGTGAAACTATAGAAGACATCGCCGAAAAAATGAATGTCACGGCTGATAAAATAGATCCGAGGTAAAGAAACAATTACGTGCAAACTTAATTTTTTTATATCGAAATAAATTTTTTAATTCACTGCGAAATCTTAATACCCTTCCCACCTAGCATATTCAACGTGCGCTAAATCAAAAAAAAAGAGTTTTGATTATTTTTTAAAATATATTTGTTTCGATGTGTTTAAATACTCTTTACAATATATATGCATCAGCTATATGTTGAAATAAAAAAATAGCCAACATACCATGCGCCCTCGAGCCCTTAGATTCCAATACTTTAATTAAGTGGTAAGAAGACAGATAGTTAATTTTAATTCCATGAAAAAGGGGTGCTGGGATTAACCTTGTATAAACATATTTGCGAAATCTAACACCCACGAAATCTTTCTTTCGATGACCATTATAAAAAAAATATAAACAAATTCAGAGAATTCGTTTCTGTTGTCACATCAACCCTAGAAAACTTCGGCCACGAGACATTTGTCTTTTTTTTAGATATACTTTTTTTATTTTAACATTTATCTAATGGCTATATATATAATGAGCATAATATATTTATTATATGAATTTAAATCGGGATAACACTGAATTATAAAAAAATAATAATAGTGAGGCCAACTGTCACATAATAGATTGTGACAGTCTGAGAAACATGACGTTTAGCGAAATCGACAATACTATCTCTTCTTTCCTCTACAATTACTACAGCACAAACACTCTAAACACGTTAAACACTCAAAATAGTATGAACCAAATGATAGACGCCACTGGTAATGGAACTAATTTTCAAATTTTGTTTTGCAATAACGCAAATAGCACGAGTATAAGCGAGAGCCACGATAAACTCAGGCTCATAGAATCCTTTCAGCGGCTTGGAGATGTCATAGCAGTGACGGGCAGGAATACTCCTGATTGCGTTGCCCTCAAACGATGCGATATAGGTTTTATTTTATTAAATTATTTCAACATCTGAGAAATTATTACAGAAATTCTCCAAAGTTTAATATGCTATTATTTATTATATTTTTTACCTTAAATTATGAAACAACTTTTGAGTTTCGTACCCTGCCCTATTAGCAACATAAAATTATAACTTAATAAGCCATATTCACGCTTTTAAAGTTTAAATTATCTAAAAATATTCCAATAAAAACGAATTACGTATTATTAAAGGAGTAGCATTGGATTCTGCCAATGAAGTTGCCAAAGAATCTGCCGATATTACCTTAAATCAGGACAACTTTAGCGACATAATTGATATGATAGAAGAAGGTTACATATTTTATTGTTATTAAATTAATAAAATTTATTTTCAAAATAATTATTTTTTTTAAATATGAATTTTATAAAAAAAAGTAAAAGAAATAAGAAAATAAACTATAGAAAAATAAATTATAATATATTCTATATTTAAATTTCCAATAATCTGCTCTTAAATTTAAGGTCGGATCTTTTATGACAACCTGAAAAAGTCGGTGTCCTACATGCTGATTTCCAATATGAGCGAAATGTTGCCATTTCTCGTTTACATAATTCTCAATATTCCAATGCCACTGGGAATCGTAACCATGCTTTGCATCGATTTGGGCACTGATCTAGTTAAAATAATATTTCATAAAATATCGGTTATAAGTTGGTAAAATATAGGGAAATATACTTTCATCGATAATCTGCTGGTCCGAAACCCGCCCAGAGTTGTCGTAAAATTCGGGTAGGTCTTTAAAATAATACCCATTGAAGATCTCTGAGTATCATTTTACATAAATTTCGACTAATATATGTAAGCTAATCCTAGCCATTTCACGTCAACTAACTAGTTCGCTTCGGACCTATGAAATTATTGATAGTCATGCGCCCTTTTATTTTACCCAATTATGCCGAATACTTGGATCACGAAAACTATTAGTTCCAGCCACCATAAATATTATCCCTTTATTTAGTTTATGGGAAATAAAGAATGTATTATAAATTCAGTAATAGCAATTTTATTTTAACGTCAACTTAAAAATTCATCGATTATAGTAAATAAATTATTTGTGAGATAGCTGCCATCAATAGCTCTATTCAATGAAAAGGCGGAGGGTAACGTTATGAAGCGAAGACCACGCGATATATATTCCGACAAATTGGCCAATATAAAGTTAATTCAAATATTTTTGAAGTATAAGAATAGGAAGAGAAGTCTCAAAAGGATTGGAAAGGTAAGAAATAAAATTCGTAAGCAGAAATATTAAAAAAATGAATAGATAAATAACTAGAAACAAAAAAATAATCAATATTATAAAAAATTAATGAGTTAAAGAAAAATGAGGACAAAGGACTAGAGGAGAAATTTGCTGACATTTTATATTTTGGTTGTGACCTAAATATCAAAAATATAATTAATAAACTTTCTTAAATTTAACGAAAAAAGAGAAATATGCTATTTTTAGTGTAAAAATAAAATAGTGGCCTTAATCTTTTTCGAGTAATTTTTTAAAATTCTAGAAATTAGTAAAATTTAATAATTTTAGCTATAAATTTATAAAGTTTTGAGGAAAAGAATATATCTTTCAAATACCTCCATCCTTAATCACGGTCCTTTTAATGGAACTTGAAAGCCTTTATATATCAATTACACGGCTATGGATTAGAAATCTGCTAGGCTCGGTCTGTTTATAATGTTTTGTGCAGTTTTCCCAGCCAGGTTGGGTATTCAAATTCTTGCCCAACCTATTCTCCGTTATATAATTTTTTTAATTGGCTGATATCTCCTGTGAATAGGCTAATAGAGAAAGTGCAAAATTTAATATAATTTATTTTCTTTCTTCGTTTTCCTTCATCGAGACCCCTCATCATTTGATTTTCCTCAATATTACTTTATATCACAATCCTTAAACATTTCGAAAAAAATCAAAGATTATTTAAAAAGTCATGTTTATTTCTGGGAATCGTACAAGCCTTCGCGGGATTTCTGGTATATTTTATCATAATGGCCGAAAATGGCTTTAGGCCAAAAACCCTTTTAGGCAATCGTCTTTATTGGAATTCTTTCGCTATCAATGATTTAATGGATTCATATGGACAAGAATGGGTATCAATATTCAAAAATATGTTATTATATCTATATACTAAAAAGCAGGAAAGATGGTTTGGGGAGGGGGATAAGGTTAATTTGGTTATATATAACAAGGAACCATATTGTTCGATCATTTTATCTCTCAGATTATATTTTACACTTTTAATCCCCGAAGCTTCTGTTCAAAATATATTTTTAATTTTGAAAGTTGGATTTGAACAAATCTTTTAATTTTATTAAACTTTCTAAAAAATTTGTTCAATTTTGATATAAAATTAATTGCAATAATTATATAGACCTACCTAGATCGCAAAAATTTAGAGTATGCCTGTTACAGCGGCTTCTTTTTATCTATAGTCATAACCCAAGTGATGAACGTCCTGATTTGCCGCAACAGGATAAAATCTATGTTCAAGCTCACATCCAAAAAAAGGTATAAAGTAATGGAGGAAAACAATTTTTTTTAAAACCTTATTTAAATTATACATAGAATTGTTATATAGAGGATTGTTATAAAGGAACAATTTTTTTTAAAAAATGATAAAAACCCTCAATGTACTTAAGCTGGATAACCTATCAAATTTTATGAATGTTTCTCAACCAAAAAATATTCTTATGAAAAATTGTGTTTCTTAATAAATCAAATCACCTAATCAGTCAATTCACATATTGACTAATTTCCAATATATAAATTAGGTTCATTTCATGATCAAATTATCTGAGATTTAAGAACATGTAAAGATATTCTACACAAAATAATAAAATGACCAACTTTAAATAATTTATTTAGCGCTTTTTACAAATTTAAATTATCCAAATTTTCCGAAAATGTATGCCAGTATGTGCAGAATATATCCTATAAATCTCAGATAATTTTTTAAGATATTACGCGATTTGAATTTAGCAAAACGCGCATTGGTTGATAGAATTGACTGTAATATGAAAATATATGATTATTTTTGAATCTATACAGAAATAGGCTATTGAACGCAGTCATTTTATTAGAAGTTATTTTGGCCATTTTCCTGATATATACACCTGGAATCAACTATATTTTAGGATTTTATCCCCTCAAGTATAAAAAATATATTATAAATTTTTTGTTAGTTTAAAAATATATATCTCCATTAGTCTCAAAAAATTATATTAAATCAATCAGCCTAAACCTGCATTCACAGTTAGCGCGAATTAGCGGTTAAGCTTTAGAAAAATACTGAATATTTTTTTTATATTTCACCGCATTCTCGCGATATTTGTGAATGCAGGGTAAAAGTTGAACGAAATTCGCATATAAATTTATTTAATTTTTAGGCTTATATAATATCATATTTTTGAGTCGGCAGAAAAAATTCGCTATTTATTATTCAATTTGAGGCGGGCCATATTCTTTATAAAACTTGTCATTATGTGTTTGTGTATATCATTTACATTACTCATTTATTCTCAAATAAGACAAGTAGTACTGTTTATTAGCTTTAAGAAATTCATTAAAATATTTTATTTTTACATTATTATATTTTAAAATATATAAATAAAATCTAAAAGATTTTGGTGGTTGCTGCCGTCTATTCCTTTCGCGTTATTCATATTCTTGTTTGATGAATTCAGGAAATTTTTGATCCGGAGAGATCCCAATTGTTCAATGGCTCAAGAAACATTATACTAAAAAGGAAAATTCCTTAATTTTGCCAGAATTTATCCAAATTAAAACATTTTTAATTAGAGTGGCGGTTATTCAAAGCTAAAAGTTGGATCTCAAATTTTTTGGAAAACTTTTTCTAAATTTTTTTTTATGAATACTCTAAATTGTATATTTTATTATATGTGTTTTTTTATAAAAAATTTTTTTTTATACAATTATTTAATTTTTCGAATAAAAATAAAGTTAGATTTAAAATTAACCTGTAATTAACTTAATTGAATTATCACAAAAAGTATGACAAGTTGTCACTAAAGGTGTGATTTAAATTTTTATTTAAGATCCAATTTAGGATCTAACCATAAGAGTAACAAGAAATCATGTTTTATGGAAGGTTTTAAATATAAAAAAAGCGAAATTTATTTTTGGACTTCTTATTTTTTTTTGAGAAATTATGATAAAAATGAGCGTTCACTTACTTCACTGTGATCGTTCGTTTATAGATCAGTAAAATAGAACCGAGAGTTTAAGGTAGTGTTTGTTATATAACATGTTATAAAATATGTGCAAGTTATAACAAACAACATGGTAAATAATATATCTAAAAATATTTGTAAAAGAGAGTAATTGCGAGCAAGGGCGCCTTAAAATAGTTACCCGAACCATTGGTTCGGGACAAATGATATAATTAATCTCTTCTATGCAACCATTAGAATCGAATACAAATAGGTTCACCACATTTATTCATTTGTATTATATTTTTAAATGCCTACCCTCGTATTAAAGGGAATTTTATATTTTATAAAAAATGAAAAATAAATATCAGAGAAATTATTTAGGCACAATATTACTAAATTAATAGTTAAGTTTAAGATATTTAAGTAGATACATTACCTATTAGTCTTTAATGTTGATATCATAGGCAATTTTTTTTAAAACTAAAGCATGTAAATTTTTTTTTATGATTATACATTTGATCATGAGTCTATATTATATTTACATATAGCAATGTTGGCAACATACCTGATTTGCCCTTAAATCAGTCTTATAAATATTTTTAATCCCTCCGAAATCTAAGTGTATAATAAATAACTATTAATAGATTAAGGTCCGACTAAAGGTCTTTTTTCAAGGAAGATTTTGTTTTGAGACTTATTTAGGAATTGGGATTATCGATTTAATTTTATTCCTATGGGCTCACCTATTGGAATATCTAGGGGGGTGGGGGTTTCCTGAACCTAAGCAAATATTTCCCTCTCCTCAAAAAATGAGTTTAATATATCATTATAAACAATATTTTTTTAAGCAAGTTAGTTTTTTAAAATAATAACTATAATAAATTTTTGAGACTTTTTATAGGCGTAAAATTATATTTTTTAAAATAAAATCCTGCCAAATGCCTTCAAGCTGGCAACACTTCCAATAAAATTCATGAACCAAGATCTTTCCCTATTAGAATCTTGGAACGCCTATGACTGTTCTTGTATAACATTACCAAATCTTGTTACTATTTATATTTTCAATAAAGAATTTACTTTTTTTCATAAACTCTTATTTGGATCAAATAGATTCTATTTAAACGGAAATAACATATGGACATTACATTGTTGGCTGATTCTTATCGTCATTTTCAGGGTTGCTATGTATTTTTATTTTATTATTATATATAAAAATTATTACAATGGTTATTTGTGTTCTCAAAAAGGAAACAACATAATAATATCTAAATAATTTCCATTTGAATTTCTTTTTACATCTAGGATCCTAGAAAGTTATTGAAGTTAAGAGCATGAATGTTATTTGAAATTAAAAGTATATTCTTTATCATTTTAAAATTAGGTTTTTCTCTTTTTATATTTATTTTTAGTCATCTTTCGGGTAAATCTTATTTTTATTCGTTCTCTATTATAACTATCATGTCTCTTATTACTTTAAGGATGATTGGAGCTTAGGGAGCCTTTTTTGCCTTGCACTATCCAATTTATTGACTTATTTTCAAAAATATAATAGATATACGATAATAAAAAATATGATGTCAAATCACAAATATTGGTAAAACTTTTTATTAATATCTTATGTATCTTTTTTTGTGACATTTGAATAATTATTGTGTTTGTACAATGATAATATACCTTTAAACAGATTCAGGGTATTTCGGAAGTGAAAACTCAACAAAATGCAAATAATTTTTTATAAAAATTACCGAATAAATTTCAATAAAATTAGGCTGATATGTTGATTATAATATATACTTTATAAAATCGGGCTGAAATATCATGTCCACCTAGTTTTTGTTTTAACGGTTTTTTGTTAAAAATGAACGTTAGGTCTTTTCGTCCATCATCTTCAAGAGTTAATAAATAATTAAGCAATTATTTTATTATTACCCCAGGTTGTTTCTTTTTTTCTCTCGAACAAATCATTATTTTTAAATTATTTTGCTAAGCTCATTCCCGTCATCAAATCTTTTTTTTTTTAAATAAATTTAAATAAAAATAACTTTCATAAATATCTTACATTTAACCTTATAAAATGAGGAATAATTATTTTAAAAAATTAAATATGATACCAAAAATAAATTATATAAAGTTATATGTATGATGGCTATTAGAATCCGTCCAGGGACAATCAGAAAGCGGGAAATTTAGGATAGAGTTATTCGACCTGGCCTGTAAATTTTATTTACCCAGTCTGGCCCAAAAATAATATAATAAAATTGCCCTGCCTGATCCATTATAATTTTTTATAAAGGAAAAAAGACATCAATTTGCCTAATTCTATTTTTAAAAATAGCAAACTTGAGGACCGACCCACTAGTTTGTAAAAATATTTTGCACAAGTTATTCAGCCAGCACGCCCTACAGTTTGTAAAAATATTTTGCACAAGTTATTAAGCCAGCGGGCCCCAGTTTCGAAAGCCCGTGGGTGCCGACTTTTATGGTTACATTAGTACGAAGTTTGATGGCCATTATCTGTTAAAGAGGTTTATAACATATTATGTCTGCCAAAATGAGGTTTGCTATGAGCAGCTATTTAGCCAGCCCACTCATGCCAGCCTATGTTGAAAACAGCTCCCTCTGGGCTGAACGGCGAGTAGATTTAAAGTAATTAAGGAAGCAGTATTCATTTATCAAACATTAAATTTTTGATTTCAAAACATTGAATATTTTTTATGTCTCAACTTCCACAATTGGGGAAAATATTATCAATAAATTATATTATTAGTAATTTAATTAACATAACTTATTTACATTTAATTAATTTTGTTATAAATATTATTTAAAAAAATAAAAAATTATTGTCATAAAATAATTAAAATTTCATTCTTCCAAATTTTACTTTTTCTAATTTTTCTTAGAATAACCAAAAATTTGCCTAAAAATTATTGAAAATTTATTTGAAATTAATAATTTAAATTAATTATCCTTTTCTTTCGAAAACTATAAAAATGGGTCGATGGTATAAATTGCAAGCAATTTAAGGTTTAAACTTTTTTTAAAAAATGTACAATATTCTCTGCAATATATACACACAAAAATATAATTGATATTCTTTGAAATTCGACAGTATACCATATTGCTAAAATAATTATATAGGAGTGTATGTTCATATCATAGTTCTTACTTAGTATTTTTTTCTTCTTCCCAAATCAAAGGGATTCACTTATTTATTCGCCTAAAAATGATGGTAATAAATATAGCAAATTTTTTAAATAATTATTATTGTTATACTTTATCAAAAGAAATTGAATTAAATAATTTTTTAAGCTATCATAAAATAGGATGCTGAAATTACCAAATTACATGACTGGTTCATAGTGAGGTCCGATCTGACTTGATTTAACAGCTGAGCGATTTTAAAATCTTTGAATGAAATCTATTTTTCTTTATTAAAATCAATAATTTTTAGTTTATTATCATGAATAGAATTCAAATTAATAAAGGAAAAATTGATCTCATAAACAGATTTTAAAAATTGATAAGCTGCTAAATAATATCAGATTCCACATAATTCAGCCTTAAAAGGGAGTTAAATATATTCTCTTTCAAATAAATTTCTAATTGACCATAATGATAATTAATTTAAAGGTAATTATTCCAAGAAAAGCACAATTTTACGATAGATTGATTAAATTTTCAATAAAAGATAACAAACTTTTTACAAATAAAAGACCTTTCTAGCTACTTTTTTTTCGCAGCGTTTTAGTCCTTTAGATATGAGAATTGTTTTTTTAAATATTGTAATAATATTTTATTTTTAATAAGCTGATATTATAGTCGCGTTAATGGCAGCCATTTGCAATACTACTTAGGGAATAATACGGTGATAAAAGTGAAATAAGCCTACTTATAACCCTTCAAATATAACAAAATTGATTCCCGCGAACCCCTTCCCCAGGTCTCCTAATTATATTTTTCCAAGGTAAATTAACTCAACACCCCCCCCCCCCCCCATCCCCCTTTCCTTTATACAAATTAGGGATATTTTAAAGCAATACAATCTATTTTTTTTATAGAAAATTAATTTTTATTATATCTTTTTAATTAAAGATATTGAATTTTTTTTTTTTTTAAATTTGATTTAATTATTTTATATTATTTAATCACTTTAAATGAAGGTTAAAACTAAAAAAAATTTTTTTTTTATACCTTTGAGTTATAAATTTATTTATTTTAAATATAAAAAAAATAATATTTAATGTCAATTTGGGGTTTACGCACGTTGCCTTCTATATAGCCCTTTACAAATAAAAATAATGGAAATAAATATAAATTCTTAAATAATTAACTATTTTTTTTTAAAAAAAAAGTAAAATTTTTGGTTCTACACTCTTTAGTATGAAATCGAATCTTAAAGAGTCCTAATCTAAAAATAGTAAACAGACCTCGTGTTCAAAATCGCTCCATTTGAGCTGATTAATTAAAAACGGCTAAACTCAATATTTAATCCAGAAAAATATTGCCAGATTTCGAATAGGTGTTCAAAGCTTTGTGCCATCTATAAGCAAAATCTTCAGGTTTGCGTAATATTTTTCTGGATAAAATACTTAGTTAGCCATTTTTAAAAATCGGCTCAAATGGAGCGATTTTGCAACACTAAACAGACCCAGATATTATATTTACATATTTACGATTTTTAAAATAAAATATGAATTTCTTTCCCATGTTTCTTACCAAAAAAAATCTGCATTGAAATATTTAGCTACAATATATTTATATTATATTATATTTACCAAAATAAAATGCCTACAAACGATGAATAAAAAAGCAAAGATTATCAAAAAATTATGACTTAGTTCCCAATTCTGATCCATTATCATTTCCGAAATATGATTCAGCTGATACGGTCAAAATCAAGAAAAGTTGGATGCCCTGGAAAAAGGAAAAGAGGGGGTATAAAGAATTGGAAGATCTCAAAAAGGAGGTCGAAACGGTAAAGGAATTTAAAATATTTTTTATTATTTATTTTAAAACAAAGGAGAGGAGGGGATAGAAAAAAAAAGCAATGAAATGAAAAACTATATTAATGTGGTTTTTAATTTTTAGGACGAACATATAATTCCGCTACAAGAATTGTACAAACGTTTAGGGGCAGACCCCGAAAAAGTTATTTGCAAATATAAATAAAAATATGCTTCATTTATCTACATATTGGGAAATTTTTTTTTTTAAATTGACCCCAAGGTTCAGAATTAAACACATTATGCACCTTGATAGTCAATATGTTATTAGAGGCAATATTCTTCAGGTATATTAATTCAATTATACAAAATTGTAGATTTATTTTTTTTTTTTTAGTATTGAACCATATCTTTACTTTTTGTATTACCACTATTTATTTTTCTTATATTGATATTATTCCAGTTTATCAGGTGGGTCATCTAAGGCTGAATACTCACTGAATTGGGATATATTGCGAATTTGAGGGACGGAATTTAACTGATTGAATTTATGAAATCTTATAATAATATCTATATCGATATCATTCTTTTTTTCTTTCTCTCTAATACTAATTTTATCATAAATTCCGCTATTCATATTAATAGAAAAACTCGTGTATTAAATTTGTAGCTTTTACGTGATGGTTATACCTTCTTAGAGCTTTAGTCATATTCCTTTTATCAGTAAAACCTTTAAAAAATAGATAATTTTTAATATAAAATTTAATTGATAAAAATTTTTTCAAATAATATGAGAAAAAGCAAAATATTTTATAAACATGATTAGCTGGTAGATCGCATCGTCTCGTATCTATAAATTTAGCCACATATTTGAATCTACAAAAAAAGTATAATCTATATTCTTTCGGGTTAACTTCACAATGGAAACCGCCTAGTCAACGAGATGTATGCATTTTCTACTTGCATCTAATATAAAATTATTTTTTTGCAGAAATTTATCTTTATTCATAAATATTTGTAACTAACAGTAGCTATCTCACTTAAAGGAATAAATAATCTGAAACTACATCTGGTTTAGCTCATAATTCTATTATGTAAAATTAAGTAAATATTTGGGCCCCGTCGCAAAACTGTTATATTCAATTTTACACGAGACATTAAGAAATGTATTGATCTACGCTTTTTAATAAATATTATTATAAATATTACCTCTTTTCATTTACACATATTTCTTTTCATATCTGCAGGGTCTAAGTACAGAGACCGCTAACTATATATTAACCAGAGACGGACCTAACGCTTTAACTCCTCCATCCCAAACCCCAGAATGGGTAAAATTCGCTAAGCAATTATTCGGAGGGTTCAATGCACTTTTGTGGATAGGGGCCATTCTTTGCTTCCTGGCCTATGGGATCCATTCTGCCAGATATAGAAATGTTTCCAGGGATAACGTAAAAAAATATACCTATATCCAAAATCATCCATATTTTTATAAAAATTTTTATTATTGTTAATCTCAACAGTTATATTTGGGAGTTGCGCTAATGAGCGTTGTCATAATTACTGGTATATTTTCGTATTACCAAGAGTCCAAAAGTTCTCGTATTATGGAGTCCTTCGCTAAAATGATTCCGCAGGTAATGGATTGTGTTTTTTTGTCTCTTTTTAATTTGTTAAAATTATTTGTCACATTATTGTTATATTAATTAATTAGATCGAGATAAAAATCCCAGCTTATTTAGAGAAAAATATTTAATAAAAACTACCTCAAATTTAAATTTATTTTTTGACTTTCACTATTCCAGTCAAATAGGGCTATTTTTATTTAAAAACTCTAAATATTGGCTTTACCCAATGAATAACATTACTCATTATAATATCAATATGGTAAAATAATTATGTAAGGGACGATATTATATCATATAATATAAAGAGGATTCTTACATTCCATGGTGGGAGGCACTAAAATTGGGAAGAGCGGAAGTAGGGGTAATAGTAGCAAATAGTATTCATGTTTGATAAAACCAGCTGTTGTTTACAATGTGTAATCACCGGGGAGCGGGCAAAATCTAAGTTATGAAAACGGAACTATCCTTTTCTTAAAATTTATAGGAATAGCTAAAATCCGGGGCCCCAACACAGATGTGCATCTAGCTGAAACTTTATTTATAAATGTTATTCAATAAAAATGATGTTTTATGCTTATAAATAATTCACTTATTCTTGACCCCCCCCCCTCTTCATCATCAAAATAATCATACATAGTCAATATTATTCATATAAAACTTATTTCTGGATAATTTTTTATTATTTTCTTAATGTAATTTTACAGGGTTAAATATTCTATCAGCAACTATTCATGCTAAATGATAAACTAGAATAATGTACTCATTGTAAATGAGTGTTTAGAATCACTTTATTCGATAATTGGTAGTAGAGTATTGATAATATAATCTATTCTTTTTAAAATATATGAAGGGTACAATTACAATTAAAAACGTGTAATGAATTTTATTGTCGCATAAGGCAGTGAATTATAGGGAGGTGTAGGTTTTAGAGGAGAGTTTGCTTCCAGTGAATATCCTGACATGTAGACGCTGAACTAACGTGCTAATAAGAATATATTAACTATATCAAAACTTAAAGATCAATTAAAATGTAACTGGGTTATTTATCCGAGAAGGCTATTGTGAGATTCTTGTTAATTGGTTTATAGGGTTAATATATATGCCACTGATATTTTAAATATTATTTAAAATTATTATATTCTATAGCATGCAATGGTGTGGAGAAACGGTGTTAAGACGGAGCATAAAGTTGAAGACTTGGTAGTTGGAGACATCGTTGATGTACAATTTGGCGATAGAGTGCCTGCTGATTTACGCATTATAAAATCACACTGTTTCAAGGTTTGACAAAAGATTGATTTAAATATGTATATAAATATATTTGTTAAAAGATATCTTTTAAATGTATTTATATACAAATATAGGAATATGGTTTAGATAGATAAATGTTTTAGAAAATATTTAAACCTAGATACATAGCCTCTGAAGCTCGTAATATATTTAGATAAAGATACAATTTTTTTAAGATACAAATAAAATACATTTTTTTTATAATAATTAGTACTCTCCAATTTTGATTGGCAGTTTTTAAAAAACAGAAAAATTAAGATTTGAGTAAAATAATATTATACCTAAGCTTTAAGATTTGGATAAAAGAGAGCCAATCTTTCTGCACTATATGTTAATTTTCTAGGCTTAGGTAATATTCTTAGTATTAAAACCTGATTAAAAACGCCTATATATAGGCTTCCAACAACACTCATTATAATCATGGCAGGTGCATAATGTCAAATTTGAAAATAATTTGTTAAAATCAAATTTTTAATAGAACCAATTATTTTTTTTTTATAATTTTAGTCTAATTGTTTAAAAAAATTTCTATTTTGTATATTATTGTTTCTTCTACAACGGTATCACTAATATTGAATACCGAAAAATTTATAATCAATAAGAATATTATTAACACCATTGCCTAATATTCTCAATACATTGTGTAAAATGAAACTTTTTTGTTGGAAAAAATAACCCTCGAAATCATTTTAATTAATATGAAACCGAAAATTAAGATTAGATTTAGGAATTTTATGTATAATAAAAACGTAAATTAAAATTGCATTAAAATTTATCTATTAAATGCATATTATAGATATAGCTAAAAATATATTATGTAAAAATGTTTTTTACTCTAACAACTCTATTTGATATACAATTAAACAGATCGATAATTCATCATTAACTGGTGAGAGTGAGCCTCAATCTCGTTCATCTGATACTACCAGCGAGAATCCACTAGAAACAAAAAATTTAGCATTTTTTTCAACCAACGCAGTCGAAGGTTTCATTTTATTTTTTTTATATAAAAATAACTTTAGATTATTTACTAAGCAAAATTTACTTATAGTTCCAAAGGTTATGCAAACATTTTTTTGTGATTATTTGATTGTATTGTAGCATAACTATTAGTCTCTTATTTTATAAATTCTAATTTAAAGAAAATGCATTTAAAACTTAATTATATAATATATATTTATTAAAAATGTTTTTTTCTCAAAGTCAAATATATTAAAATAATTAAAATAAATAGTATAGAATATAAAATCATGTAACCTCACCCCCCCCTCCTGGTAATCTGGTTTTATTCTTTGAAATCTGATATGGAGCTATTTAAATCATTATGTGTGCTTGGGACAAGTGCTTACTTGTCCCAGGAAACGGCTACTTTAAAATAATTATACCAAACTCTTAAGGCTACCACTAGTACAATATTCAATATAGCAAGATATTACATTTTGTTTATAACTAGACCTGTGCGCCGACGAAATATTGGCGGCCAACGCAATTTTTAAAAAATCTCATCTACTGCCGGCGGTGCGCCGATTTTTAGCCGCCGTCAATAAAATCGGCGTAAATCGGCGCATATATAAATTTTTATAAGATAAAATTTTTATTGCTTATTAATTTTAAAAAAAACAAATTTATATACACTATTCTACAGATATCTCGGCATATTTTTTAATATTCATTTAATAGAAAACTTATTATATCCAAAATCTATTTCGTAATTTTATAATTATCATGTATAAAAATTATTTTATTAAAATTTTTGGGACATAATGATGATTTCCTTGAATTTAACGTCAATCCAGCGGTAGACAAAACTATTTCACTAGTGGTAGTCGCCGGAATGCAAAGAATTTTTTTGTCGAGCCTGGGAAAGATTGGGAAGTTCACTCTTCTTTTCTCTCCAAAAATTTAGAACGTCCATATCTTGTGATTGTCGTTTTTCAAGAAAACTGTGGCCTTCTTGTTCTAAGTCACCTAACTTGGAATTAAAATTTATATTTGTTGAATGTTTACTTGCCAATTTTGTCAAATAACTTGAATTTAATAATTCATCTTCATCCTCATTAGATATATTTACTACCTCATTATCATCATTCTCTATAAGTTTAAGATGTTTTATTATAAATTGTGAAGCTGAGCAATTTTTCTCTATTAAATATTGACACAATTGTCAATTTTTAAAATCTTGGATCTAAAAGAGAAGCCAATACCTAGATAATTTTAAATAAAAAATATACTTATATAATATTACTTGCAGATTACAAACCGGAACGCAAGTTTTTTTAGCATATTTTCCTTAAGTGAAATAATTTCAGAACTAACACTATCATTTATTATTAAATGTGTTTCAATTTCACTTCTAGTAGGCCCTTTTTGTACAGAAAGAAATTCGACAGTTTCTTTAAATTTTGAAAGAAATGCTAATAGTTCTTCTACCAGATCAGATTTATAATTTGATAATTTGAGAAAGTGCTTCACAATTCTTTTAAAAACATTATTAATTAAATTTTTATTTAATCCAGATATGCTTTCTAGCATAATTAATATACTATGCCAACGTGTTGGGATATTTAATTTTAAGATTTTCATATGCGACGAATTATTCTTATTATTATCATTGGAATTGCCAATTTGAAAACGGGTATCCGGGTATGGATCAATGCTGTCAAGATCTAACATGTCTGATGTTAAATATATTGTACTTAGGCATTTTCTTTGATATTCCTCAAAATCTAATTCAACCTCTGCAGTTTTATATCTTAGAGCAGTAATAATTTCTCTAATTCTTTTGCAAAAAATTTCCAGAATATAGATTTTTTGATACTAAAATTATTTAAATTATTAAAATAGATGCATCCATTTTAAAAATATGTAAAATTATGGCAAATTTTGGAATTTTAGATTTTTGATTGATTGAATTCTATAATGACGTCAATATAATTAATTTTAAAATAGTAGAAAATAAAAATTCATCAAAATCCTGATTGACATTAAAAAATTACAAAGTGATGTTGACCAATTATTAGAATATAAAGGTATAAATAAATTTCTGCGCCGGTCGTGCGCCGCCGATACAAAAATCGGCGGCGCGCCGGATTGATTTTCTTAAACGGTGGCGTTTTCGGCGTAACCAAAAAAGGTTGGCGGCCGGCCCAGGTCTATATATAACTAATTTATTAATTATTGCAAAATTCACTTTTTTTTAAATTGCATATTAATAGCATAAAACAAATCTTAGTACATATTTTTCTAAAATAAAATTTGTATATACTATTATCACCTCCACAGGAACGTCAACAGGAGTTGTGATACACACAGGTGATAGGACCGTAATGGGTAGGATTGCAAATCTTGCTGCAGGTCCTGAATCAGGAAACACCCCGATTAATAAAGAAATCAAACATTTTATTAACATCATAACTGTGGTCGCCGTATTTTTGGGATTCACTTTCTTAGTGATCTCCCTCCTAATGAGACACTACTGGTTAGACGGGGTCATATTTTTGATAGGTATCATCGTGGCTAATGTACCGGAGGGCTTGCCCGCTACAATCACGGTAACTTTTTCACTTAAAATTTTTATTATAGAATAATGCATGATATTTGATATTTGATAACCACTAAATAGCAATATTTAAAGTGTCTCTATAAGCATAGTAAAAAAATAAAATTTTTAATGTTCTATGTAATCTTTGTATAGAGTTCATTCGATTTTATCTAAGCACTTTTTTTAATACTATTCATTTTTCAACCAAAAGTTTCAATTCTCTTTTGGCTCTTTCTTTCATCTTTTTACATTTAAACCTTCCTATTCAGATTCATTTAGTATATCTACAGAATGCTTTGGCTCTCCTTCCTTATAGTCCTAGGAATCCTGTGACATGCATGATACTAAATGATGGAGATAAATAATATATACACTTTCAATATTTAATCTTTCTTTTATAATTAAAATATCTTTTTGGTTCTCTTTGAACGTTTTAATAATGGAATACACATATAACTATAATCTGATGATCAAAATAAAAATTCAATTAGCGGTGATTTATTTTATGTACATCACATTTTATGGCTAATTAAGGAGGAGGTGTCATTACTTTTTCTTAATCACACAGGTATGCCTAACTTTAACATCTAAACGAATGAACGCTAAAAATTGTTTAGTCAAAAATCTCGAGGCCGTTGAAACCCTAGGCTCAACGTCTACCATATGCTCAGATAAAACTGGCACTTTGACCCAAAATAGGATGAGTGTAGCTCATATGTGGTATGATGACAAAGTTTGGGAAGTCGACACCTCCGAAAATCAAGGTGGTAAATTTATAAAAAGTATTTTGTTAGCAATCCTTAATATTTAGTGCTGTAAAGTAACGTCAAAAAAGGAACGCCATTCGTTACATTCATCTAAAGGTAACGAGTAACGGTAACGAGTTTCTTTTTTTGAGTAATGGTAACGCAAAACGTTCCTTTACTAGTTACTTTATTATTTTTTCTTAAAAAATATCAATAAAAAGAAAAACATATATTATTGTATTATAAAATTACTATTATTTATTTTTTAATTATTAATTTTAATAATTAAAGCCGAATTTTAATTCATATCAACCACTTCCAACATTTTTTTTTTAATTCTCTATGTTAAATTATCAGTCGAAATTAATATTCACAAAATTCAAAGTAAATATAATGATATTATTAATTAATTTATAATTTATTTTAAAAGAATATTATGTCCATAGTACTTACTTCTTCAGATGAAGAAGATTTAATCCTTCCCTGGCCCCAATTTGAATTATATTCTAAACCAATTAAGAAAATTAATGGTACCAAGTCTACACTTTGTAAATGTAAATTATGTCCCAACGCAAATATTTCAACGTCAATATCAAGTAGCTCAAACTTAAAAAAACATTTGAAGGTAAAGAATGAATTAATATATAATTATTTTAAACATATAAAAACTTAATCATAAAATGATTTTAAAAAAATTTATTTAAATATATAGATTATATTAATAAAATACTATATATATAGCATCTTATTATTTAACCATGTATTTATTTTAATGATAGTACACAATAAAATAAATTTGAAATGTATAAATTTTATACAGATTATTATATTAAAAATTTATTATACATAAATATTTTTTAAAAAATAAGATTACAATAAAATTTAAGTATTCTTGTTACTTTTAATGGTATTTAAAAAAATATATATAATTTAGCAATTATATTTATAACTAATACAAATTAGTATATTATCAAAATATAAATAACTTTTTTTGCAAATGCAATACCTTTATAAAAAACATATAAATATTATAACTAAGAATTTATTATAATTAGGTTTTGCATATAAAAATTTTAATTCTAAAACATATTATAATCATATTGTAATTTTATTATAATGCTAGAAATTATTTAAAAGCCCTCAAGTAAAAAAATTATATAATATATTTATTAAAAATTTATTAGAGCATATGAACAAGGAGAAGAAACGGATGATGAAATAGTTCCTCTGCCATTATTTGATCTATTTGAAGATCATATTAATGATAGTATTGTATACTTACCTAAGCATCATTCCTGTTCAGCACACATTTTAAATCTTATGTATTGACACTGAAAAGGCACTCAACGATGTTCATTATAAAACCATTTCAAAAATTACATATTCTAAATGTAAGATTTTGTGGAATAAACATGGGCAATCTTCTAACTGTGCAGCCATTTTTAAGGAAAATATGGGAAGATATTTGATTAAATCATAAGAAGATGGAATTCTTTCTATAACTCTGTAAAATTAATAAATAATCTTATTAAGGTGACTTACCAAAAATTTGATGAATCTTGCGACAAATCTGGATTACAGAGATTTTCAGATAACGACAAGTCGTTCATAGATGAATATTGTATGGTTAGTGTTAATTAAAATATGATATGTATATATATGATTTTATAGGTTATGGAACCGATAGCTACGGCTCTTTCAATTTTAGAGAGAGAAGAAAATATACATTTAAGATATCTCACTCCCATTATATAAGCATTATAATATCAAAACTTAAAAAATTGGCTATAAATAATTTGAAGTTTTGTAAGCCGCTTAATGATTCAATCCTGGAAGCCATAGATAAAAGGTATACAGTTCAAATATTGCTTATAATTTAATTTTGACTATCATATTTTCAATGGATTCAAACACATCTATGATGATGATTATATACTATCGGCAATAATTCACCCACTATTTAAAATGGATTGGCCCTGGATAAAATTAGAGGTCAATAAAGGAAGAATGCTGGAACTTATTTCCAGTTTGAGAAAAGATATTGATAAAGAAAGAACAGGCTTGATTCCTTTATCCAACACACATTAGAATATTTTCAGATAATGATAAATTATTTTTGATGAGGAAATGAATGAAGATCTCTTTGAAAATTATCTTTCAAGCTTTTTTCAAAATAAAGATATTTCCTTAAATATTTTTAATAAATTCCCCGAATTGAAATTTTTGTTTATTAAATTTAACATCACTCTCCCATCCTCTGCGCCAATTGAACGTGTGTTTAGCACGGCGAAAGGTGTGTTGAGTACTAAGCGCTCATGTTTTTCTGATCAAAATTGTAAAAATCAATTGTTAAAAATAAATAAAAAATTGTTACATAAAGATGTTATCTTATAATATATTATTTTTTATTCATATTATAATTATATATGAAAATTTTATTATAAAAAGATCTTATCCTTTATGTTCTTTTTGTATAGTTTTATTTTATTATATATTGTTGGAAAAAATTAATATTTTTTTGCATTATATATAACATTTAATTTTTTTAAGTAACGAGTAGCCCGTTACTTTATTGAAAGGTAACGTGCGTTCCTTTTGCAAAATTGTAACGAGTAACGGTAACGCGCTCCATTTTTCAGATGTAACGGTAACGCGTTTTTTGTAGTAACGTTTACAGCACTATTAATATTCAAAGATTGTTGTTTTGTTAAAAATACATAAAATTGTTAAAAAATCGAATTATTATACTATTAATGCGGAGGCAATAATAAATGTAATGAATACTAAAAGTGGTAAAGAATCGAAACAAAAATAAAACGTGGGAGGAACTTATGCGAATAGCCGCCTTGTGCAACAGGGCTTACTTCAAAGCTAACCAGGATAATGTGCCAATTATGAAAAGGTCTGCCAGGAAGCGATAAATATTTCTTATATATTTAGGGGTTTTTTCTCCTATCTTTGGGACCGGCATCAAATTATCTTTAAAATATATGTATTTACTATTTAGGGAATTTATAGGAGATGCATCTGAATCGGCTTTGCTTAAGTGCGTTGAATTGACATATGGGAACGTTGAAGAGCTGAGGAAAATTTACAAAAAGCTTGTGGAAATTCCTTTCAATTCTAACAATAAATACCAAGTAGGATTAATAAATATTCTGCATTTATATGTGAATATTTTGTAAAAATGCCTTTTCTAAAAAAAATTTCTTCTATTTATTACCTTATCTTTCATATTGCTTATTACCTTAAAATTTCTAAAGGTTTCAATCCACGAATCTCCTAACGATCCTAGACATTTGTTAGTAATGAAGGGTGCTCCGGAGTGTATTTTGAAGAGGTGCACCACCATATTGATTGATGGGAAAGAAGCACTAATAACGGATAAGGTAAGGGAAGATTACAATATGGCCTACATGGAACTGGGTGGGGTGGGCGAAAGAGTGCTGGGATTTTGCGATTTTTGGTTGCCGATTGATCAATTTCCTAAAGGATTTCCTTTCAACACTGACAATGTAAATTTTCCTCTTGAAGGTTTTAGATTTGTAGGCCTCATGGCTCTTATAGACCCCCCTCGAGCTGCGGTTCCTGATGCGGTAGCTAAATGTCGCAGCGCTGGAATCAGGGTATATAAATAGTGTTCGAGTAAATAAATAATATATAAACTTATATAATATCATTCTTAAGCTTTGAAAGTCATCATTCTATTTGTGAGTCTCAATTCAATCAATTATAATCTAATATATAGGAGTCCCTCTAGGTCCCCTAAAAAATGTATAAATTTTTAGTTAAATATCTCTTTTTTCAAATTTTATAATAGAAATATCCTCCATTCTTTGATAATTTTGGATATAACATCATAATTTTTGTTTAATAAAATAATTGTATTACAATTTAACTATAACAATTTATTCCTAATAAGAAATATCATAAACTGTTTTTATATTATTCCCTATTTTTGATTAACAGTAGTAGGAATATAGATTTGATTCTTGAATCTTGAATAATAGTTTACATAATAGCCAATTTGTAATGTTTGACAAAGTCACATTGTGCCATTGGAGTTTAGATAAAACACTGTGAGATAACATTATCAGAAAGATAGTAGTAATGTTTGTAGAACATAATTCATTATAATATTGTTTAAAATCAATAAAATGGCGAATAAATAATTTTATGCAAAATTATACATTTGTTCCCTAAAGGTTATAATGGTGACGGGAGACCACCCGATAACGGCGAAAGCCATAGCAAAACAAGTTGGTATAATATCGGAAGACAGTGATACTATCGAAGATATATCCGCTCGTTTGAAAATTCCAGTGGGCGAAATCAATCCCCGGTTTGCTTATAGTTTTTTTTCCCTCGATAGCTTGATACCTAATCAAATTAGTTTTTCTTTCTTTCAAAGATAACCACATTAAATATTTGAATGAATTCGAAAAATTTATATATTGTATTTTTTTAAAGCGATGCTAAGGCTTGTGTGGTTCATGGAGGAGAGCTGAAAAATATGAGCCCAAAAGATTTGGATGGAATTTTGAAATGGCATCCCGAGCTTGTTTTTGCCCGCACATCCCCACAACAAAAACTCATAATAGTGGAAGGGTGTCAGAGACAAGGAGCTATAGTAGCTGTAACTGGGGATGGAGTCAACGATTCTCCTGCTCTCAAGAAAGCGGACATAGGTTTTTTTATTTACAATATATTATTATTAATTTTAGTTTATTTCCTACACTTTTGTTTAAATTTCTATGGTTTGGTTGTAAAATAATTCATTTACTATTTCCCTTAAAGTAACCTTATATGCTTCATTATACCTCTTAAAATAAAATCATATTCATATAGTAATGGTGAATTTCATATCAAATCAACAAAAAAAAGTCGAATTTTCAACCCGACCCCCTTCAATTTTTCTTAAATTTTGTATACATAACTAAGAAAAAAATGAAATTTTACCTTCCAACACTGTTTACCCGCTAAGATATGGCCGTTTAAAGCGCGGAAAAATGGTACATTTTTGACAAAATGCACCTCATTTATTTTCAAATATCTCGAGAAATAATTTTGTTAAAAAAATAATTAAATTTTTATTTTGTAGCTTAATAAAAGTTCTTTAAAATGACATAAAAATAAAATTGATGGACATTTTATTAATATCGAAAGCCGGATGTGTAAAACCGGAAATGGTCATAGAAAAAAAGGTATTTATTTTTTCAAATTTTTTTTTCTGTAGATAGGTATCACACTGCTTTATATTTGTACAAAATCCTAGACTGGGATGAACATGGGTTTAGGAGTTATCACTCTTTATATGGCTTAAATTGAACAAATTTAACATTAATATCATCATATTTTAATTTAATGAATATTAATGAAATAATGATAATTTAAAAATTATGTCTAAATGATAGGCCCTTACTTTTTTTTATCTTTATCAAAATTTTTGAGAAGTGGCTGGAATAATGAGCTTTGTTTAACATTTTAGTTAAATTTTGTCTCGAAGTTACTTGACAAAATAATTCTAAACATATTTATAACTTTATTTGCCTCAAATTGCATTACATATAATACAATCAAAAATTTATAATTAAAATATATCATATATTATAATCATCCAAGAAATTTTAATAAATTATGACCTTTGTTTTCGTCAGTGGAATAAAAGATTGGAACTTTGTGTTCCAGAAATTCTCTTTGCTCACAAAAATGAACATAGAAAGTCATCTATTAAAATTTCTTGGATAATTATAATATATGATATATTTTATTTATAAATTTTTGATTGTATTATATGTAATGCAATTTGAGGCAAATAAAGTTATAAATATGTTTAGAATTATTTTTTCAAGTAACTTCAAGACAAAATTTAACTAAAGTGTTAAACAAAGCTCATTATTCCAGCCACTTCTCAAAAATTGTGATAAAGATAAAAAAAAGTAAGAGCCTGTCATTTAGACATAATTTTTAAATTATCATTATTTCATAACTATTCATTAAATTAAAATATGATGATATTAATGTTAAATTTGTTCAATTTTAGCCATATAAAGAGTGATAACTCCTAAACCCATGTTCATCCCAGTCTAGGATTTTGTACAAATATAAAGCAGTGTGATATCTATCTACAGAAAAAAATTTTGAAAAAAATACCTTTTTTTCTATGGCCATTTCTGGTTTTACACATCCGGTTTTCGATATTAATAAAATGTCCATCATTTTTATTTTTATGTCATTTTAAAGAACTTTTATTAAGCTACAAAATAAAATTTTAATTATTTTTCTAACATAATTATTCCTCGAGATATTTGAAAATAAATGAGGTGCATTTTGTCATAAATGTACCATTTTTCCGCGCTTTAAACGGCCATATCATAGCGGGTAAACAGTGTTGGAAGATAAAAAAAGAATTTTTCTTCTTAGTTATAGTATATACTACCAGTATACAATTTTTAAGAAAAATTGAGGGGGGTCGGGTTGAAACCTTGGTTGATTTGATGTGGAATTCACCGTAATATATGAAATAATGGTTATTAATTATGGTATTTAAAAAAATATATAGTTACTTATTAATTTTTATTATTTTTGAAAATGTTTTTAATAAATTGATTTACAAATATAAAGTTATCGAATTATTTCAAAAATAAACTAATTGATGAATTTCCATAGAAAAAAAATGAATAGTTATAAATTGTTAAAATACAATGATATTACAATGGTACAATTATATTTGTTTGACTATATATGTAATTAATACACTTACTTTAAAAGGAGTTGCTATGGGAATAGCCGGAAGTGATGTTAGTAAGCAAGCAGCCGATATGATTTTACTGGATGACAATTTCGCTTCTATAGTAACTGGGGTTGAAGAAGGTTATTTATGTTTTATCTCGTATATAACTTAAGAATAGTATTCTACGATGAAAATCTGCAAAAGCCCGACTGGTACGCCGGAAGCCTATTCAGAAAAATTAAATTTGGATCGGGATGAGTCAGGTTTAGTATATTTAGAAAGAAAGTCAGGCCGGGCTGAGTCGTTTAAATTTTTGAAACAAAATTGTTATATTTTAATATATTTTCAAGTGTCATAATTTATTTAGGCCGTTTGATATTTGATAATCTCAAAAAGTCTATAGCTTATACATTGACGAGTAAAATACCAGAGATGAGTCCTTTCTTATTTTACATACTCCTCAACATTCCTCTGCCCTTAGGAACCGTTACCATTTTATGCATAGATCTCGAAACTGACATGGTATTTATTTATATGTAATTAAGTTCTATAATCAAATGAGAATTAATCCTTGACTTGGGATGGATTGTTTTTTCTAAATAAAAAATCTTTATTCGAAAGGCTAGTAGACGCCATTTTTGTCAAAATTATCATAGCTCCGAAAATAATGATCATATAAGATCTTACAAAATACCAATAGATATCTTAAACATCTACCTATAAATATATACTGTTATATTTTTAAATATTTAATAATTATTTTTCTAGAAAGGTTTTAGTAAAAGTCATTTTTTGAACCTAGTAGCCCCGAACCCGTGGTTAGTCGGATCATCGATGGGGCTAGTCAAATCAAGTGGTTTATTAGGCTTCTTATTTATAAAAAAATTTTTTGCCAGATTTTAATATATAACTATGATACTATATTTATATAATATTCTATTTACAATTATAACAAATAAAATAACAATTTTTTTTGACAGAGAACCACTCTACATTGAAACCAATCTTCAAAATTATGAAAACTTTTATAATCCTGTTTACATATAATACACACATCTTTTACAATTGTTTATTAATGTTTATATTTATTAATAATAAATTTACTCAAAATTTATCTATTCTATTTATAAATATAATCTCATGTCCAATAAAATGAATTAATTTGAATCATATTATATTGTCAATTATATATATATATAAATATTTGTTTTGTTAGATATAATTAATTTTAAATATATTGATATTATTAACAGGCTAAAATTTATATTCTAAAATGTTCATATCTAATAAAATGTATTTATTTGAATCATATTATATTGTCAATTAAAAAAAATATATATATATTATATTTGTTTGCTAGATATATTTAATTTAAATAATTGATCTTATTATCAGGCTAAAATTTATATATGCAATATATATAATATCATGGAGATTTTAGTTTGCAAGATATTTATTTAGGTCTGATATTATATTAAAATTGAAATGTATTATGAAAAATCAAACACATTAATAAATTTATATAATAATAATTATTTTATATATTACATTTATAAAATATTATATTATCTGTGACAATATATAATATATTATCACAATATGTATATGAAGATTTTAGTTTGCAAGATATTTATTTAGGTCTGATATTATATTAAAATTGAAACGTATTATGAAAAATCTATCACATTAATAAATTTATATAATAATTATTATTTAATATATTACATTTATAAAATATTATATTTTAACCTGTAATAAATGGTATTTTTCTTAATGAGATATCATTTTCATACAGTTTTATAGTTTCTTCACAATCTTTTTTTAGTAAAAATTTTACTATTTTGAATTTTGCATATATATTTGGGTACCATAATAATATAATAAAAATTGACTGATTGCGCGACTAGCCACGATTCTACTAACCTCAATGGTGGTAATATTACTAATTTGATCTTAACATATATTTAAGCATTATATATCAATCTGAAACTTTCACAAATATTAAAATAGATATTTAAGTTTCATATAATGTTCATTTTGTCATGTTTAACCTTTTAATTTTTTAATACAACCTAATAATATTAAGTGAAAATATTGTAATTTTTACGTCTAAACATGTCATAACGGATAATAATTTAAATAGCTAAATATTATAAATTATTTTTATCCCCAATTATGGATATTATAGAATTCTATTTTAGAACTAAATTTCAAATTTTAATTTCTACTGGTTGTAAAAAAAATTCCTTGAACCCACAAACCCCTTGCGCCGACTAGCCCTGGTCTCCCCTACTTGGATATTTGGCAAAAACAGAAATAATTTTTAAACCATCACAGTATTCATTTTTTTTGTTTGTTAACGTTTGATTACATAGACAGAAATTAAAAGTGCTTAAAAGTAAAAAATTTTCAATACAAAATTAAATATATTCCCATAATACTGATAAACCTACAAGTTTTAAAACCAAAGCTCAGGAAATAAACCCTTACTGTATTCATCATGGTATACATATATTATATAAATAATAGAGCTACCCATCTTCTTTATCGATAGGTACCTGCCATATCCCTAGCATACGAAAAATCTGAGAGCGATATCATGAAAAGGAGACCACGTAATCCAAAATACGATCAATTAGTTAATGAAAGGTTTTAAATCACCGTTTTTTTGGTTAATTTAGTTATTAAATAATTTTTATCGAAGTTATAAAATATCCTTATTTCTTTATATATATATATATAACTAATTGATTTCTCTCGATTGTTATTAGAAAAATTATTTGAATCTAAACTGTTACCACTATAAAATTAAATTGTAGGGATTGATAGAAATAGCCGATAGAGATTAGGTTATATTTAAAAGATATAAGGCGAATAATTATTTGTGATAAATACATTTAATTACAAATATAGAAATTATAGAATATGAAAATTACCTAACACAAACACAATAGTAAGTAACAATAAATTATAGAATAATAAAATCATATTATGAATAGATTGAAATTTTAATAAGTAATTGAATTTCAAGAATCACATTGACTACATCATAAGTAGGAATTGGAATTGAATAAATTGTTTTTGATAATTATAAAAAGTTAATATAAATTTTTATATCGGCCCAGACTGAACCAAAAATCAATTGCAAAGACTAAATCAAGCCGAACTGATTCTAAAGGTCAAAACAGTGGCTCAAACCGAGAAAATCGGACAGCTGACCTACATTAGTCAATAAGATTTTAATATATTTCTTTTTTTTAGATTGATAAGTGTCGCCTACGGTCAAGTAGGTATGATCCAAGCTTGTGCAGGGTTTTTCACTTATTTTGTCATTATGGCCGAGAACGGGTTTTTACCCAGAAGACTATTAGGCATCCGAGTAGCTTGGGATTCGGCAGGAGTCAATAATTTGGAGGATTCTTATGGCCAGGAATGGGTAATTATTGTTATACCTTTAATATGGCGAGTTATTTGATTTTAGTTTATGTCCATATAATCTTTTGTTATTATTCAAATATATAATGTTTTATAATTTGAAATCTTAACATTAATGTCCATATATCTTTTACAAGTTCTTCTATTAGGAAAAGCATTTTAAAAAAATGTTTATCTTATATTCATGTACCGCAATGCAGACTTATACGATCAGAAAAATTTTGGAACATACGTGTCATACAGCGTTTTTTGTAGCCATAGTTATTGTGCAATGGGCGGATTTAATTATTTGTAAAACTCGCATGAATTCGTTAATCAAACAAGGAATGACGTAAGCATTTCAATTTAATATTATATATTAAAGAATTTAACATTCTCATAAAACGGATATTTAGAAATTGGGTGCTAAATTTTGCCTTAGTATTTGAAACAGCCGTGGCCGCCTTTTTATGTTACATGCCTGCGATGGATAAAGGGCTCGGAATGTACCCTATCAAGTAACATAATAATCTAACCTTAAATAATTATGCGAAAATTTAGTTTAAATATAAAATTATAAGCATATAATTTTTAACGGCTAATCTAGATCATAAAGAGCAAATAGTTCTCAGTAGATAAATGTCGGAGCGAACAAAATTGAACCTGAACAAAATCGGAACTCATTCTAAATTTTTTTTTACTAACTTAATAAAATTTCAATCTCAAATTTTAAACATTTTTGCATAGAATTATTTTATTTACCTTAAAATAAAGATCATGGCTAAACTTTCTGCAGTATTTTTTTTATGATTATAGTTCTGCCATTTATAATATTTGTAACCTAAGATCTTTTACTAATCTTATTTGATATACAATATATAATATAATGTATTATTATGTGTTAGAGCCTTACATAGACAAGAGCGTCTAAATTTGTGTCTGTTCTACTTTAACTTCTTCGAGCTATAGGTCGAAAAAAATTTTTTTTTGAATCGAGTTGTCAAAAAACTTTGGGCCTGACTGGCGACAAGAAATCTGAAATTTTTATATCGGGCGGGACCTTCAAAGATAACTCTGATATTCAGGACTCTATTAATAATTTAATAATGTGTTTGTGATAATTAATTGCACTTCACATCATATAAAAAGATTCTGATGTCATTTATTACTCATTCATTAACGAACAAATTTTCAAAAATAAAAATTTGAAATAGCTCTTTAATATTTGAAGAATCTGTGAATTGCCGGTATAAGAATTAAGAATGATTTAAAAGTTAAGGGCTAAATCTTCCAAACTTTATAGGTTATGTATTCTATACATAATAAAATATATTTTCGACAAAATCAGATTTTAAAATATTAGTTCAACAAATCATTGTGCTATTTGCTAACTTTCAGGGCCCTCTAAAAGAGAAGGTGGGGAATAACGATGTAATCATGTTATAAAAATCTCAAAAGTTATATTAACTGGATGAGGAGGGGGGGGGGAATATTATATAATTTTGTCATCATAGGAGATGAGGGGGGGGGGGTGAGGACTTTGATTTATTTTAAAATTTGATTTTAACGGAAATGTATCCCAGCAGTTGTAGAATATCCCTATAAATTTAATACATTTTTGGAATATATTACACATTATTGGCTAAAAGGAATATGCGAATAAATTGATTACACATTTCTGACAACATCATATAATACTACACTATAATATATAATATTGATAATGTTATACAAAAAATAGATTTTTCTGGTGGTTACCCGCCCTTCCTTTCAGTGCATTAATATTAATCTATGACGAGGCTAGAAGATATATGATTAGACATCATCGGGGTGGATGGCTTGAAAAAGAAACTTATTACTGATTACGAAAAAGGCAAAATAATCATTTGCAAATCTCAAAATAATTTTTTAATTATTTAGAATTATATTATATTATTTAAAGTATAAAAAGATTATTTATATATATTATTTATTTTAAATGTAAATTTGGTTTGTTTATTAATATTTTTTCTATTGTGTAATCTACCTTTTTTTGTGACGATATATTTTAATGATTCATTTATATGAGTGCAAAATATGAAATCAAGCAAACTTTTTAAAATGAAAAAAATATACATTCTTTGAAACCTAGACTTAAAAAAAATATTAGGTGCCAATATTGTTAAAGATGGTTCAGGTTCCTAAATAAAAATATAAAAGGTCCTAGTTTTATATTTTAACCAGTTCTTAATGTTTCATATTCGGAACTATCTATACCCAGAGCTGGTATAATGGATAATTTTTTAACCCATCAAAAAAATTATTAAAAGGGATTCTGATAGGATTTAACATTCAAGATAATATAAATTTATTTTATTTAATAGATATTACTACATTATCATATATCATATAAAGTGACTATTAATTTAAATTTACAATGAAGTTTTCGTAGTATTTGAATAATAATTATCATTGTATTTCATTTAATCATGTTAAATATCTTTATTAGTAAATATTCATTTTTACAATGATGATGAGTTTCGACGACATTCAGCTATAATGTAATGATTATTTACGTAAATATGATATGATATGGATTATTTTATTTATTTATGATGGAAAGTATTATAATCTCCATATCTTCACAAGAGGTGCTTTACATGCGACTTATAAAAAACAAAATCTAATCAACATTGCTAGGAAGTCAAATACGAATAAAAATTTATTCATACCAGCCAAACAAAATTTTCTTAAACTCGGCATTCAATATTATGAGATATTTGTAAGAATATTGGCCCTTCTGTTGTGATTATTGCCTAATTATTAAGATATCTGAATTTATATGGACATTGAAAGAAATTTTCAACTTGCTAGTCTTTTAACTCGTAAGAAATAATATATTCTTACATGATATTTTTTTTTTCACCTTATTTTTAGATCGGCATTATAATCATTTGTGTCATATTATTAGATGTTTATACTAATTCCACTTTTCAAATTATTTGTAACATCTTTATGATTTTAATGATTAACCATTTCGCTTTAAATGTCTGGATAAGTTAATTTAAACTTTTCTTATCACTTTTATTGATTTAAATTTCAATATTTTTGATTTATTTTACATGTACAGTACTTTTATAACTTTACCTATAAGTAAAGAATTAATTGTATGAGTTTTTAATTTTTAGTTAGAATAATTAATACAACATTAGCTGAATATAAGGACCTAAATCCTAATATTCAGAGATCACTATTTATTTATCTAGTTTCAAAAAATTATTCACTATATAATATAGTCAAAGTTCCATATCTCTAATTATAAAACATGCACAATAATATAAGATATTGTTCCCCTAGTAAACAGAGGTATTAATGATTTGATGAAATTCAAACACCGTCTTCTAAGTTGGAAACTCAATTATTGCATAAGAAAATGAAAAATCTATACCAGTTAACCCAGAGATTTAGATATTTTAAAATTAACGGCTCTTTTGACATGTTGGACAATTCTCTCCGGAAATATTTTATTTTAGATCATGGGAAGAAATTATTAACGATAACGTGTACATTAGAGAATATAACCTGAGACACATTAGAATTTATAGCCAACTCCAATTCACTACACACCAAATATATTTACTCCATACTAGCCTATCCCCAATTATATTGCACAGAGGCAAATTTCTCCTTCGCAGTCCGTCACATTCAGATTCTATTCAGTTACCCCAATTATCAGAAACTTTTTTAAAGCAATCATCATAATCTATATTCTAACGATTCCATAGAGAAGTCAATTCAATATAATATTACCGTAAAACATTATAATAAATTTACAGCAAAGGCATATGATCAAACATTTTAAACTTTGTATGTGGAAAGGGTAAACCCATACTATTATATCTTTTGCCTTTTATATTTAAAAAATATATTTCAGATATGCAATTAACAGGTCTTATTGCAAAGATTTATCGCAATAAGACATTAACATCAAAACGTAGCCAAGATTTTGTAAGGGGGGGAAGGCACTATATTTTTATGAAGGTTTTTGGGTCTACTTATTTATGCCTTTGGCTATATTTGAATTTTATAAAAATAATTATGGGCTTACACTTTTTATTTTAACTTATGGTCGTTAAATTTATAGTAATAATGTATGCAGTTTCGGAAGAGAGAGGGTGTTTGCCCCCCCCCCAACCTGGCTACGATCATGCATCAAATATATGATAATTTGGAAGCTGTTAGAGTTAACGAGTCCACATAAAATTCATCATTAAATATAATAGTATATAAATTTCGAAATTGATTTGATATGCAATTTCCAAATTTAATTGAGATTCTCTACAAGATATATTCCAATCATATTTAACAACTATTCAATTTAGTAGTATCTAAGAAACCACATTGATCTACTTAAGATTTTATTGTTAATTAAATTATTCTTTACAAACAGAACATAAGCTATTTATTCACATAAATCGAAATTGTAATGCTTCACGTTCCTGACCAAAATATGTGAAATATACGTGAACGTAAATAGTAAAGAGAATTCTCTAGAATTATTTGATAATGCATTGGGTATACATTAAAAAAATTTAGAACTCATTTATAACTGAGAAAAATGTATCTTTATTTTTTTAAAATAAACTGACCAATTCCATATGCATATAAAGGATATTATATGAATTGATACATCAAGAAATAATTTATTTAAACATCGACTCGCCGTTACCTCGATAAATAATATAAATGGTACTATCAGAATCTATAAGGATGATCAACAACACACTATTAATGAATATCTCATGAAGATAACTGACTTAGAAAAATATTCTCACAATTTTATATAAAAGAGATTAACAGATTTACAACTTGATCAATAGCTATGATAAACCCATTAGATACGTGTTAAGCCAATTAATCTAAAATAAGGTATACAAATTTACGCAGAACCTAATCGAACCAAGCCGAACACGCCAGGAAAAGTCAAATTATTTAAGAGGATAAAACCAATTTCAGCCTATCATACCGATAATGAAGACAACAACTATCGATTCATTTCTAATCGAACCGAGCCGATCAAACCAGGACAAACCAAGTTATACGAATCCAAGAAAATTTATGAAGAGCCGATAAAATCAAAACAAGTTGTAAGAAGCAAATAATATCGGAACCCAATCGAAATGATTATACACTGGAAACAAAGCTAATCAAAGTTATTTAAAACGATCTTAAGCTAATCGTATTTGCCTAACCTAACAGATAAATCTAAAAAAACCAAGCCAGTCCAAACAAATCAAGCTCACATTAGGCTATAGCGATCATTCTGGAACAAGAAGAGCCATGCTACTTTTTTCCGATAGCCAAGGTTGATCCGATTAATCTAAAACAGATTATGGGAAGCCAACTCACGCCGAACCCAACCGAATCAGGCCTACAATGCCCAGGATAAGTCAAACTCTAAGATGATCTGTCTATTAAATTGTTAAAGATTATAACCATCGATTCAATTCCAATCGAACCGAGCCGATCAAGCCTGGACAAGCCAAATTATCCTATCCAAAGAGATCCAAGCAATCATAGAGCCTATAAAATTGAATTATAGTTAGCAAATACTCATGGAACTTAATCGAGACATCCAGGAGTAACAAAGCCAAACGAATGTTAATTTATTCAAGCTGATAGATCTAATCCGCCACAATCCATCCGAACTTAGCAGATAAATCTAAAAAACCAAGCCGATTCAATCCAATCAAGTCAGCTAAGTAGCGATTATTCTGGAAAAGGGCAGACCATACTAATCTGTTTCGATAGCCAGGAATATCCATGTTTAGCCGATCAATCCACTGGCTATGTGAAGCTAACTCACGCCGAACTTAACTAAACCAAGAAAAGTATGCCAAGACAAGCCAAACAATCTAAGCTGATTCAAGCGAATTTTAGCCTATCAAACCGATGATGAATAGAATAGGCACCGATTTAATTCCAATCGAACCGAGTCGATTATTCTAGGTAAATTAAATTAAGCATACAACAAATCGCAATGGAGCCAGAACAGAGCCAGCTACAATCCAATCCAACATAGCTAGAAAATCGAGAAAATCATCTAGAGACGTAAATCTAATCAATGAGAATTCAAACGAATTCAGGTTGATCAGGCCCATTCACATTGATCTACTCGAATCCGGCCTATTAAACCTGTATGACCAATCCAAGTAAACCCAAGTTAGGCTAAATAGCGATCATCATGGAAGGCATACCATGCTAATCTGTTCCAATAACTAAGAAAATCCATGTAAAGCGGATGCAAAAACAAATTATGCAAAGCTAAATCATCGTCCAATCCTGAAGCCAACCGATCTAGCATACCAGGACAGGCTTAGCTAATCCAAGATGGTCCGAGCAAATTAAATTGATGATCAAGCCAATCTAAACTTATTGAGGCCCATCTGAACTGAACCCCTATATAAACCAAGAATCCTCAGGATAACCCAAATGCTCAAGTTAAAGTGAGCCGATCAAACAAGGACAAGGTAAACCTACCAATTATATTAGATAAAGATAATGAAATCCATTTTAACCCATCAAACTCAAACAAGTTATGTGAAAACTATCCTTGCGGAACACAACTGAACAGAGCATATAATCACGTGGCCGAATTTTAAAAAATGTGTTAATTATTGTAAATTAGAGGTCTGCAAAGGGCGGTTATTAGCACATAAACCCTTCAATATTTTAAAAAATTAACTCGCCCGCTCAACCCACCCAAACCGCCCATAGTTTTTAAAAAATATATCCGCACGCCCATTCTTGAGTCTAAAATTCTTTACTCGCCCGCCTGCCCATTAGTATAAAAAATTTTACCCGCCCATTATTTATAAAAATTTTTACCCATGCCGCCTATATAAAATTTAAATAATCTCATTCTTTCAATTTTTTTAGGCATCTAATGTTTCGCTACTACATCCTTATAAAAAAAATTTATAATTTAGGAAATTACTATATTAAGCATAAAATAAATATGCAATTCAAATACGGATAAAAATTTATTTGATATAGTAAAATATTTACGTAATAATATAAAATTAATATTTATTGATACTAAAAACCTTCCAGTATTGCTAATTCCTAGTTCAGAAGAAGCACTGGTTGCTGGAAATGCCAATATTTTTCTAAATAATCTTGATAGCTTTGACTAATCTTTTTCTTGCCGTTTCCATCAAAGTAGGATATCAGTTTGAAGTATATTCTCTACTCGAGTGAGTTATAAATAAAAAAAATATAATTTAATAATAAATTATAAACTTAAACTGATAATATAGAATAATTTTTAAGTAATTCTCTTTGCTTTTGGGGAAATGGGTAAAATCAGATCTTCATCCACATTGGTGTTATATTCTTCCATGCAAATCAAATCATCATGTTTTCTATATACTTTTTGCCTAATTAATTTCTTCCGACAACATCCTCATTTAACAGTAATTTGGTATTAAAAATGTTATAGGGAGCATATTTTACTTATATGATTTTATATAATAAATTGTTGTAAATTTTTAAACCCACCGCCCACCCACCCATAATTAGAATATTTTTCTTAACCTGCCCACCCGTTCTTTAAATTTTAACCCGCTCGCCCGTCCGCCCGCTTTGTGATGGGCGGGCTAAGGCAGGTGGGCTAAAACTTTATGGCAAATTATCATCTTATATAAAAAATATTTATGGAATGGTTGGTAACATCTAAGATGATCCTAGGCAATTTAAGCCAATTATAGGAATGGTTATGCCAATTGATATTAATCCATCTGAGCCCAGCCGAACTGAATCTATCAAGCCTCGACAAACCAATTCAAAATGCCAACGCACGCCACATAAGTCATTATCATAAGAATAGGACAAACCAAGTGAAACCGTGTAAATTCAGCAATGAAAATCCAAGAGGAGCCTATCAACTAAATTTAATTATGGGATATGGTGTTTATGTAAATTCAGTATATATCTTTCCCACCTTCCTCGATTTTGAACTACTAGTGCTCCTCATATTGACCCCCTCCTAGGCTTTTTTATCTCCTCCTCCCCAATTTTCTCCCCATTTTTATTCTAAGATGTTAGCCCATATTGGATCTAATCTCTCCCTTATCTTTTACCTATCTACTCTTTGTTTGAATCCTACATAGTATCACTAATTTCCCACTTCAGCCCAACTAATCATTTTAAAATTAACTTTAATACCCTCTCCATAGGTGACTAACACAAAGGGATACATTTCCCTTAATTCCTTACGACCCACTTTAATTTTTTTTTAAAAAAAGTATCCCCTATTCCATTTCCCTATTATATTCTCATTTGTTCTCTTCATCTGATTAAGACCATATCTAGCTGTAGTTTACGAGGGGTACTGATTGTAAGGGTATAGGTATAGAGGGGTGAGGGGATCTCAAGGTGTTCCATGTCGAACTTAAATTTTACTCTCTGATCATTATTTTTCAACATTATAAGTTAAGCTCACGGTCACCCGTACGAACAAAAAAAATCAATATATTATTTCTAAAATGTATTATATTTTAAAACAAATATAATTTAAAGCAATACGCCAATTTTTTAAAAATTAATAGTTATTTTATAATCACCTACAAATATATTTTCTTTTAATTTTTAAGTTATAAAACATTATATAATCAGCCCAAATAGATAAAAAGACATGAAAAAATAACATTCATTTTTCAATATTTTCTAAACTAAAATTGCTTAAAGTAATGCTGTATCGACAATTTTGTTCACCCCGCAGGATTTATTTCACCAATATTTTCATTTTCACTCGAAGGTATATGCCAACCTTTAAAAAATATTGTTTTTATTGTCATATTTTCTAATATGACATTTAAAAATGAAACACATTATTAGTTATATAAAATATTATAAAAATAATATAACAATTATTATGACATAGTATTTTCCGTAATAAATTTTTCATTTTTTTTTATTATAAATATAAATTTACCTAGAGGCTGAATAAAATCTTTCCGAAAAATACTTTGATCTTTAATTATAATTCGTAATATAATGAAATTTTATGAGTTTAGATAAAATGTTTTATTTTCATTTTTTTTTATTATGAAATGAGGTTCTTCTTACTTAATAATTTGGCATTTTTTGTTTCAATTGACAATCCTTGTTTTTTCAGTGTATAAAGAATTATAAAAAAATCGTTTAAATAATAATTTTTAAAATCCTGTAAATTAAATCGTCTTAAGGATGGGTATTTAAAATTTAAAAAAATAATAAATTGAAAGTAATTATAAGTATATAAAAACAAATATATAAATTTATAAAGTAATGTTTTTTTTTGGTCATCTCAATTTATTTAATATGAATATTTTGGTTCAAGTCGTATTTAACATTTAAGACAATCATTGTGCGTTTTGTCTCCTTAGTGAGGTGTTTATTTTGAACAATTTTCGAAATTATCTTGTAGTGGCTAACATATTTTAAAAAAGAAACAGTAGATTATTATTATTTTAAAACAAGATTGCCAATTTTTTTTTAAAGAATTAGAGAACCCTGGCTGCAAAGATACTATAAAATTGGTTTCCCTTTTATTTCTAGGTAGGGAGGGGTGGGGAAATATTCTACTATGAAAATTCATTCCTTAAATATAAAAGAAAAATTAACCTTCATAATATGAGAGAGCTAAATTCACAGACGCGATTTACTTTGAGTCCATGGGAATATCAATGCCATTCCTCAGACAAAGGACTTTTAAAAAAATTAACGTTATTGAATCATGTTCTCCTTATAAATTATTTTTTCAGGGTTCTTTATAAAGAAATTGCTCTATTTATAACCTTTTATGCCATTTTTAATCAGGGTTAAGAAATGGCTAAACCGTTTTTTTAAAATGTAGCTCAACTTTGAAGAAATCGCAAATAAATTAAGTCATGCTTCAATGCTCATCAGATTTTATTCGTCAGATGTCCGGAGATTTGTGTCAAATTATCCGTTTTTTAGCCATTCCCCTAACCAATTATATACATGAGGAGGGTTTTCACATCCCCTTCCTATCAACGCGAGATTTCTACAAGATAAAACTTTTCATAGTGATCTAGAATTTAAAAAAATACCTGTTAAACTAATAAATTATTATAAGATATCTAAGATCCTAAATCAAGAACGATAGAACTAAGAGAAAACGCTATTACAAAATGTTTGATGATATAATAACTGAAAAATTTATTTGGCCTGGCCGGGCAAATATGTTAGCGGGCCGGGTTGATAAATTTTTTATGACTGGATTATTAATAAATTCTAATATTTGATAAAAGTGATAATCCATATTGTATTTTTAATTTAACCACTACCCAATATTATAAATAATTATTTATTTGGTGTCAACTACATATATTTCGGGTTAGGCATTGTATGAAATAACCGGATCGGCCTGTTCGGGTATACATTCTAACGAACTCAATTGGACCTGAACTTGATTCTAATGGATTTTTTATTTTTTACTTTCCTAAATGCTTTTATATTTCAGGTTTTTTCTTTGAAACATCGCAATCTTTTTACCACCAACCAATTTTTTCTTCGGATTGGACTTAGACAAATTTCTAAAATACAATTTAGGATTGGATCTTTAATAAATAATAATCGGATTGGATTGGTGAAACAATTTAAAAAAAAAATCTATCTGGCTGATCATGAAAAAAACAGGTCAGGTGTAGGGTTCTAGTTTATATATCATCTCTCGACAAATATTGCAAATAGAAATCTTGAAATCCCTATTTCCCAACCTCATAGGATTTTCCATCCTGTGCTTATCATTCTTTTCATCTCTAGTTGAATATCGGATGTAGTGATAAATTAATTATCAAAGAAAAGTTTGATTTGGATTAGTGATCTGCATCGGGCCTAATTCTTCAGGCCCGGCCCGAAATTTTTTTAAAAAAGTTTTGCCGGCCCGGCCCGAATTTATTTAAATAGAGAAATTAATTTTTATTATTACTCAAAATAAAATCAAATATATTTAATTTACCTAAAAAATTCAATAAAAAATTGATAAATTTATATATATTTGAAAAAATTTACAAAGACCGACCCGACCTGCCCGAATTTTTTTAAAAATATTAGGCCCGGCCCGGCCCGGTCCAAACCCGATTATTTTTAAAAAATATTAGGCCCGGCCCGGCTCAAACCCGATTATTTTTATAAAATTAGGCCCAAGCCGGACTCGGGCCGGGTACGGGCCGGGCCTTACTTTGCAGGTCTCTAATTTGGATAACCATAATTAACATTTGAAAAAAAAAAAATTTGACATCGAAACCTTTAAAAATTATTTTTTTCGAATTTTTTTTTGGTGACTATTTTTGAAATAATATTATAATTTATTTATTTATTTTAATTATTTATTATTTAAAAAAAAAAAATTTTTAAAAATAAATAAAAGAAATATTCAAAAAAAAACAAGTCACAAAAAAACGTTTAAAAATTTTACTTTTTAAATTGATTAATTTTCATTTTAAACCGACTCATTTATTATTTTTAAAAAATTTTTTTTTTTAAAATTGTTATCGCAAAAATATCTAAATAATTTGCTAAAACCGCGAAAAAAAAAATTAAAAACCAAATCATTGGAATTCACAATTAAAACACACAATTAATTATTAGCATTTTTAAATATCTTATATTTTATTGGGTGTTATAAGTTTTTCATTACCAAAAACTTGTTTTTTTTTTAAAAAAAGGAAGGTCAATTGACCGAAATTCAGGACATATTTAAATTCAATGTTTTCTAAAGGAGGAGAAAATTTCTGACACAACGCAAAATAAAGCATAATAATATTCACGAAAAATAAATAAATAGAGGGATTTTCTCATCATTCGAATTTTAATTTTTATCTTTCATGGAAAAAATGGTATAAATATAAAAAAAGATTTTAAAATATTTTTTTAATGTTTCAATAAGCATGAAAATTAATGAAAATTAGAGAATAATTTTTAAGTTCAATCATAGATTAGACAGAGAATTAGGCTAAAAATATTTTGTTAATTCACTGCTTATTGTAGACTGGTTCGCGTAAGACGGGGAGGGAATTTGAACTTATATCATTTAGGGCGCCGGCTAGCTCAGTGGTTCTAGTTCTATGAGGGGGTTTTAAACTCATTTAAGTGGTCGTCTTTCCCATGATGGATCACTGTTAAAATAGGCAAATTGAGAACCTAAAATAAAAATAATCAAACATCATTTCGTTGTAAACACAGTAAACTCATAATACCATTAAAGAAAACCACTTAATTGTTTACGTAATAAGATTTTAAAAAAAATTAACTAAAATTTAGCAACAACAAATTACAATTCTCAAAAACCATTTTTTATATATAAATTATAACTCCTTCCTATTCTTACACAATCACACTTGGTCAACTCGATTTACAAGCAGAGATTAAGTTTTTAACCTAAGATAATAGCTTTATTGAATAGAAATATCGAAATCGTTAACTTGAACCCTCCCCATTCTACCCCATCCCTATATTTATATTTTTTAAAAAATCAGGTTAAAATACAGCCAAATTTTTATTCAAAAAAAGATATTTAATAAATTAAATAATAAAAAAATATTTTTCATTATTATTCGTTCAAATGAAGGTTAACTCAAAATTCACATTTCAATTTTACCTGATATTGATATATATATATATATACCTTTGAGTTATAATTTATTTCCTAATTTTATATCGTATATTTGAATTGGTATAATTAGGAAAAATAAACTAATTATGTTTTTTATAGTATATAACAGCGTCTGTTATAACCGCGTAAAAAATATCTTTAGAATAATTATATATTATAATGTCATCATTATTTAGAACGAATAAATTCAAGTTATATGGAGTTTGATTTTTTTTTTATTAGCAGAAAAAAAATATTGGACTAGTCATTAAAATGCCGGTTTTATCCATAATAATTAATTCCTAATTAAAGATCTCGGTCCAAAAATATTTACGGGCTGAACCGGGTCTGATCGGTTAAATATTTTAAAAAGTGTAAGTAATAATGTGCACAATATTTTTTAAGAGTTATGTCTAAAATCTTGTTTTAAAAAAAATTCAAATATAAAATTCCAAAATTTCGGAAAATTTGATATAATTATGTTAAATTTTTGAAATTTTTAAAATTTTCTTAGAAATATAATTTCGGACATGCTTTTATTATCACATTTTTTTTTAAAAAAAAGCTTATTTCTTTATTTTTTTTGAAAAAAAGCTTCGAAAGTTGGCGAATTTAATTTTTGTTATTTAAAATTTTTTGATATTTACGGGCAAATTCAGCCTGGGACATGTTGATCCATTAAACCGCTTTTACGTAAGTAAATAATAGTATAAAAAACCTGTAAAATAAATTACATTCTCTCAAATATTTTACCCACTTGAAATTTAACGATATTTACCGGTTTTAACATTTATAATGGCGGGTTATACTGAATTGGATGTTGGTTTAGGTTCCATTAATTCTTAATATTATTATTTTAATTCGAAATTACAAAATGAATTAGAATAATCGCCTGCCAATTGCATTATTTAATTCTTCCTAACTATCTTTTGTCAGGGAAATTATTAGATATTTTATATAATTTATGACAAAAGTCCTAATTTATCTTCTTTTTTTTTAAAATTAAATTCCAGGATAAATAATTTGTTCAACTGGCCACCTTGTCAGTTCCTGTATTGAGCCTCACGATCATCAGAGTATAAATGACATCATATAACTTTAACGCAAAAAAATTTGGAAGCAACATACCTAAATTTACCCTCCCTTCACCTACAAAATATTTTTAACTGCCTTTTAAATCCACCCCCTGAGAGATATATGGTGGCAGATTAACTCTCCATTTGTATAAGTAGGTGGTCTAGCACCCACCAATTTTTTTTTGAAGGGATTTTATTTTGATTAGAGGTTGATTCAGAATTTGGAAGTCACAAATGTAAAAGTAGACAAGAACCTCTTTTTTTTAAATTTAAGAAATCGAAACCAGAATCGTCATTTAAAAAAAAACATATTCCGAACCGGAAGTATTTTTATTGCAGGATCTAAACTCTGTTGGAAACGTAATATTTTTTTATTTTATTGTGCTGTCATTCAAATTAAATTCCCCACTCATTTTTTTGGCGAATCCTTTTATGAAATGTTAATCAAATTCAGTTGGGTCCTGACAGATCTCCCCCATTTTTAAACTTTGTATTTCATTAAAAACATCCTACTCAAAATTAAGGATCAGAAGAGCCCTATTTTTAACCACAATATTTTTTTTAAGACGTCTCTTGATTACTTTTTTTTTGAGAGAAAACTCATAAACGCATTTTATTCAAGGAAAATATCAAAAACTTGCTGAATTGAATTGTCATACTCTCAAAATTTGTGTTGCCAGTCGGAACCGATTTTCACCGTGCTTTAGACCACGTCGGCCTAGATCTTAGTTCTAAATGTATGCGTCAAAGTTTTTTTCCCCATTAACACGTTAATTCGTTTATCATACTAATAAAAATATTAGTATCATATAAATTGTTTATTTATCATTTTTTTTTTAAAGAAGATTAATTGATTTTATTAGCAAATAAAAAATATTGGCCTATTTTATAAGGGCAAGGTCGATATTTCGATTTACAAACGGAAAAGATAAATAATATTTTTTAAAATATTATTAAAGATAGCTATGTTTATTTTTTTACTAAAAAAATATGATTTACATCGATTAATGAACGAGCCGGTCGGGTTGAGTGAAGTTCAAGGTTATATTCACCCCCCCCCTATCCACCATTTCTAATCAGTTTATTATTTTTTTTTATCTTTTGCGATTTAAGGAAAATAAATGATTTCAAATCAAGGATCCTATAAATAATTTTATCTCTTTTTGTTTTTACGTAAATTTTTAAACTAGAAAAAAATTATAAATAACCCGCGAAAACCCCGGAAACTCGATTATTTTTTCCCCGGGGTTTTTTTTATGAAAAATTCGAATAAAATCGTATTCCATCCGAATCGTAAGATCTATTGGATAGGATTGGATAGAATATTAAATAGGACATTTTTAATTTACGAGTGCTGAAAAAAGGGGAAAATTTTTTTAATAAATGCACCAATACAACTTTTTTAGCCAATGCCCAATGACTTGTGAAATATATTTTAAAGCGTCGTTGTATACGTACGAATAAGCCGATAATAGGCCCTTTTGGTTTCCCAGAATTATTTTGTTATAAATGAAACTGATATATATTTTTTTTTAAATTTTCATAAAATCTTAATGTAAATTGTTTATATAGAAAAATCCAAAATGTCGTCCCACTATTTAATTTGTATTGAAATCAATTTAAATGAATTATTTAATTTATCGGAAAAAAAATAACAAAAATATAATTTCATATATATTCTCATTTTTATTTTATTTATCATATTTTATAATTGATTTATAAAAATTTAAGTGAAAAAGGAATAGGAAAAAAAATTAACAATAGTGTTTAGATATGAAATTTTTTTATAAATTCATGGCTTAAATGTAAGATTGACTATCGTAACTGCAAATTTAAAATAGAGTCTACTTATAAAAGACATTTTATTTATAAACGATCGTACCTTGCTCAAATCATGCCCTGGTCCATATCTAATATACTAACCACATACCACAGAAAGGTATACCTGGATTGAATCGGTGTTGTGATTTACAAATAATTTATTGGAAGAGATTGACAGCCATTTATTTTAAAACGGGGTAACTCTTCACTCCCTAAAAAATTTAATTTATTTTATTTTTGGATTATTGTCACGGGTAACGGTTAAAATTAAAAATCGGGAAGGTGACAAGAATAAAATGATTTATATTTCATTTTCAGCCTTTTTATTTCAGGGTTAAATTTTTGATTAGACCATATTATATTGATGATATCATAAAATTTAGACTTTTTTTTAAAAAAGAATGTGATTTTTAGACAAAAAAAATAAGAATAAGAAACCTATTAATGTATTTTAAAGATATTATCATATTACCAAACGAAAAAGTGCGGCTTTAATGCTATATTCAGAATTGAAAAACAAGCTGGAATGCATTAAAGATCTTTTAAGTATTATTGTGATTTCAATAGGAATGTTCTAACTTTCATATCATCATATTTTCCCTATATAAAGGCACAAATGATGACTAAATTCAAAATTTTTGAAAATAAATGGTGGATTTAACATTAAAGCATAACATTTTCGATGCGTATCTCATCCATCATTTCAGGGTCCAAAATGATAATTCACATGAGAACTAAAGGGATTATAGCCGTAATCTTTAGCAATGAAATGATGAGATTTAATATATAGGCGCATAATCTAAGATAAATATATCATTGTTCTAATGATTTTTTTTTAAATATAATGTTTGGCCAATCTGAAATTCATGTTTGGGGTTTGTAGCCTGGTGATTAACTATTGGTAAAATTATCGTATAGCTCAAAAAATCAAAAATGACTTAGAGCATCAATAAACCTAGTAATAGTATAATCATTTTTGCTATTTTCATCAGAGTATCTCCGCTCTTTAATTATGAGATCATCGAATCCAATCACTATTTATTTAATATATATGGGGTCTATTACTCTTTCCTGTTATTCCTTGGACATTATTTTTAGATCATACTGAATCTTATGTGTACATTTTATCAAAAGTAGTATTGGCTGTCGCCAAATCTATAAGAGTGTTTATCATGCCTTACAAAGATTTCAGAGTTAGAAAATTAAAATATTTTTTTTATCTTCTAAATAAAATAATTAAAACTTATCAAATTATTTAATCATCATATGTTTAATTTTCATATCTTGTTATTAAAAAGAATTATTTGATCAACTTTGTTTGAAAAAAAAGGTCACATACACAATATTGAAGAAGTTATCAATAAGTAAGATGATTTTTTTCAGTATGTTTACTAATGATAGCAAGCAGGTTCCTCTAAAAATATCTACACATTACATCTTTCTATTCTTTTCAAAATATAAAAATTCTGTTTTTGCTGCTCTGAGAATCATTTTTTTTTTATTTGGAATTTAAAATATTATATAAACTTATTAGACGTTTTTTTGTTATTATTATTTTATATATTATAATTATATATTTAATATATTCCATTAATTATATTGCCGTCAATACGAATATAATTTAGAATTTAATTTACAGTAGCCTCTTAAGGATTTGTAAAGCCCGACCAATACTCCTAACCTAGCCATAATCGGAACCCGTCCTAGCAGGGCCTATTTAGAAAAAAAAATTCGGGTCTGGTTGAATCTATTTTTTTTTTAAATTTGGGCCGGGCTTTTTAATATATAATATTCAGTTTTGTGATATAAATCGATATGTTTTAAAAAAATTTTCGAGAAACAAGTCGCCAAAATCTTTTATTTAAGAATATAATTCATCTATGTTTCAATAAATTCAGGCCAGGTCGGGCTGATTAACAAATTTTTTTTTATTTTCGGGTCTTCGGGATAAATAAAATAAAATTCTTTCATGATCGGGCCAGGCCGGACCGAACAAATATGTAGAAAAAATATCGGGCCGGGCTTGTAAAATTAGGCCTGATAAAGATCACGATATAATATATTTATATTTATTCCACGAAATTCAAAATTGTTGCAAAAAAAATAAGAGGTATTTTGAAATCTAATAATATTATATTACATTTTTACATTTTATTCGATATTTTGGAAAAGCCAAGAACTGGATTGTCTCTTAAACACAGAAGATAGCCTGTTTAATGGCGCATTCTCAATATAAAAATAAATTTGCCAAATTTCATATTGTTTCCAGTTTTTCTATTTTTTAACAAATCTCACGGAAAATCATTGCCTAAATCTTTATTATATTTATTAATTAGCGTGATTTATTGAGCTCAGGTCATACCAAGTTTCCACGATTTAGCGTTCGAGAAATTGAGCCTTTTGATATTCATTATAAAGGCTCTATTTTTGGCCTGCTATATTTTTTAATATTATGCGCTCATACTTTATAAGCGTTTTAGTATGGCCGTGGCCTTATATGGTGTGTCCTTCTTACATAATTATTTTAAGATTCTTTGTATTAAAAAAAATTAAAATTTGACCATTATATTTGATTACTTCTAAATCGTTTGTTCAGGCTGAATTGAAATAATATCGATATATAGACAATATAAATAGTGACTTCCACATATCTTTCTTAACTTGTGACAACTTAAATCTTGATAAATTTCATCAAAATAATTTGTGCTGTCATTTTAGCTAGGATCCATTTTAAATCCCAAAATATCATTTGTTAACAATTATTAAGGTGTTAAAATTTTCAAAGGTTTTCTCCAAATTTATATTTTCTCTAGAGTATAATTTTCCCCGGGTTTTTTCTTTCAAACCTAGGTCTCTTCTTCTTCTTGTGTTGTTAATTTTTAAGAAATTTTCCCAGGGATTTCAAAGATTTTATTTTCTTCCAGGGGCTATTTTACCGGACTCAAGGATTTTTTTAATCCGATTGCCATTATATATAATAATTTTAAAATAATTTTAGTATAATGAGCTATAAAGAATAATTAAATAAAATAACCGAAAATCCTCCATTTCCGTTTTGAAATAATGAAAAAAAATTTATTGATTTTTCTAATCAATCTTTTATCTAGAATTTTATTATATATTCGTGCCGTTATTTTTGACAAAGGGATCAAAAAACTGGTAACAAAATATTTTAAAATGAACTAACTAATTATTTCTCCGCATTTTTAGTCTTTTAGACATCGTGCACGAGCTTAAGCGAATCGCATCGCGACATATATTTTTCAAATTTCATCATAACGATGTAACTCATTTCATCGCATCACTCAGTCATTATAGATTATACCTATTATTTACTTGTTAAATTACGCCTTGCTGTATAAAAGGTAATCGCGCTTACTATAAACGAGGCCTTAGACATAGGAGGAATATCAAAATTTTGATTATATTTCATTTTTTTTGAATCGGTATAGTTTTCCCTTAAATGTTAAAAAAAGAAGCAATTTACAGTACTAGCTTGGGAAAATAAAATAACCTGATAACGATCTTGACTTTTCTCAGGGACTAAAAAAATGCGGGAAAATAGTAAAACTAGGAATATTTTAATTTGTATTATGAGAATTCTGTGATCAATATAAATCAGATTAATGTTAGGCACACAAATCTGTATTTTCCTTTATTTTTCTTTGGTTGGATCGCCATTGCCATATATTGCTATAATAAATTCGGTGTTGTGTTTTTCGAATAGTGTGCTGTGGCTCAGTTGGTGATTAAGGTTTTTTATGATGTGCTAAAGTTTTTATGCGATAAACAAAATGATTTTTCTATCAACATCGAGTACTAAACACCAGTTCAATAGGTGGTGATGTTGGCAAGGGTGCATTATATTTTATAAACAAGATTTTTAATAATTGTAAGCTGTTTAAAGATTTCCAAAGTTGTTTCTTTATTCTCAAAGAAATTAACAGGTCATCTAGTCATAAGAAATATCTTTATTTTTTTTAAAAAACGTTTTCATCCTCCATAGATTTCCTATTTTTATCCATATATTTCCTCAAAAAAGGAAGCTAAATGCTTGTTTCCTTCTTTTCATTTAGCCTTTATGATAATGTTGAAGATAATTGACAGTTTATCGGCACTAGACTACTCACTAATGTAATTGAAAACTTCCAACAAACCAATAAAAAATGAGAGCTGAAAGAAGAATTCAATACACGCATATTTATTATTTTAAATTAAAAATTGGTTTTATTTTGTTATATATATTTATACAGATTTTTAAATAAATATATAACAGATTAATACAATAATAAAAAAAAAGATAGAAAGTAAAACGTTACTCAAATACGTTACTTTCCCCAATAGTAATGCCTTTACCTTATTTTCTAGGGGAAAAGATAACACCGTTAACGACGACATTAATTTTTGTAACGCATTACTCTACATATATATTAAAAAGGAACTTATTGAATTTTAATAAAATTTAGTCATCGTTTAATGAATTGATATAAGTTGAATTGGTACAGGTTAACATAAACCTATAAACCATGAAAACGGGAAAGGGTTAAATACGGAAACATTTTAAACCTTTAAAAATTCCCAAATATAATAACGACCCATCCACTTTTTTCTTATACTATTTATAATATTACATGTAAATTAATATCATTTAAACGATTCAAATCTTTTTAAAAAATTGAATTTAAGAAAAAGTTCTATAAAAAAATGTAATAAATTATTAATTATCTATAAATTTATATAATTACCTGCCATATTCTTTTTAATAAATTATTTATCTCCTTTATTTATATATTTTTTAATACGATTTTTCTCACACATAAACGACAGAAAAAATTATTATCTTTTCTTAACCACTTATTTGTTTTAAGTTTCTATATACTGGTAAGAACTAATGTTTTTTGGCAAGGATTTTAAGTAATTAAATTTTAAATTTTGCGTTTGCTTAATCCAAACTCTATCGTTATAAACTAATCCTACCTAACCACCCATCAAGTTTTAAAAAGATTCGATAGAAACGGGAAAGTGTAAATGATTGAGAAATAGAAACCGGAAATGCACTACATAGACTTGTATTAATGAGTTTAAACCAAATCTCAAAGTGACAAACATTTTTTATCTATTTCTCTTTACTTATAAAAAAGGAAGCTTATGTTATATAATATTAAAATAATTGTTTTCCAAAAAAAATTCTTAATCTTCAAAATAAAAATCATTATTATTCTTTTTTATAGCCGGTTAAATTTAGAAATTTTGAAAAGATTCTAGAATTATCGAAAACTACAAGAAATATTAAGTTTCTAGAATTGCCACAATGCATTATCGACATCATACATTTAAAATTAAAATATCTATAATTTATTTGTTTATTATAAAAATAAAATCACATAAGCAACTTAACTTTCTATAATAATCATTATCTTCACTTTTAACTCACCAGCAGCATAAATTATCGAAAGGTTACGACTTAGTGCCTAGTTCTGATCTGCAATCATTCCAGACTCATGATCCAAAACATCGTAAATCAGTTAAAATTAGAAGAAATTGGATGCCTTGGAGAAAGCAAAAAAAAACGTCCCCAGAAATGGAGGATCTCAAAAAGGAGGTGGAAATGGTAAAAAAAAATTTTTTTTGAAAATGTGTAATGAAAGAGATTGATTTTTTTTTATATAGGAAAAGGGGAGAGTTAAGAAAGAATAAAATGGAATGAAAGAATAAAAAGAAAAGAAGAAGGATTGATTATATAAGAAAGAAAAATTAATATCGATTTTAGAAGGGTAGCTTGGTAAGGCTTGTTGAGGTATCATTTTGTAGGAAAAGGTTTTTTCCCTGATAAAAGTGATAATGATCTGAATTCCACTAAAAACGATAAATATTTATTCAGATGATCGGAGAAATTCCTCAGTTCTATATCTAATTTGTAATTTTATTTTTTTATAGGACGAACACATAATTCCGCTCCAAGAATTGTTCAAACGTTTAGGGACCGATCCCGAAAAAGTTAGTAGATACGACGATTACAATTATACTCCATTTTTTAAGAATTAACGTTATACGGTTTCGTTTGTAGGTTAGCCGCGATTGATGGTCACGCGATTCGATGTTTATAGCTAAACGATAGCATAGCTTTATTTTTACTTTAACCTTATTTTGTAATTTAAGCAGTGCGACAATTTTTTAGGGTTGTTATAAACGAGACCTAAGTTTATCGCATTATCAGCTTAATCAATTTATCATTAGAATATAGATGACTATTCTTCGCAAATATAATAATTTGAATTTATATTAAAAAAATGTTTAAATATTAAAGAAAGAAGCATTTTGTTAGTTTTTTATTAATCTTATACTATTTGTATTAATATAATTTCTAGTAAAATTTAATAATTTCATTATTTTTACTATTTTTACTGTTTTTTATTTATTTCTATCTATGCAAGTTTCTTCTATAAATTTATTAAAATCTGCTAGATATCAGGATAATTTTTTTCCTAAAAATCAAACTATAATCTCAGATATAATAAAAATACTAAATTTTATAATTTACCGTTGCTTACTAGCTTAAAACTCGATTTTTATTTTTTGAAGTAAATATTTATAAGCATTTACGTATCTGCAGGGTCTGAGTACAGAACAGGCGCAATTTATATTTGCCAGAGATGGGCCCAACTCTTTAACGCCTCCAGCCCAAACCCCGGAATGGATAAAATTCGCTAAGCAACTTTTCGGAGGCTTCGCCACTCTTTTGTGGATCGGTGCTATTCTTTGTTTCCTGGCCTATGGCATCCAGTCTGCTACATATAGAAATGTTTCCAAGGACAACGTACTTACATTTTTTTAATCATATGTATTTTATTCTATTAAGTTTTGTCCATTCCATAACTCATCCTTTAATTAATAAAACTTATTTTTATTACTAAACTCTAAGTTATATTTGGGAGTCGTGCTTATGAGCGTTGTCATAATTACCGGTATATTTTCGTATTACCAAGAAGCTAAAAGTTCTCGTATTATGGAATCTTTCGCTAAAATGATTCCACAGGTATGATCGGTGTTATTTATATATGATATTTAAAATTTTATCAAAAATTGTGGTTTATTTTATCGATTTAGGGAATTTTCAATAAATATCTACTATAATAGACCTTATCACTAGAGCTTATTTTGGTCTCACATTTCACATAGTGTCTTTTTATTAAAAAAAAGATTTTTTTCCTTGAAAAAGATGTCACTATATTTCTGAAAAGTACATTGCTACGTCACTAAAAAACAGCTGTATATGGTATTAGGGGGTTTTTTTATTTGACTTTCTATAATAATTATTTTATAACTATGTTCAATAGCACGCGGTGGTGTGGAGGAATGGTGTTAAGACAGAGCTCAAAGTTGAAGAGTTGGTAGTCGGAGACGTAGTCGACGTACATTTTGGCGATAGAGTACCTGCCGATTTGCGCATTTTAAAATCTCACGGATTCAAGGTTTATATTTTATTGATTAAATGTAGGAAAGATCGGTAGCATAATTTTATATAATTTAAACAGGTGGATAATTCGTCGTTAACCGGTGAGAGCGAGCCCCAATCCCGTTCGCCCGATAATACCAGCGAAAATCCGCTAGAAACCAAAAATTTAGCATTTTTCTCAACCAACGCAGTCGAAGGTTTGTATATGTTTTTATCGAAGTCCCGGATTTAGATACGGTTCCATCTTCTCCCTCAAAGATCAATTTATTTTATTTGTGTAGGATGATAGTGTAACGGGGGTCTCGGAATGCACCGAGAAATGTACCCCCCTCCCCATTTTAAAATATCTGCCTCCCTTCAATAGGAAAACTTAAAAAATACTTCATACTTTCTACTTACACTCAATAATATCCCTGATTATTATCTCTCCTCAAGAAAAAAGTTAATGTTAGAAAAAATTATAGGGATGTTTTTGTTTGGTATCAGTAATTCATGATATATGTTTTTTCTTTATATGAGAGTTATCGCGATAATTATAGCCACATATTTTTTTAAAAAAATATTATGTTCAGGAATAAAAAAATATAATTGTCGGGCGAAGAAAAATATCAAATTCATAATTTAATATCGCCCAATAAGAATTTAGAAAATAAGTTGATTTTAAAGTCGGTTCCCTTGTTATCATCATAAATCATTTAGTTTACAAAATCATACGACAATTTTAACCTCTATTTAAAAATTACTTCCTAATAATTAAAATGCGAATTAATTTTATACACATTTTTGCACCTATTTGAATAATAGTTTCTTTTTAAGCAGTTTTTCCCGATTTCAAAAATGGTATACCCGAGTTTTTATCCGAAAACTCCTCCGTCTCATTCATAGTTAGCATGAATTCATGGCGATATATATAAAAAAGATGTACTTTTATGTATATACACATATACCTCGCGAATTCGCGCTAACTGTATATGCAGAAAATTAGCCTTTCTATTTTTTTATATAAAGGATAATAGCTCTACTTTTATAGGAAAGCGAAAAAATTCACTTTGGTCCTCAATACCTAATATTTTTCTACGTCACTCGTATTCAGTCATGTTTCTGATTATTTAATTAAACCTCTCTTAACGATTTTGATCTATGCACGCCCAAATTAATATTGTTTAAAGAAAATATTTAAATGATGGTTATTAAACAACAGAAGCGCTTGATCCTCGCTCGCTGATTGAAATTGCATAAATTCTTCTATTTCTGCCATAATTATTTTCGTAAGAAAAAATGTATATAAAAAGTTAAAGTGCTTTTTTATCCTCATTCGCAGGAACGGCAACCGGAGTTGTTGTGCATACGGGAGACAGAACCATAATGGGCAGAATAGCAAATCTGGCTTCGGGGCTTCAAACGGGGGACACGCCAATCCATAAAGAAATTAACCATTTTATTCACATTATAACTGCAGTAGCCGTATTTTTGGGGATCTCATTCTTTATTATCGCCCTAATAATGAACTATACCTGGTTGGACGGGGTCATCTTTTTGATAGGTATCATTGTAGCCAATGTACCGGAGGGCCTGTTAGCAACAGTCACGGTAAAAAAAATTTGTCTTTTTCTAAAATATTCAACATTAGGCAGGTGGATGGGCGGGTTAAAATAATTATAAAATAATGGACGAGCATGTACTTGGAAATTTTTAATAAAATAAATAGATGGGGCTGGTTAAAAAACAAAACAATGTGTGGGCCAACTACAATTTTAGTAGACAGTAACCCGCTTATAATATATCTTCATCACTCTAAACCTTATTAACCCCAGGTATGCCTAACTTTAACTGCTAAACGAATGGCCGCGAAAAATTGTTTAGTCAAAAATCTCGAAGCCGTAGAAACACTAGGATCAACATCTACAATATGTTCGGATAAGACTGGTACTTTGACACAAAATAGGATGACTGTAGCACACATGTGGTACGATAGCAAAATTTGGGAAGTTGACACTTCGGAAAATCAAACGAGTAAATTTGAAAGATGGGACTTAATATTTTAATGCTCGTTATATTGGTATATACGTCATAACAAGATGTAGAATCGGTAGTAATTCGGAATCTCTCAGTTACAAAGCATTCATTGAAGACACTTTTAAAATTTAAAAAATTTAATTTGACCTAAAATATATTCCAGTGAAGATAGAGTAACCTACACACCGAAATTCTTTCATATAATATTTAAATAATACAATAAATTTCATGGTTAAATTTTCTGGAAAAATTCCGGTCAATTTGATTTTTTAACTTAAGTCCCACTTAGGAAATGATTTAAAAGTTAGAGATTCCGCCATATGAATTCCTTATCCCATTACGACATTATAAAACGTCTTCTGATAAAATAAAAATAAATTCTAAAAAGTGGTATTGAATCGTGTCAAAAATCAAACGTGGGAGGCACTGGAACGAATAGCCGGATTGTGCAACAGGGCTTACTTTAAAGCTCACCAAGAAAATGTGCCCGTTATGAAAAGGTATATCAGGAGACATAAATTTGAATCTGTCTTAACTATATTTATATTTTTACTTCTTAAATAGGGAATGTAATGGAGATGCCTCTGAAACGGCCCTGCTTAAGTGTGTGGAATTGACATATGGGAATGTGGAAGAAATGAGGAAACTTTACAGAAAGCTTGTAGAAATTCCTTTCAATTCTACCAATAAATACCAGGTTAAACTTAAGTCATTATTCTTATATAATTATTTTTTATTTTATTTAAGTAATGTCGGGAAGATCTTTTTTTTTATTTAATTTTTATATCTATTCCTGCTTACAAATACTAAAGGTATCGATCCACGAGGCTCCTAACGATCCCAGGCATTTGTTAGTCATGAAGGGAGCTCCAGAGAGAGTTTTAGAGAGGTGTACGACCATTTTGATAGATGGTAAAGAAATTCCGATAACAGATAAGATAAAGGAGGATTTTAACACGGCCTACTTGGAGTTGGGTGGAATGGGAGAGAGAGTTTTGGGATTTTGTGATTTTTGGTTGCCCGTTGAACAATTTCCCAAAGGCTTTCCTTTCAATCCCGACGATGTAAATTTCCCTCTAGAAGGATTTAGATTTGTGGGTCTCATGGCTATGATAGACCCACCCCGAGCTGCCGTTCCTGACGCTGTAGCTAAGTGTCGTAGCGCTGGAATTAAGGTAAAAACCCTGAAGTTATGTGTGTAATGATGTTTGATTGATTGTAAAACCTTACTCCGATTCAATGTAATGCCCATTATTACAATTTATATAGAATTTGGTAGACTTGTTTTTAATTAACATCTTTATCGTGCTATTTTTAGTTTAATTAAACTCCTTTAAGTAACATATCTGTAACAGAGATTTAATAGTAATAAATCTTAATCATGTGAAAATAATATTATTTAAATATAACAAATAGCAAATATATTTTATCCCAAATTCTATTGTTATCACTAAAGGTCATAATGGTTACTGGAGACCATCCAATAACGGCCAAGGCTATAGCTAGGCAAGTAGGTATAATATCGGAAGGCAGTGAAACCATCGATGACATATCCTCTCGTTTAAATATACCATTAGAAGAAATTAATCCGCGGTTAGCCGACCTAATATCTTAAAATATTCAAATTTATTTTCCTGATGTCACCTTTGTAAAGAAGCCCCTTACTCTCTACCCTTCCCTTCAGCTTAATCTACACTTAAATATCCAAGAGTTCTTTCAAATTATTTATTCACAATGATAAAATAACAACTAATATAAAAATATATAAACCTAACCAATAACTATCCCATTAAATGGTCCAAGACATCCTATATATGCTCTTTGTTCTTTTCCAGCTGACATCCCGTGATCTCCCCATTCTCCCTTCTTCCCAAGGAAAATTAATTATTCATGTCATAAAAATATACTGACATTTAGTATATTATATTAAATTTATTTCTTCTTTTTTCTAACTGCTACAACAACCCCCTCCCCCACCTATCCTAATAAAATCTCCATAATTTTGTTATACTACTTTTAATACTATAAAAAATTTTTAAATAAAATTTTTATTAAAATATCTAAAGATATGTTAATTCTCACATATCTTCAAAATTATTTTTTATCCTCTTTTACTCTTTCTTTTCTTCTTTTCATTTCTCTCTTAAAAAATTTTTATTCGAAGAAAATAACACGATGATTTATACATTGCCATTTTACAGCGATGCGAAGGCTTGCGTGGTTCATGGCGGAGACCTCAAAAAAATGAGTCCTAAAGATTTGGACGAGATTTTGAAATGGCATCCCGAAATTGTTTTCGCTCGCACCTCCCCACAACAAAAACTTATGATAGTGGAAGGGTGCCAGAGACAAGGAGCAATAGTAGCAGTAACCGGAGATGGGGTTAACGATTCTCCTGCGCTTAAGAAGGCCGATATCGGTTATTAATTTTTTTAATGTTTATTTTTTGTATTTTGTATTTTTTGTAATTTTTGTATTTTGTATTTTTATAAAGGCTTAATTTGTAAATAAGGTAAGCATTCGCAAATATAATTGAAGCATTTAAAATAGCTACATTATATGACAAGATAATAGGGGAGTACTGGCTATTGAGCCTGGTAAGAAGTTTCCTGCATTTTTAGAGGTCGGTTAAGTATAAATTTAGTTTTTTATAAGCCAGATGGTAGTAAGGTTAAAAAAAGAATTGATATTATTTTATTGTTACTTTATTATCCTTATTTTATATTTAATTTTTTCTTAAAAATATATATTATTGTATAAAAAAAGGAATAGTTAACTTATTATTCTTTGATAATTATTCTTTTTATCAAAAAAGAGGAGTATTCAGATGAACCACATGATACCCTTAACATCTATCAAGTTGACGTATTTCTTAGAAACATTGATAAAAACTCGACGAAATGTCAATATCATGCTGTTAATAAAATTTTTAGAAAAACCAAATCATATTGCTGATATTCAATATTTGCATCCTCTAAATTTCTATGAAACTAATAATGAAGATATAAATGAAAAAGCTTATGATTATTTTTTTAGTTTTAGCCAAAGTATATAGTAAAAAATTACGAAAAAAAATTATATTCATTTGCCAGAATAAGTAGGCCTGTGAAAAATCACAAGATAGGAATATATTAACGTTTCCAAAGAAAACGGTGGAATGGATGAGCTTGTCGTTGAAACCAGCTTATATAGATTGGAAAAATTTATAATTTTATCTTAAATTACTTAATAAAAAATTATAGAAATATATTTGACATAACAATTTTATAGGGTAATACTTTCGATATTTTTGAAAACTTCTTTCAATACTGTGATCTATCTGTCATTCTTATCTTTTTTTTTCTATTACAAATATAATAGTTGCAATGTTAATTACCATCGTTTTGGTCAAGTTTTCTCATAATACATTTTCAACGGTGATAAATGGGGGTGGAGCTAAATCCGCTATATAAATAAGGCCCGTAAAATTTTTTTAAAGAGGTTGAAACTCCCCTAGTTCACCCCCGTAGATAATAATATCATTGCAAAATGGATAAATATATTTAATTTGACTATATTATTAAATATTCAGGAGTTGCTATGGGAATAGCCGGAAGTGATGTTAGTAAACAAGCTGCCGATATGATTTTACTGGACGATAATTTTGCTTCCATCGTTACTGGGGTTGAAGAAGGTATATAATTTATTTTTATTTAAAGGCAGCTTGTGATTAAGGTTAATTAAGCGATTTAAAATTGCCATTATTAGCCTTAATTCTACTTTCACATTTGATTGAAATTTAGGCATTTTATCAGCAGTTGACGCTATGAAGTTATTATCACCTTAATGGTAACATCCATCCTTACAACCTTGGAATTGCTGCGGTTTCCTTTATAAAAGAAATGGGAAAACGCATCTCAACCTAAATTAAGTATCCGGGGGAGGGGGGGGGTACTATACACCTAGGACAAAATGTCTACGCATTTTCTTCCTTTATTTCTTTATTTCTCTATTTCTTTATTTCTCTATTTCTCTATTTCTTTATTTCTCTATTTACTTATTTATTTCTTTCTTTCTTTCTTTCTTTCTTTCTTTCTTTCTTTCTTTCTTTCTTTCTTTCTTTCTTTCTTTCTTTTTTTCTTTCTTTCTTTCTTTCTTTCTTTCTTTCTTTCTTTCTTTCTTTCTTTCTTTCTTTCTTTCTTTCTTTCTTTCTTTCTTTCTTTCTTTCTTTCTTTTTTTTCTAATTCTTTCAGTGGCGTTCGAGGTTGTGCTTTTTTATATAAAACGTTTCGTTGCTTAAATTGAATTGGTATTTGATTTAAATGCAAGGGGAAAACGTACCAATTAGCACTTTACCATTTAAAACGTTATTTAAAATAAACTCTTCAATTTATATAATGCACTACAACATATGTTTCACTGATTCATCATCTGTTCTCCCCTTCAAATATATCTTTTATTTTGACGATATTCATTTTATTTATTTATTTTTTCTTAATGTGACATTTTAAAATAAAATCAATCAATCATCATTTTAGGCCGTTTAATATTTGATAACCTCAAAAAGTCTATCGCGTATACCCTTACTAGTAACATACCGGAAATAAGTCCATTCTTATTTTATATACTCGCTAACATTCCCCTACCCTTAGGAACCGTCACAATTTTGTGCATAGATCTCGGAACTGATATGGTATTTATATATTTAATTGATTAGTATTGTACTAGGTATCATTTCAAACAAGGTACTTCTACCATGGGGTGGGGGTGGGGGTGGGGTATAACTTACTATCATTATCGAAATAAATGGGAGATCGGTAGTTTTGATTTGGGTTGCTATTTTGAATTTTTTTTTCATGTTAATTTAGATTTGGGAGATTTGAGAGATGGTTAAAGGGAGTAAAAAGATAGAAATTTCTAATAACTTATGGGGAAGGGCTTGTTCCACATATAAATAAAAATTCTTTCTAATTTCCCTATAGAGTGAGAAAAATATTTTTGGAGTAATAAACGAAAATCAGCAATATTTTTTTTATTTTTTAATTTCAATTTCAATAGGGGTAAAAAAAACCGTTTTTTTTAATTTAGTACTACTACAATCCTTATGGGAAATTAATTTACCAATTTTATTACAAATTTGTCAATATCATCATCGATTGTTTATTAAATATTTAGTTATATATTTTTTATTTAATAGAAATTTCTCGAATATAACAAAGTTTATTGAACCATATAATGTCTAAAGTTGCAAAAATTATAATACAATTAATATACTTTTTATAATTCCAACTTTCACATAAATGGACTTCAGTATGAAACAAAAATTCAAGTTGAGAAATTAAAAAGGTGCATTCTAATTTTTTCTATTTTCGGGCAGCTAGTTTTTTTTCTAACCATTAACTTAAGGGTTTGGGTGCGTTTCCGACATTTTGCCTAAGACTTTTCGCCCAAGATTTTCTTCTATAGCTTTTTCGCCTAAAACTTTTAGCCTATTTTGCCTAAAAGCACCAATAAGCGGCAATAAATGCTAATAAGCATCAATGAGTACTAATAAGCGCCAATGAATATTAATAAGTCTCAATGAGTGCTGGAGGAGTGCATAAAGAAATGGCCATAATCTTATTAAGAGTTTGACCTCATTATTTGAATTATAAATTGTCATATGCTAATTATTCATTACAAATCTCCGAAGGCTTTGATTTAAATGAAACAAGAATCCGATATGACAAAATTAATAAAATTCAAAAAAATTTAAATTGTAGCCTTGAACTTTTATGTTCGGAAATACATCTTCCAGGGCATGCTAGGCATCTAGCTCAAATATCATAGCTATTCTTGGATTATAAACCAATCCAAATTCTTGATTTTTTTATATTACCATGTTACATAAGTTTCTCTATTTTTAGTTTAAAGGGTGCAATATAACGCACATATCATATTACCCCTATATGGAATGTGTAAGATGTACATCTGCTTAAAAAGATGGTGCTGTGAAAAATATACCATCTGAATAAATAAAATCTGATTCACACATTATTTTTAAAAATTGTAAGGTGCAAAATATTGGGCCGGTATGACATAATAAAAATAATTCTCTACTAACAGTATTAGAAAATTGGTTTAAGGTCAATTTCATCAGTTTTGTATTTGGACTTATTGGACGATTGGAAATCCTAGGCATCATTTTAGAGACTGATTTTAGTAAGGGCATAGTTGATGGATATCTTTTTTGAATATCTTACTTTAACCTATGCCATCACCTGGTTATAAATGATGGCTTTTGACTCAGGGGGTTTTTCTTTGACGGCATCTTTTAGCTTCTGAATGGGATTTAGATCATATTTCTCCTCGTCATCATCTATGTTATTACGATTTATCAGAATATTAAAAATTATGTCATTAATTTATCCATTAGCTATACAATTTCTGTGACTAAACCTATAACAGTATAAATTTAGATTAAAAATTCCATTATGATGATAAAAATATCGAAGATAATACATTTCTTTATGTCTAGAAGTTACCATAACTCAAGATCCAAAATATTTTTAATTAAAATATCAATCAAAAGGCTAAATACCATCAGTTGAAATTTCAATTCTATTTATATCAGCTGCAAACCGATGATTGTATAACAGGTATTTGGATTGTATTAGGGTCTATAAATGTTGATAATAAGTAATTTTTATATATTAAACTATTATTACTAGTTTGAACAAATTCAAAGTTTAGAGGATCTTTTTGCAATATGGGACTGATTAATTACATTGGCGCTTATTAGTACTCATTTGAGTTTATTAGCACTCTTTGGCACTTATTGGTACTCTTTGGCGCTCTTAGGCAAAAACTATAGGCGAAATGGTTACCTATTGACCCTTATTGGTAATTATTGGCGCTTATTGACCCTCCTTAAGCGAAAGAAAAGGCTTAGGAGAAATGTTTATAGGCGAAACGCCGATATACCAACTACACATATTACCAATATATGCTAAAATTATAATCATTTTTTGTTGTAGATAGATATCAATTAATAATTTTGCACAATATTACCTGAGTTTAAAAAAATTTACCTTTTTAATTTTTTATGATGAATTTTATTTATAAATTTAACTTTTGAGTGTTGTAAAAATATCGTTAAAATGAATTTTAGCATGTTTATTTTTACGTTTTTCCCCATTATTATTTATTTCGTTATTTATATTAGCAAAAAAAACAATTTTTTGTTTAATGTGATCTTTTGTTTTTTTACATCCCTAGATTTTGCGACCCAGGGCAAAAAATAATTTGCCGCCCCTTAAAAAAACACAATTTACCTATTATATGATAACTTTTCGCAATGTTAAAGCATATATACTTTATTAAATTTTAATCATAAATATAATAAGTAAAGTACATTAAAAAATTAATATATTCATAAACTAAAATATTGTAATTTTATTTTTCCTCCTCGCCTTTTTATTTGTAAAAGAAGATATTATAGTATATAACGATGAGGCGATATCATTATATATTGAAATTAAAGAGAGATCAGCAAGTTGATCTTATGCCATACAGGATCGTAGGTAAGTTACAATTAATTTGAGCTTTGAAAAGCTGTATTCTGCGGATGCTAAAGTAATTGAAGTTGTTAAAATCCAAAAATATTTCCATTTTCTATGCTTCCTTTAAAAGGTAAATTTATTTGGACTAAATGAATAATTGCTATGATTCTTTCCAAAACTGCACGACATCTTTTTTGTTATCCTGTAATAGTTGTTCATGTTCTTTGTCAACCATTTGGTTTTTGCCAATATGATCTTCTAGCTCAATACATTGATGCAGACTATCAACATATTTTAAAAGGATGATTATTTACGCGATGTGAAAATTTTTTAAAGTCATTATAGACTTTGCTTGAAAATTTGTTTATCGAATTTGAAAATAAACAATAAAAAACAGTATATTGCATCTCTATATCAAGTACACCAACCATAAGATAGACTGGTTGATTATTGGAAAGTTTTCGCATATGGAATGAAGCAGAAAAAATGTCTACCATTTTGGTTTAATAGAAAATTAAAATACTCGTTTCGTTTCTACTAAAAACATTCGCATATTATTACTCATCCACAATAATCATTTACTTATATCGTCCCAGTTTGTGTTAAAATATTTAACTATATTGTATTCTGTTGTGGATTCCCCTATACCATGAGAGATAGAAATGTGTGAATCAGCTGCGACTTCTGCAAGATTGTCACGATGAAGATGAGAAATATGTGAACCAGAGACCTCTGCGCGCTCCTCATGATAGAGAGAATATGTGAATCAGCCACTTCTGCGGGATCGTCATGATGAGAAAGAGAAATATGTGAACCATCGACTTCTGTTGGATCATAATGATTGGCTATAGATGGATATCGAGTAATTCTTGCATTTCACTCATGGTGCATGATGTCAATTTTTATTTTTTAAAGTGTTTTAAAATAGTCCCTTTTTGAGATTAATAAATGTAGCTTCGCGCTTCTTTCTTATTCATTTTTCACCGCCTGGATCAAATTTTTTCCCATTTTGAAAATTCGTTGATTATATAATAAAAGATTATATGGCGTCTCCTAACAATTAAATTCACTAAACAGTATTTTTAGATTAATCATTTTATTATATTGTATATATTAAATTAAACATTATAGTCGAATCGATCTTAATTAAAATAAAAACTCAATCTAGATTAGAGTCCTTTAAAGTGTACCCACCCGATAGGTCTATGTATAAGACTTTGATGTAAGCTTTTTTATTTTAAAATAGACTTATCCCTTTACTATAAAATAAACCGAATATTATCAAAATAGTCATTTAATAGAAATCATTTTTTAAAAAATAAATTTATTTAATTTTTTTTTACTTACAGAATGATTCATTGCTAATAGAAAATTTAATTAAATTATTCTTAAAAGATTATTATAAATAGAAGAAAAACATTTCAATGAGAAAATAAAATTTGTTAACAAGAAAATAAATGAATTTTTTTTAGTAAAAAATAAATCAGATTTTTTTGATATAATACTTATGACTATACATATTAAACTTTTTTTACTTGGATTTTTTACATAAGAATAATGGCTTGTATCAAAATTTTTTTTACAAAATTAGGCCCCTTAAAATCAACAAATTTCGGCGGCCTGGGGAGGGAACCCGTTCTCTTCCTACTATCTGTACAGCCCTGATTTTGATTATACTACCAGTTTCCACTTATTTTCTAGATTTCATATAAAATATCATTATTATAACTAATATATTTATATGAATCAATCCCTAGGTGCCAGCCATATCTCTAGCCTACGAAAAGGCAGAGAGCGATATCATGAAAAGGAAGCCGCGTAATCCCAAATACGATAAATTAGTTAACGAAAGGTTAAAATTTAAATAACAATATATAATATGTCGTAAGAATTCAAATTCTAGATTCCGCCTCATTGACCAGAGTTTTCGTCAAATTTTTAAAATTTAAGACCCTCGCTTTTTTTTCTTTTAAAAGAGCTTATTTTGCCGGAATTGTATTACATTTATCTTGTATTCAGATAATTTAGCCATCATTTTTTGTGGATTTTTATGAAAAATCGATTATAAAAAATTCATATAAATTAAGAATTTTTCAAATATTCTTGGATAAATTGTTTGAAATTGACATGGTAAGTGGGTAGGTATAGGTATACTCTGTTCATGCATGCTGAATACGATTTCGACGAAAATATGTCTGTCAAAAAATTTAAAAATACGCAAAATATAAATTATTTATGTTTTAAAAATTTGTTAAAAACATAGATTTGTTAAAGCCTTAGACATAATATGTACCTTTATATTTATATATATTAATTTTTTTAAAAACTTGGATTTCATTTTTGAATCTATGAGCCGTAATTCAAAATTGATAAAACCATAAAATAAAGGTTAAGGCAATATTAGATATTCTATATGTATGATATGAAAACTTGTTTGTGTAAAATGTTTATAAAATATGATTTCTTTGGTGACGGTTGAGAAAATGAAGTATGATGAAAATAATAATCATCATAATAAACAAAAACAGAAATTTGGAAAAATTAATTTTAAGCAATACCTACCATGATTATATTTTTTAAATATATCGAATGATTTTATACTTTTTTTCCAGATTGATAAGCCTCGCCTACGGCCAAGTAGGAATGATTCAAGCTTGCGCGGGGTTTTTCACCTATTTTGTCATTATGGCTGAGAACGGGTTTTTGCCCAGGAAATTATTAGGTATAAGAGTTCCTTGGGATTCGGCAGGAGTCAATGATTTGACGGATTCTTATGGCCAGGAATGGGTAAAAATTGTTATTTATTATAGATAGTCTAGTGAAGCCCCCTGATGATTAGGAATAATTGATGTGCATTTTCCTATTTTGTGGTAAAATTTTTATCCCAATTTCGCTATAATTAGACCATCATATTTCATTTTAGTAATGCGAAAATTCTAGGCATATAAATATTTTCTTTCATAAGCTCATGTTTAACTTTCCATTTTAAAGTCTCCTTACCCTACATCAGTGTCTAGTTATCCTTTTACAAGTTCTTCTATTGGGCATTTTTAAAAAATAATATCTTTATCTTATTTATGATCGTATTGCAGACTTATACGAATAGGAAAATTTTGGAACACACCTGTCACACAGCATTTTTTGTGTCCATAGTTGTTGTGCAATGGGCCGATTTGATTATTTGTAAAACTCGAATGAATTCGTTATTCAAACAAGGAATGCGGTAAGCAGTAATTTAAATTTTTACGAAACATTTTAGAACGTTATATTTTAAAACAACGTATATAATTCAATTGAACTTACTATATAAAATATATCACAATCTCTCGCAAAAAAAAATTTAGGAATTGGGTGCTAAATTTTGCTCTAGTATTTGAGACTGTGGTTGCGGCCTTTTTGTGCTACACTCCTGGTATGGATAAAGGTCTCAGAATGTATCCTTTAAAGTAATATGACTTTTTCTTTTTTTTAAGTTATCATAGATTGTGTAGAATTAATAGTGTTGCTTGAGTGAAGTATATACCAGGGATGGGAACACTTTATAAAAAAATCCAGGTTCAGGAACAAAAAATGGTCCAGGGTCTGGGCTTAGGGTTTGGAGAACATAAAATAATGTCTTAAATTTAAAAGAATTTTTTTTTAATTTAATTTTTAATGCATCGCATAAATATACATGCATAATTAACAAGTAAAAAATTTTAAAATTAATTTATAATTTATATTTAAAATTTTAATTTATCGTGTAACCTTAATATCATTTTAAAATATTATTACTTATATTATAAAACATAGACATATCCTATTTTTTTAAGAGAGGTTTGTTCCCGATCAGAAAAGAATGATAAACATAGGATGGAAAATCCTTTATTGGAGATCTTTAGGTCTAATTATTATAGGCCTTTGTTTATATTAGATAAAAATAATAATTTTGGGTTTTAACTGTTTTGTTATAAAAATCTTTTTTTAAAAATTTTGAATTATAGTCGTTATTTTGAAAAGTTATTGATTTTTACTAATTTATTCTTAATATATTGTATACATTTTTGAGAAAGAGTAGGGTGTAGGGGGAAAAATATTTACTCGCTAAAGATGATATTTATGAGAACAAGCAAATTTGCGATGGGGGGGGGGGTGTAGGGAAGGGGGGCTAATTGATTGCAAAATACCCACTATTTTTTTTCTAAATTGATATAAAACAAGATAAGCAACGTATTCCTATTATAAAACATATTAATAAATTATCGTTTATAATATAATCTTATCTACTCTATAAATTTACAATATTTCACTCTCTAAAATTTATATAAATTAAAAAAATCTTTGAACCCTCTACTTTTAACAAGGGTTCAGGTTAGGTCAAACAAAAATACGAGGGTTCAGGGTCCCTGTTCACATCCCTGATGTACATGATAATCGATAACCCTTTAATTCTTTTAAAACTATTCAATTTTATTTGTAAATTATCTATATATAATATATTTATAAATGGTCTTTAGATTTTTCTGGTGGCTACCCGCAGTTCCTTTCAGTATTTTGATATTCGTATACGATGAACTTAGAAGATACATAATTAGACACAATAGAGGTGGATGGGTAGAAAGGGAAACATATTATTGAATACGAACAAAAAGAAGGAGAAATGAGGGGAAAAAAATTGAATTGCAATCTCAAAAAATAAATTCCAATTATATTATTTGAAAACTATGATAAACAAAAAATATTTCTTTTTTAAAATATTTATTTATATTATATATATATACAATATAAAAATAAATTGAGTGTAAATTTTGTTCTTATTAGATATGCGATCTTAATATGGTTCAATGTGTTTTACGCTGTAGTAAGCACGATTTAAGCGATGCAAAATTTTTCGCTGAGTAATTTACAAAAGCAAGCTATTTTAAATATAATTTATAAATACTGAAAGAAGCGATGTAAATGCTATGAAGAAATTTCAAAAACAAATTTTTTTTATAGCTTGAGCAAATCGCGTTTATAAATGCAGTGTTTTATTTAAATTTAAGATACCAGAAATTAATTTTAAGCGAATAATTTTCAAATTACTGCTAATGATGATCAGTTTTGGCGAGGTGGGAGAAGGTATTAATATCAAATGTCCTTAATTAGTTAGTTATCGTTATTAAATTTTAAAAAATAATTTTTCTATATTCCCCATGTTGGTGTAACATATAAGTAGCAGATTTGATCCGAGACCCCAGGGTTGGGTAAAATAAATCAGGTCAGTATTTTATTCTGAAAATGTAACAAGCAGAAAACTAAGAAGGGTGGTTTAGGTGTTAAACAGATATTGTTTGGGTTAGATTAAAAAAATAAGGGGTCATTTGATAACATGGAATCGTTTTGCTAATGTTGACATTTCTTTTGATATATTCGAACCATTAATAAAATATAAAAATAATTTTAGAGAAATAAAATTAATTCTTTATAATAGTAATCGAGGAAGAGTGAAGGGAGGTAATTTTTGTCAGCTTAAGAGGATATTTATAAAAAATTGTATATTCTTTATAGGGATATTTCCTCCCCTCTTATTGAGAATGTCAATATGTTTTAAGTTATTAGTAACACATATTTCCCACTGGTGATGAATTGAGCAATTTATTTTTTAATAGTTCACAATTAGATGAACTAACATATTATAATGAGAGTACAAAATTAATTTATAAGTCATTGTCGCATAATTTTATCTTATAAAAAATACCTAATGATAATATATTATATCAGCTACTATTCAAATAAAAAAATCAACGACCAGTAAAATATATGTTTTAATATTTTTTTAAATATATATTTTTTAAACGTTTTGGAATTTTATTTAAAAATAGAATAAAAAAATGAAAGCGCAAAAAAAAATTTTTTAATAATTTATTTTAAAAAATACCCAGATAAGATAATTTGAGTTTTTAATAAACCAATTTTTAATATATAATTGCGTAAACGTCTCATTAACCAGTAATATGTTTTACACCACACCTACATTTGGAAACGCTTCTTCTACAATAACATTGTAATTTATAACAAGGTAAAGTAGCGGTACAAACAGCTCTGACCAATCCGCACATTGTCACACCAGCCCTAATATTTAAAAATAAAATGCTTAAGGGTTGATCCTTCACATATATTCGAGTCCTTTAAAAAATATATATTAATATTTGAATAATCATATTGATAATAAATCTATAATTTACTTCCGATAACCTAAACTGAGACAAATTTCCATTCATATTCGTTTATTATCCATTATTATTTGTAATTATGTTAATTATCTAAATTTCATTTTTTATTCACCAATATTATTTACATAGTAAAAAAAAAATCAAAGCTGTATTATTATGATATTCATTAATAATTATAATTCTTAGAATTTAATCATATTTTATAAACTCTAAAGTTTGGTTTATATAAATGTTTAAAATAAAGAAGATATGCATCAATTTATAATAAGGGTCTCTTAATTTACCCAATTCATAGACGTGGCAGGGAGGGGATAGTGTATGAATTTCCCTTCTTTGGCAAATTTGCAAGTTATTTTAAAACCCATGATGTATATACAATACTAGATTGGTGATTAATTAATTATGTATACATAGGAGTCAACTGTAGCGCCATTTTATGGTTTGCACGTCGACTAATTGCCTTATTTATAATGCCCAATAATGTTATTTAATCAACGTGCAAACCACATGGCCCTAAAAGATTATTATCACAAGCTATAACATAGATAAAATACCCATGATAAGGAAACGAATTTTCAGCCGATGTTCTAATTATTCTGTATGTAAGTAGATCTTCTTTTTTTGAATGTATTAAAATTAAACACTATTTTATTATTTTATGACAATACTTAATAACTGACATGAATCATTAATGCTATAATGTTTTTGAATACTAAGCATAAACGCTTTTATCCAAGAAGCGATAAATAATTCCAAAAGTTTATTTTTATCTAAACAAAATTATGTTTATAGATTGAGTAGGATAAATGTTAAGCGCCAATATAAATAATAAAATTATGGATAAAATATCCCAAATCATTGCTTTGGAAACATAAAAAGAAGAGCCAAACCCTCAAAATGGTAATATTAATCTAAAAATGATGGAATTCTAAAGTTCTAGGCTGGATAATAATAATACAATTATTTTTTTTAATATTCCTGATAATCCTTTCTCCACAAATATGTAAAATGAAACTCGATAAGATATTGTAATAAAAATAAAATAAATTACAAAAAATACAATTTTATTCGACATTATTTCATACGCGAAATATATAAAATTTATTATTATATAAGTAATAGAACACCAAAATAAATCTCTGAATAAAATGTGTGCTCTATAAAATATATGTTAATTAATCATACCAAATGCGTAGTCACGATTGAGGAATAGTGCACTAACTCCAGCGTCTAAGGCCCGACTTTTAAAGTTTTGGCTATGCCTATAATTATTCTAAAAACAGTTTTTAAAATCTCATCAGACATAAAAAGGGCAAGTTGCTATACAATATGAAAAAATCTCTAGCCACATTTTCGTGGCTATATAAATATAAAGGAATATCCAAAAATATGAAGTAAATAAATTATAAAATAAGGGATTCCCCTTATCGTAGAAATTACTGTTACTATGTTCTAATTAATGTTATTTGAAGAATTAATATGCCATATTATGTATACATCATGCTTAACGGATATTCATATTATTTATCTATATAATCATTATTTTATGACTTTGAAAATATTTAATTTGGAGGGGCATTCTGGAATCTATTGTGGGCCCAAGGATAATATATCATTGTGTGGGCCCCATTGAGAAATATATTCCAAAATAAGCCACTCTAGGATGATAACTTAAATTAATATAGAGTTGTATGTACATATCATTCTTTAAGTAGTATAAAAGCATGCATATCGAGAATTTTTATAAGAGGGGAGAAAACATTTGGATAACTTTTTTCGCTTTATTTAATTTAGATTCAAAAACATTCTTTGAAAGCTTTGGCTGTATATTTTAAAATAAATAAATTATATTTTCCCTTTAATTCCCACAAATTTGTAAAATTAATTTAAATTGTTCGCGAATTTGATAAAGGGGATTTCCTTCCAATCCTTGGCGCTTATTTACAACAATGGGTCAAATATTTATAATATTTATTTCTTCCAGCAATATTTCTACATATTCTTTATATACAGTCATAATTTCCATAGTTTTGGAATCCTTGGTTAAGATCCATAGCTTCCAGATTGTGTAAATTGGGTCCCAAAATTTGCAATCTGCCTCCTCATAATTATCAATTTAGTCTAACAAGGAATTTTTATCTCAATTAATTATTTCTTTTTATTAAAAGAATCGAATGAAGGCAACGCGGGACTTTTTTTGAAAGGTAACAAAAAAAGAGATATTAGCACAATTATAACAATTCATGATTTTCGAACATTCTTTAAATTTATGATCTTAACCCTTCAATACTCCGGTGAAAAAAATGACGTTAGTACTCCAGTGGGGTTTAATAGACCCCAATTTCAAATGTACATATGTCCAGTTATATTCATTATTTTGATTTAATATTTGAATATAAGATAGAACTAACCTTAAACTTGATAAAATATTTATTTATTTTAATTTCTTAAGTTTAGATTAAAGATGGTGAGGATAATTATAATTTGTGCCAAAATTTCTAAAAAAAGTTTACTTTTTTTAAATTGGAAATTAAAAAAATAACTTATCCATCATATAATCCTGATAATTCATAACATGGATCTTTATTCTTCAATATTAAAAAAAAATTACACTGATAAATTCAAATATAAAAAAAATATTGAACATTGAAATATGTTAAATTTGACAATCAAAACATTTGTTACATAAAATATTATTGTGTTCTAAACATAAATTTATTTTGCATATTTGACAAAAACATTTAGTTTTTTTATCCTTTTTTCTAGGACACACACCACACCTTTTTATTTTGGCATCCACCAAGGAGTATAGTTTTATGCCATATTTGGATGGTTTGTTTGGCATGTATTGTCTAAATGGGCATTTACCACGAAATGCTGGAAGCATTTCATCTAGGGTTGCATATTCTGATATTGTATAAGATTTGTGGCAGTTATCAACAAAATCTTGAAAAATATTTCTAATGTGTGTTGCTTTGTCTACCACCTTTCTCTCTTCTCTTGTTAGTATGTCATCAAATCTCATTGCATGAATTAGAAATCTGAATCTTTTAAGAGGCATTGTTACTCTAATATATCAATTCCAAACCCATCAGATTTCCATAAATCAGACATATTTTGATGGTTAGATTTAAAAATTCCAGCTAAATAAAGAATTCCCAATAATGCATTGAATTCAGTTATATCAACTTCTTTTGTAGAACTTTCATATTGATTATAATTTTGACTTACAATTTTAATTTTTTGGTTGGTATGATAAATTATCTCTTCAATCATTTTTGGTGTTATGAACAAGTCAGAACATTTTTCTGGAGTGTTAGCTAATTTCCCATATTCTTTTACTCCTGGCTGATCAATAACTATATTTTGCTGACTAGTTCTTATTCTCTGATTGGGAAAATCCTTTTTCCATTGAGTAACCTTATTTTTAGCTAATTTTAAAGAGAGATATACTCTGATAAATGATTTTATATTTACCTAAATAATACTTAAGCTTATTATCTGTTTCAGCTAATATATCTTCTTCTTCATCTAATTCAGATTGTGTATCATGATCACTATCATACATAAAATCTTCATCCTCACTATTAATTATATTATGCAAATCATTTCAAAAAAAAATATTACATTTATATATTTTATATTTACTTTCAGAATCTGCAAAAATCATAGTAGATGATAGAAATAATTTAAAAAATGAGTTTGTTGGAGAAAATAAACATAAAATAACTCCATCAGAAAAAATATTTGTGTTTTCAATTTCATATATCTCATTCAAAATATGTTATATTCAAATTTCGTTTTAATAAATTTTATAATATAGTGGTATATATTTATAATTATAAAAGTTTTAAAAAAAAAATTAAAAAAAAAATTACGAATTTACTCCGGTGGGGTCTCACAAACCCCAAGCAGTCACAAAATGCTTATATGTTAAAAACTACTCAACCAAAATATGTGAAATTTGGAATATAGAATCTAAGATATATTTGATGAAGCTACTGAAGAATCCAGATCATGATAATTAACCGTTTTTATGCAATATCATTTCCAGCATGCCTGTGGTTTCCTACACCCCACCGGAGTATTGAAGGGTTAATATTGTAATAGGTAATTATTCTAATAATTCTAATAATTCAAATCTAATCATTGTTTATTCATATATTAATAAATAAATGATTAAGTTACATTTCATATTTACCCCCTCACCATACCTTTAAAAAAAATCAGCGCAATAGCCAAATTTTTGAGAAATTTTTTTTTAAAGTGTAAAGCATAAATTATTAATTGGAACAGCCAAAATACTTTATAAAAACTAGCATGTCAGCTTGAACCCAATTTATTAATATTCCATAATCAGAATAGATAGTCATTTATGTTTTTTTAAAAAAAAATAATTTTTCCTCTAATTAATTAGTCTTATTAATTTTATAAATCTGCAAACAGATTTTACATATCATAATGAATATTATAAGATGATAATCATTTTCAAAGTGTCATATAGTGACATATGGTCACTCATAACATGTCCTGTCATCCTATTTTACTTTAGGCAAGGTACATTCCTTAAATTACGATATGTTGGATTTTTTGACGATATTCAGCAAGAGTGGAATTGTTCTCTGGTGTTTCCAATCTACTGCTGGTTTATTTAACCCAGCTGTCAATGCTTTAATAAAAACGATCATTATACCAGTACAAATTTTATTTTAAATTCGATTATATAATTTTATTAGAATAAAATTACAAACAAACCATTTGAATATGATAACCTCAAATTGCAGTATTTTTTAGATAATGAATTTGAACTTATATATGTGGTAATATATTTTTCTGTTGATTCTTAAAATGTTAAAAATTAGGTGGCATATCAAAAGATTCTTATACTCAATTATCTGGATAAATTTTTAGATGAATTAAGTTTAAAGTTCCGTGATAAATATAAAAATGAATTGAAAGTGGTATATATTTAATATATAATTAATTAAATTATTATTATTATTAGGGTCTTATATTAAATGATTATGAGTTTAACTCTGAGTTTGAAATTATTTTAAAAGTAGTTGAAAATGAATATGGTATTGATGGCTCAAATCAAAATGTGATATCAGGTAGTAAACAAATGAGAACATTCCAAGAATCAGAGAAGTCAAAAAAAACAGTTGAAAGTTTAGTTGAGAATAAGCAGACAAAAGCAGCTAAAGTTGAAAGAGAGAAAAAATCTAATTTAGGAATTAAATCTAAATCAGAGAATCAGCAAACTGGATTGGAGTTAAAAGTTAAAACTAATCATAGTATTTGCAATGGGATATCTAAAGCTGAAAAATGTAATTTATACATATTTTCAAAATCATTTATTTTCTAATTAAATTTAGATGACCAAGGCAAAAAGATATATATCAATGAAGTTCCTCTAATTGAATCAGAAAATGATGGGAATCATAGTTTATTTGTTAACCATATAAAAATATCAAAAAATAAAGAGTTACTTACAAACAAAATGACAAATGATCCAATTAAGAAGAAAGGGACTATTATTTCTAACAAGTATCCCATTTTTTTCAACTCGATTATTAATAAAATATATAAAAAGAGCTTAATTTATAAATATAACAAATATGTGATAATATAAATTTTTTTATTTCATTTCAAAATTATTATATAAATTTATATATTTTTTTTGTAAACCTAATTTACCAGTAAAGTGAAAAAGAAAGAAGCTAGAAAATGGGAAAATGAAGGGACAGATAAAGACTTACAATCCCTGGATTTCAGTTCACCTACTAATACATCTAATGGGTATAAATTACCCACTGATGCTAAAGATCCCAATGTCCTAATGTCAAATCCATTTAGTTACGAAAAGTTTGGTGGGAAGGTATATAAGGATTTAATATTTAACCAAGAAAGTCAAATAGAAAGAAAGGAGGAAAGAAATAGTATAGAAAAATGAAATGTCAAAAAAGGTAGGAAAGAAATAGTATAGAAAAATGAAATGTTAAAGAAGGTAAGAAAGTAATTTGCAGAAATGATTTTTTTAGTTTTTAATTATAATAAAAAAAATATAATTCTAACAATTTTTAAGGAGGTAATTGGATTAATGAAAGGGGTTTTGAAGGATGTTAATATATCTTCTCAAATGGATTACGAATCTGATTATGAATTGGAACCTGTCCAAGAGTTGAATAATATCAATGCCACTAAAAAGAGGGAGAAAATTGTTCAAGGGTTAAAAGATATTTAAAATGCTATTATTCAAAAAATTTAAATTTTATTTTGTATAATTTATTAATTGCTCCTTTCTTTTTATTTTACATTTATAAATATCTTTTGTCTTTATATTATATCCCATATATTCAAATACCTTGGTAAATGTTTTCTTCACAGTGATTTTAACTAAATACATTGCTAAATTATTAAAAAATCCATCATACTCCATTTTTTTATCTGAGATATTTGGGTCAATTTGATTGTAAAAAGAAATTAAGTGAAATATTACATTTTTTTAAAAAATACTTTTAAAAAAAGCTGAATAGTTATAAGCAAAAAATAAAATTTTATTTTCCTGAAATAAAAACACTAGGAGAACAAAATATATAAAATATAGGGTACATTTTCAGAGATTTGATACTAGCTTGTTTTATTTTTTGGTTTTCTCAATTTAGTGGGAAGTTGACTAAACAATCGGGTGGTGGTCTATTTTCAGCCTTCAAGACGTTGATAGGTTCTTCCAATAAAATTATAGATATTTCGGACATGGAGCCACTGATGGAAAAATTGAAACAACATCTTATCGCAAAGAACGTTGCTTCTGAGGTTGCAAATCAACTCTGTGATTCGGTGGCCCAAAATTTGAAAGGAAAGGTTTTTTTTAAAAAAAAATATTCATTCATTAAGTTTATATATTTTATATGAGTAATGATTTCGCTTCAGACTTTATTGGTTTTTTATATTTAACATCTTAAATTACTATACCCAAAAATAAGTTTTGATATAACACAGAGGTTAGATGCCTTGATTTAGAAACGGCATCCACCATGTGATCCCAGCTTGGAGCAGCCTTTTATTCGACCTTGAAAATAGTAGGGATATGTTTGAAGGTTACAAGGATGTGAGAGTTATAAAAGATTGGTGATATTATATTTTAACAAAATTTGGGTTTTAGTAAATTGCTATATGTTGACCGAATTTATATATCATTAGCGAAAGTCGCCCAGGTCCAGTTTACTGTACCAATTTGGCTGACAAGATAAACATCCCTAAAGATACGATTTTGACCCTATCTATTTCTAACAAGTATTGAACCCTATATTAATAAAAGTTTTTAAATGTAAAAGTGTAAACGGGCTTTCTTATTGAAGATTTCTTGTAAACTATGATATATAATGATCAACTATCCTATTCAAACTGTTCGATGGACCGATACAATTATCAAAAAATTGGTTCTGCATCCAACAAATTTTTTAGATAATTATATGTTAACAATGTTGAGTGATTCATTTAAAAAAAATTATTTAGATTGCTCATTAACATACTTTGGAACCAAAACCTGGAGTCAAGTCTAAGAGAATCTAAAAAAAATTTTTAAGAACTAAAGCCAAAACTACGATTTTGAAAGAATATTCAGAACCAGAAATATAACCCTTTTATTCCGCATTTGATATTCACGAATTATGTCATTTTTGTAACAAAATTAACCTTCCCATAATTTTATTTAAAGTGTATATTTATAAAAAAAAGTCTTTAGGCACCTTCTCCACACTCAAATCAACGGTAAATTTGGCGCTAGAAGATTCGCTGGTCAAAATTCTTTCTCCTAACAAACGGATTGACGTGCTTAGGGACATTTTGGAGAATAGGAAAAACAAACTCAAGCCTTATGTTGTGACATTTTGTGGCGTGAATGGCGTAGGAAAATCCACTAACTTGGCTAAAGTTTATATCATTATTTATTATTTTTGAACTTGTTTATTATTTTATCTAACATAAAAAATGATTAGACAATGAAAAGAAAGATTTATAATTTGATTTATTATATTTAAAAAGATGGTTGTAGTAATGATTTACTTACAATACTTTATTAGATAATATATAATTTTATTATGCCACCAACAGATAGCCTTTTGGCTCATAGAAAACGATATGCGGGTTCTTATAGCAGCATGCGACACCTTTCGATCCGGGGCAGTGGAACAGCTCAGAACTCACGCTAGGCATCTCAACTCGCTTTACCCACCGTCTGTCAAAGATGATAATACATCTTTCAAGGTCTTTTGATTTTTTAAAAGCCATTTAATATTTTTGTGGTGTAATAAATTATTTTTAGAAATCGTTTAAATAGATCTGAAAAGAAAATATTTCTAATTTTGGCATGATATTATATTATGCTGAGTCGCTTTTTACTTTTCCCTGTCCACTACACTTTCACATGATTGATTTATAAAAGAGGAAAGGATTATATGATAAAATAAATGCGTGATTAGATTACCTCTACGAATGTTAAAACTTTCTTTCTTTCCCGATTTGGGTCAATTTTTTAAAACGACCTAATTTAGATTTTAGTTGTAAGCCTGGAGGTTTTCCTCAAAGATGGCACAAAGAGTTGGATCTCTATTGTCCGAATCTCGGGGCATACATAATATTATTTTGGTAAAATCTTAATTGGGTCGTTTTAATCAACACAAAATCAGACTTTTTAACGACCCTAATTATCTCTATATTGACCTATACTATATATTACAATTTTAAAATTTTTTTTCGGGGGGGGGGGTGGGGTATTATATCTTATTTATACTTATAATATAAACTAAAATAAGATTTATATCTTCGAAATTAGTGATAAAGTTTCAAAAGTTTTTTTTGAGTAACAATTTTTTTTAGAAGTTTGTTTTATATCATTTTTAAGGTACAATTATTCGAGAAAGGTTATGGTAAGGACGCCGCAGGACTGGCTAATGAAGCAATTAGTTATGGTAATGTTACATCAAATTATTTATAATCTTTGTAAATCTTCATATTTTTTGACTCATTTGAGTACCTTTTTATGTATAATTTAACTTAGCATCAATGTGTTTTATATACAGCATAGTACTAGGGCTGTGCCGATCCACAAATTTTTTACCGATTCTATATTTTCCGATATCACTAAAATCATTTTTATTTGCCTTATTAATTAATGTTTTACTTGCTAGGATGATTTTTTAAGAAATTATATCTTTCATGTGTACATTACCGGAATAAAACTCTCCAACTGTTTTTTTATATTTTACTATTTATTATATTATTAATTTATTAGGATTAATTTATAATTTTATTTTTTAGTTTCTGTGTATTGAGAAAATTAGAAAAAATTTATTACAACATCAGTTCTAAAAAATAAATAATTATATAAAACCATTTTGAAATTTTTTCATTAAAGAGACTGCACTTGCAAAAATACCTCCTTTAGGATGACTATTGATAATTTGTTTGTCAACTTTACCAAATATTTTTTGTAATACTACTTACCACTAGTTTACCAATTTTATTTTGTGAACGATTTAAAAAGAGTTAGTATCGAAATATATATTTTTTTATGAAAATGTTTTGCAACTAAATTTATTACCTCAATATTTTGTCTCTGAATGTGGTAGCGTTAGAAACTAGATAAATCCATATTTCACCTAAACTAGTTTCCATACTTTATATGAGTTTGCTTTATGGTTAAGATCCGGATTATATTTAAAACATTGCTTATTTTAAAGAATAGTTGGTTCAATCGAAATCCTTATATTAAATGACGACGAGAACAGTTACTAATTTATTTTATGGGCTTTTTAAGTGTTTTTTATGCTTTAATATGATTTGTTTATTTTTTTTACCATTACGCCTAAGAATACCTAAATTTAAAACACACAAACTGGTAAAAGTTTTATATTTAAAAAAGCAGTTGGGGGGGGGTTATGGATATACAAACCTAACTTGTCTCTTAAAAAATATTATTCTTTATACTTCAATTTTAAATATTATTAATAGAACTTTGACATTGAATCTTACAAGACTATAATTTAATTATTATTTTTGTGTAATAAAAATTATATCAATAACCGGTGACTGTAAATTAATAAAACATTAATTATCTTATTCGCGAGATAATACATAATTCTATATAAATAGTAATGATTATATTAGAATAGCAAATAAGAATTGCACATCATCTTTGTATTTTCATCCTTTTGGTCGTGCAATTCTGCTTATTTTATCCTGTTCAGTTATATATTTTTCAGTGGTGGCCACTAAGAATTTTTTTTACAAGATTACTTCAAAATTTTAAATCCCGATATGCATCATTCACATTGATTAAAAAATGGGAAAAGGGTCCCTTGTTATGGCGCGATTTTTTGTTAAAATATTAAGACATAATTTTATGCCATGATGCCAAATAGTATGTTTTTTTAGAAATAGGAAAACTTTTAAAGATCACTAAGAGTATTTGTCATATTTAACAAAAAAAGTGGGCGTTATAAATCTACATTTTCTGTTCCGACGTGAATGAAAGGGTTAATTGGACAAACCGGTTGCATTTCGTTAACAGAGAACAGCAAACAACCCTTTTCAGTTCGTAACGAAATAAAACAAAATGTGATTGCCATTTTAAATATATAAATGGATATCTAAAAAATTTTAAATTTCGCGTGATTTTATTGAACGAGAAGAAGACAAATAGTCATCTTTTTGTTTTGCTTTTTTGTTTTCGTAAAATAAAAAAAACATAAAATCGGTACAAATAATTCGTTATTATATCAAATTATAGCATTAAAGTCTACCACCACAACCCCATAGTGTTGTTAAAGTCGATTCGAGCCAATTTTTAAAAAAGGCTGAATAAATATTTAAGCCAAAAAAATATTGCATTAGATTTCGCTAATAGAAGTCCAAACCTTATGAGCAAATCTTTATGCTTGTGTAATATTTTTGTGGATAAAATATTGAGTTCGTCGTTTTTAAAAATCGGCTCAAATCTAGTAGCTTAACAACACGATATACACAGACCCAAAGAATAAATGATAAAAAATTTTTTAATTGAAAAAAAATAGAGAGAGAGACTTTTGCAATTTTTTTACCAGTAATTTTTGTCTCATTATAATTTTTATTATATACTTGTATTCTAAAATAAAACTATATATAAACTACTTATTAAAATAAAATTGCGAAACGTTGATAATTGTCATGCTTCTTTTAATAATATAAATAGTAGTGTTGCTAAATGACTTGATTTGAAGGAACCGATTTTAAAAACGGCTAACTCGATATTTTATCAGGAAAAATCTAACGCAAGTCTGAATATTTTCACTCATAGATGGCAGGAAGGTTTGCATCATCAATTAGCTAAATCTCAAGGCTTAGGCGATATTTTTCTGGCTTAAATATTGATTTAGCCGTTTTTAAAAATCTGCTCAAATCGAGCCATTTAACAACACTATAAAATGGTTTTGTTTTAAATTAAGGGCGAATAATTAATAAATTAAATTTTTATTTTTTACAGTTTTTTATAATTGATTTTCCTACATTAGTTTTTGGTTTGATCAATTAAAAAAAAAATTTGAGTATCATTTAAAAGCACGTAATAATTCAGAAAGAGGAACTTATTATTTGTTTATATGGCGTTAATTATTTAAAAAGCTAAAGAAAATGGATTTGACGTCGTTTTGGTGGACACGGCCGGCAGAATGCAGGATAACGAACCCTTGATGTGTGCATTGGCCAAAGTTTGATCATATCTTATTTTATTTAATTTAAAAGGGAAATTTACAAGATTTATTATAAAAACATAATATAAAAATGCGTGGATTTAAACAAAAAATAGTTTTATTTCTAATCCCAGATCTTGATATTTACGATGTTTTTTTCCCACGAAACGAGATAAAATATTAGTGTCCTCTAATTTTTAAAAACTTATGGAAAATACTGAATTAAAAAAAAAAAAATTGTGTCTTTAAACTAGGTTGATTATACAAAAATAATAATAAATACCATTTTAAATATTTTTTAAAAAATTATACATATTAAAAGTTGATAAAAGTGAATCGTCCCGATCTGATTCTATTTGTTGGCGAGGCATTGGTCGGTAACGAAGCTATAGATCAATTAGTTAAGTTTAACAGATCACTAGCAAATTTTTCGGACGATACAGAACCCAGGCTCATAGATGGAATTCTCCTCACCAAATTTGACACGATAGATGATAAGGTTTATATATGAATATTTTCTTTTTAACTCAGCGTATTCATATTAGAAAGTCATTTAGATGCCCTAAATATTTTATGCTCTCTATTTTCCCTTATTCTATCTTTCTAAAAGATATATGGAGACAAATCCTCCCCGATCTTGTGTACACAGTTGGTTTTGTTGGTAACACTTATTTATAGATCGTAGAATAAAATGAGGAGCTAATAAGGATAATAATCATTTATTTTAAAATATTATAATAACTATTTTGTTAATTAAAACTATAAGTAACTGATCAAAAAAATTTAGCAGTTTAAAAATAAATGTTGCAGATATAAATAAATTATAAAAGAACCTGAGCGGGTAGGTACCAGGCCATTATGATTTTATTTTTAACGTAGTTTTGCCTTGGGTTTATATTATTTTAAAATAGATATATACCAAATTTATATTTCTGCCAAATTTTCAATCATCTTGCTATCAGACTGGTAATAATTTACCAATCGTTTTTTCTTAAACATTTTATGCTCTTTAACATAAACATTTAAAAGGTTGGCGCTGCTATTTCGATGACTTATATATCTGGGCAGCCAATCTTATTTGTGGGTACTGGACAAACTTACACTGACTTGAAAAACCTGGACACAAAATCAGTTATCCATTCCTTGATGAAAAATTAAACGCAAATCTTAATATATTAACAAATTCTATTTTAATATATAAAATCTTTTTATCTAATTTAATTTTTTTTAATCTATAATTTTCTATATAATAATGATGATAACCCTAATGGATGACCTTTATAAGATTGTAATTTATAAAAAAAATCACTACTGTACAAATACGGAATCGAGTATTTTGCCTAATAAAGAGAAGAAATTGAAAACACTTATAAACACCGGTCATTTCTAATTAGAAAATATTTTTAGCGATATATTCTTTTAATTTATAATTTAAACAAATTTTACCCTTGACATTTCAATTATAAAAATTTATATTAAAAAAAATAAATATATTTTGATACTACACTCGACACTTATACTTATCACGCCTTTAATTATATAACGATTGGAAATATTTTCATTATGTTCAATAATAATATTCGCAATTTAAAAATATGATTTTGATAGCAGTATCTAGATATCTCGATTAGAATATTTTTTCAGGTGGGTTGGCCCTTTTAAAATGAAAATCCATCTGCTTTTTACCGCACCCCTCTGGCCGCCTTGTTTCTCCACCACCCTAGGAAGACAAGGATAACTTAATATTTATATATATATAATTGCCATTTTTGGTTTAGATACATTTTGTTTAAAAATAGCACCTCAGAACTAAACCTTAAAATATTTTTAAAAATTAAAGACAAATTTATTAATCTTATTTTATACAATACCGTTTAAGAAATAGGTTACTACCATAGGCAAGTGATTTTTTTACTTGGATCGAAACTGCCACATTTGGTTATATTATATTTAAAAAATAGTGATTACTCATGAACCTGCAGACCCAGTCCAAGTATGCGAGTCGGGCTGTATTTTAATTTTTTAAATATACTCTGCTGGGCCTATAATTTTCTTTTTAAATTTATCCAGGCCATTTTTGAAACTAAATATTTTAAATCGCCATTATTAGCTAAAAAAATTAAAAATAAATGTAATATATTTTAAAAAAAATCCGGACTGGACCTGAAAATATAAAGCCCTGGGCCATTTTTTTTTTAAAAAAAATCGGGCCATGCGGTGCAAATGCTTTAATTTGTAGTTTATATCATTTTATCGGAAATGAAAATACATATCAAATTAGTTTGACATGCCTGATCAAAAAAATTAAATTTGGAATATATTTCAATTTGGTCTAGCTAGTAATAAGTATTGTGGCATAAATTTTTTTTAATTCAGAATAAAAATAGGGAATCAATTTATCTTAGGACTAACTGTTTTTTTTGCAAAAGTTGTTTACATTTATTATTTTTTTTATTTTCATTACATATTTTTTTTTATAAAAATGCATGAAAACTTTTTAACCTTTACCCACACCGTTTGGCTGATACCAAGGCTAATTATTCTAAATAAATATTTGTTTATACAATAGGCAGAGATCTGTTGGCCCTTAATCTACATAAAAATGGTTTGAGAGATCTGCTGGCCCTTAATGTACAGAAAAATGGTATGGTTTTATGGGCCTATTTGAAAGAAAAAAAATAGATTTAAATTATATCAATTGGGATAATGAAATGGAGGAGTGTTTAATATTCATTTACTGCTCATAATTTTCAATTTCCCATTTAAATAATTTGCAGAATACAAGTTAAAATTATTATTCAAAATAATGAAATTTTAAAAATTCCTCAGCTATAAATAAATTCTGAGCCGGGTTATTACAAAAGGCAGTGTTATTTTACCCTCTTTTTTATTTGTATCGGCATTATAGATCTGCAAAGTTAGGCCCGGCCCGGCCCAAAAATCGGGTTTGGGCTGGGCCTAACATTTTTAAAAAAAATTCGGGACGAGTAGGGTCGGACCTTGGAATTTTTTTAAAATATATTTAAATTTATCAATTTTATATTGAATTTTTATTGTAAAATAAAAATATTTGATTTTATTTATTGAAACTAAACGACATATAACATATGTCTTTTATTTTGAGTAATTATAAAAATAAATTCGGGCCAGGCCGGGTCCATAATTTTTTTAAAAGAAAATTTCGGGTTCGGGCCTAGCCGGTAAAACTTTTTTAAAAAATTTCAGGCCTGGCTTGAAAAATTAGGCCCGATGCAGATCACTAATCGGCATTGCCACATATGGTTATTTTATATATTTAAAAATTTTCGTTCTTCGAGAAGCGTCTGTGGGTGGAACGTATATCCTAACCTCATAGATATTGGCTCGAATCTAGTAAGCATCGAGTTTTTTTTGTGAAGCTAGCTACCTTAACATTAGGATTATTATTAAAAAAAAAATTTTATACTCTTGTCGAAGCTTCTTATCCTGCCTTTATTTATATGTATCCATTTGATGAATAATAAATTCAATAGTTCTATATCCTATTAACAATTTTTTCCTTAAAGAAAATGATTTTGGCTCCAGTAAAAGGTAATGAAGGTCGACGGTTCAGTCTTAGACCTGGACCGGTCTTTTTATTTAAGAGGATTGGTCCAGACGTAATAACGAATTTCTAATTTATTTAGCTATCGAAGTTATAAAATAATATAAGATATTATTTCAATACAATAAACAAACAGTGAGACACAGGATAATTTATTCAAAACTGATCGGATCATGAGAAATTAAAATGTAACAAATAATATTGATTTTGCAAATTTTAATTTATAACAAACAATACAAACGACGATTTATATTTTATAGTTGAAAATATGAAATATAAAATTGACATTTTCTGCTGTTATAAAAAAAAAACTAATCAACTTAATGTGCTTTTTTGGGAGTTGATTACAATTAGGTTACGTGATGTTAAAATATGGGCGCTTTTTTATACAAGTTAAATATCTTTATGTAATTTTTTAAGATAAAAATCTATTGCTTAAAATACAAAATAAGAAAGTAAAAATTGGTCTAAAATAAAATTGTGATTTATAAAATATTTTCTAAAAAAATGTAATTTAAATATAAAATTTCCTATTTTTTTTATAAGTTCCCTTCCCTAACCTTGGTTAAAATTTCTAAGGCACCCTGATTTAGCATCATTTCGGCTAATGTATGCCCACATTTTTCGGCGTTTAAATACATTGTGACAAGATTTTCGTTTACTGCCTCCTATATTTATTAAGCATAAATTTTTATTAATTTTGTAAAAAATGAATCCAAGGGAGTCGTAAAGTACAGTGTTAGATGATATACTTATACAGAAAATAAATTGATATATTTTACACATAATAAAATTAGTGGTTTGATTGTATGGTATCTATAAAATTTATGAAAAAGAAAACGATTGTAAAATTCACTAAGAAACAGGAGATGGGAGGAATTCCCAAATATAAAATTATTTTAAATATTTAAAAGTGTCAAACATATTTTTAATTTCAGAGTATCGTCGCTGATGGCCATAACCCTATAATTAATTTTCAAAGATATTCTTTTTCACTTCTTTTTATTCTTTTTTTAAAAAAAGTAACACAAAAAAATATTTTATTCAAAAAGAATGACCATTGCAATATTCGAAATTAATGTTAAAAGAAATTATTTTATCAAAATAAGTGTACATAAATAAAAAATATGAAAAAATAATTGGGGTCAAAATTGTATACTACTTATTTGAAATGCGTAATAAAATCTAACCGGAATGACAGCTTATAATTTTCCGAACCTTTATAATAAAATTATAAAGTAAACTGACTAGGTTTTTTAAAATAATTTTCAATAAAGCGCGATGCATTGCCAAGTGCGTTGATTAACTATATCCGACTCTATAATTCGAAATCATTTTGCTTCTCTAAATAGTCATGAATTCTTAGAAGATATTACATCCATGAAACTTTGAGCTATAAACAACAGAGAGTTCAACTTTTCTGATGTCATTTACGATGGACGGCCTAAGGCATCACCTGTCTAACAAATGTGATAAACCTGGCGACCATCTTAGACAATTTATAATGTCGCAATCCATTTCGCAGCAATTATGATTTTATTTTTATTTAAAACTAACTGTGAAGAAAAGTGATATAAATTTTTTTTTGTTTAGAAATTTAAAAATAAAAATCGAAATGGGCCTGAACCGTTATACCTATCGGTTCGACACCCGGATTAAAACATAATTATATAAAATATTTGTTAAAAATATCAAAAAAATGACCGTTTATGAAATTTCATTGAAATGTGTTTTTATTTTTAAAATTAATAATGCTTTTTTAAAGAGAAATTTATAACATTTTTATTATTGGCAAAAGTTTATAGATGGTGTTAAATATTTTGACATTAATTGGTAACCATTTTAATTCTAAAATTTTTATCGATAAAATTTATTTAAATATTTCGATTATTATATTGTAGAACCCTTAAATATATATTTTTTTAAAAGACATCAAATATTCTAGACCCTATTTTATATAATAATAGATTATAAAAACTATAAGTCTAGTTTAATTTTTAGAATATATAAATAAATATCTAAAATTTATGTTTAAAATTGTGAAGGATGAAAATAGTTCTATCCGATAAAATGACGTCTTTATTTAAAAATTTTTCACCATTAAATATATTTACGTATAATATGATAAAAATATATTTAAGTATATCAGATACCTGCAGGCCTGGCCCTAAACTCTGCCAGGGGTACACAGGCCGGATTTTAATTTCTTTTAAAAATACACGGGCCGGGCCTGAAAATTTTTTTAAAAAAAATCCGGGACGAGAAGAGAAGAGGTATATTTTAAAATTAAATATTTGAAATTGCCATTATTAGCTATAAAAATCAAAAATATATTTTAAATCCGGGCCGGGCCGTATAAATGGTACTTCTGCAAGTTTCTGATGTATATGTTAAGAACTTATACAATTAATAAGGCAAAATATTTTGAAAATATAATATGTATATGTTAAGAAACTTATACAATTAATAAGGCAAAATATTTAAAAAATAATGTATATGTTAAAAACTTATACAATTGAAGGTAAAATATTTAAAAACTAAATAATTAAAATGAAAATTTGTTTAAAAAAATAAATAAAATACATAATTTATTTTTGTAAGGACATTTATGACTTTAAATCTAAATAGTTTTTAGAAAAATAACAATTTACATTGATCATGAATAGTAATCGGATTTTACTTTCTTCACGATAGAAAGACTTTTGGAACAAAAAAGATCACAGGATTTTACTATTTTGATAATGCCAAAAACACAGCCGTTAATGAAAATCACGGCGGTGCGCTGTGGCCAGCAAAATTTAAAAAAATAATTTTCATATTTTATACATTTTTATTCTAATTGGTCAACATTCTGATATAATTGCATGTTACATGGAAAATTGCTAGATAAAATAGATCAAACATTTGATAGCACATCCATAGCCTGATACCGATTTTCAAATTGGCGATTTCAATGATGATGATAACAAGGATGTAACTCAAATAATTAAAATTAAATACCCTAATCAGATGACAGTATATTAATTATGCCCGAAATGATATCTGGAGCTTAAAAAAAATAGAATTAATGATAATTTGAAAAGAATTGTAAAATAGGGACATTTTTGTATAGTAGTTATAATAAAATTAATAAATATTAGAATTAAAAAATATACTGAATGAATGTATGCACAATTTCTTTTTTCCAGGTTTTATTTGGTTCTCCTCCTTTCCTAGAGTAACCCCATATATTACCATATATGACATCTCCCGCTTTATTTTGATCCATCCCCTTCTTTTTATTCGATTTCCATTTCTTTTACGTTCATTTCATACATTTCATGCTTCTCACATTCTATTATCTCGGTATTGAATTCCCTACAACCTAATAGCTTTGTAATTACTTGTCTCCAGGCTGTTATTTTTTTTCCTTCTTCGTCCTTTGATTCATATCTTTTGTATCTATTATCTCTACACTCACTCGCAAAGTGTCCTATTTCATTGCAGTTATAACATTTGATATTATCTCTATTCTTGTACCCTTTTGTCTTCTCCCTAATTTCCTCTCTTCTATTTCATTCCTACTATCAATATTAATAATGTGTACATTATTGCTAAAATAAAACCCATGGGCCTAAAAAAATTTTTTTTTAATATATCAGGGCCGGGCGGGCCGGGCCTAAGATTGTTAAACCCAGGCCGGGCCTCAATATTTTTTATAAAAATTTTAACATTATGAGTTAATGGTTATAAGATTATATTATATTATAGTTATGATTTATATAATATTGGGTAATTGTTAACACACCTAACACCCACAGATCGATCTAATTATTAATTTCCTGCAAATTTATTCAAAGTATTAATATTTTTTTTATAATTCATATCTAAATTTTTACAACATATTTTACCAAAACAATCAAATAAAGGAATATCTTAAATAAGCCCCAATATTCAAGTAGGGTAATTCCATACCAAATCGATAACTTTTCGGCTCGACCTTTTTAATTTCGATAAAATTTTGTATACTGAGAGAATATCATTAGAAAGCATCGAATCCAAAATTTTAGCCTCCTAGTGCTCATAGTTCCTGAGATATCAATGGTCAAAAGTGCCAAAAATGACGTTTTTTCGAAAAATGCGATTTTTTAAAATTGAGATAAGTTAAAAAATAATGATTTTAAAAATATAGGTTATATGTCAATTTATAACTCTATTAAGGGCCTTTTATTGAATATTAAAAATTTTTTCAAAATAATATTGTTGCGGTTTTTATTTAAGTTATAAATTTTAAACATGAAAAATCCAAGTGTTTCGCTTTCCAAATTTTTTTGAATTTAATATTTTCTTATTCTCTAACCTTATATCTATTCATAAAAAAAATATAAACTTGGGACAGCCATGGGTTTTTTAGTTATTGCGATTTAAAAAATAAAAAAATAAATATTATTTTTAAAAATAGATGGCGCTCCTTTATAAAATTACGCGTTTTGTTAAAATTATTATTTTTTTTAAACTTTTTTCCATTTTAAACATAAATAATAAGATTTTCCAGCATTAATAATTTTAAATTTCGTAAAATTATTTTATTAATTTGTAAATATAATAGATAAATAAAAATTCATGAAAGATATTACTTATTTTCGGTTTTCCTTAAATTTAATTGTTTTGACGCCATGATAATTTCGTTTTGCGATAGATTATATGTACGCCCAGTAGCCGTTGATGGGTTAACTATTGTTAAAATATTATTTTTTGGTATGTAAAGGAGATCTTGTGCCGCTGGATAAACAAAAGAATTTGCTGGTCCTTTAGGATGAAGAAAATTTATTTCATCTCTAATTACATTTACCTCTTGTACAAATCCTAACCACCAATCGTTATCATACACACATGTTACATATCCTCTAATCTCATCGATTAACAGATCCTCAATCAAAAGATCTTCACGTTGATATATTATATTCTTCACAACAAATGTCTGCGAATTAGAATATACTTTAGTTTTGAGCTTAGTTAAACCAATAGGAAACACTGCGTGAATTTTTTGTGTCCCAGGTATTGAGATAGCTTTACTAAACCTCTCACGTAGCCTCATCTCTTCTTCCTCATACTCTGGTATGGTGGCATAAGAAAAATTTATACCTTTTATATGCTCTTCCGCATATTTATGTAAAGGTGTAATTATTTGATCAGTATAAGGTCTTTGTAAGCTTGCCTTGGCAACTAACCTTTTTAATATGCCGTCGCAGGCACTTTTACCATGTGCCGTAGAAAAAAAATGCCATTCTGCTTGGACACCAAAATCGATTTCATGGTAACAAACATTGATGAAGTTTTTCCTATTTTTATATTGAGCTGCTGAACCATCAGAAAAGTAGTAAATTTTTTCTGGTGGAGTGTCGAATTTATTTTTTAAAAAATTAATCAAATGCGATTGGAATAAATGGAATGAAACAGTATTATGAATTAAGGATTCCGATATTACCACAAAACTTAGGTTGTTAATTAGATTGCCTATTTTATAATAAATTGAGAATGGATGCAGCGTAGCTTGCGAAGTTGTCCAATGATAACCCTGAACTTCGTCTTGGACAATAAAGGAATAATTTTCTGAAAAGTCACAAATAATTAGATAGTGATTATTTTCTAAACTATTTTTAAGGTTATTGTGAAATGAACTTTGTTGTTCACAAATAAATGAATGGCATATGAGAATATTCATTTTATCGAAAAAATAATTAATAAATTCGTCTGAAGATTGAGAAATAGTCTCCAGAGTTGTTCTATCAACCGAAACTCATTGTTTAGACGTAATAAGAGCTATATCATTTTTTATAAATAATTTTTCAATGCGTTCTTTTAAGAGTGTCGAGCCAGGAGACCCTGTGAAATGAACTTTGTTGTTCACAAATAAATGAATGGCATATGAGAATATTCATTTTATCGAAAAAATAATTAATAAATTCGTCTGAAGATTGAGAAATAGTCTCCAGAGTTGTTCTATCAACCGAAACTCATTGTTTAGACGTAATAAGAGCTATATTTTTTATAAATAATTTTTCAATGCGTTCTTTTAAGAGTGTCGAGCCAGGACACTTGCTACAGTCACCAAAATAAGGTTAATGATGCTTACTACCAAGTGAATGTATGGAAATATTCTAAATACCAACCTAATTTGCTAAATACCGACCAAAATTTATTAAAATGTAATAAGATCCTTATTATTTAATATATTAATACGGAATCACGTGGTCGAGTCCGGCCTCCTATATATTATCCCCCCAAGGATGGAACCACCAAGTTAGAATAAGAAAAAAAACATGATCATTGCCGGGATTCGAACCCGGGACCATGGGATAAGTAAACCAAGCTCTTGCCTACTAGGCCATAGAGGCTTTCCAAAAATCACGATTTTTCAAATATATATTATAAATATATTTGGTAGTGCCTATCCAAATGAAAAATGAACAAAATTCAAATTTGATAGATGGTACCTTAAGGTACCAAGCATCATTAACCCCAAAATAACAGGTTGGTAATGGGGGGTTGCAAATCATTCTGCCTCTAACATCTCTATAAGTTGTTAATATATCCTCACCATTTTTAGTCAATGTTGCTAATTCACAGCCTAAAATCATTAGTTTAATATTCTGGTGTATGCTACAAACGCATACACTATGTGTTCCGCTAGCCCCTGCCAATATGCAATTTTTTGGTCTTAAGCTTGCTAATTTCGAAAATCCAATTGTTATGCTTGAATTACTCTCCTTAAAATGATTATATAATTCTTTTAAATTATTAAGAACTAGCCTTTTTTGAGCGTTCACTCGTTCCCCCTTTTCAATGATAGATATGCAATCTTTTTTTCCTGGTAATACCCTGCTAACTTCATTACTGCAAAAAAAACTTTTAACAATATCAACTGTTTTTTGATTGAGATATTTTGCAGGCTTTCGATTTGGAGTTGAAAGAATCCCCTTTTCTTCTAAAATGATTTTGGAATTATATTCCATATGATATGTAGCGTTAAATTCCGTTTTTATTTTATTTGCACTCCAATTAGGAGGCAGAATGGTCAGCAATTGATATTTTTTATTTTTAGATAAATTAGGATAATGTAATTTCATATTGTTGAGTATATCATTATTGTCTTTTGTGTCCGATTCTGGATTGTTAATTATTATATCTGAAAGAGCTTTTGATATTTTTGCTATCTTTTTTTTGGATAATTTTTTTCAGTTAGTTTTTTTTTCTTAATAGGAGATATTCCAATTTCGTCTAAGGTTAAATTGATTGAATCTATTGATGCGGATGCTGTGGGGATATTATTTACATATTCGCTATCAGAATTTATATTTTCAATTTTTTTTGTGATAAACGCTTACGACATTTATCACAAATATAGTGTTCCGCCTCAATGTTTTGAAATTATGTCATCCACATCCACGTCGTGACTTTACGCAGGTTCTTTTTACAATTAAAGTGTTTAGATTCTTTAAAAGGATTTGCACATTTATATTTATACATTATAAATAATTTTAAGAAAAAATTAATATTGAAAATATTTGTAAAATAAAAATTAATTAATATCAAGGCAGGTGCGGGAAAACTTGCTTTATATAGGAATTGTAACTATCTTTTTAGGAAATTAATCATTTATTATAAAAACTAATAATTTTTACAAGTTATCAATAAAGTAATAATAATAATAAATAAGTCTATCAAATGATCTAAATAATATATTCTCATAATATTAATGCTGGAAAATCTTATTATTTATGTTTAAAATGGAAAAAAGTTTAAAAAAAATAATAATTTTAACAAAACGCGTAATTTTATAAAGGAGCGCCATCTATTTTTGAAAATAATATTTATTTTTTGATTTTTTAAATCGCAATAACTAAAAAACCCATGGCTGTCCCAAGTTTAAATTTTTTTTATGAATAGATATAAGGTTAGAGAATAAGAAAATATTAAATTCAAAAAAATTTGGAAAGCGAAACACTTGGAGTTTTCATGTTTAAAATTTATAACTTAAATAAAAACCGCAACAATATTATTTTGAAAAAATTTTTAATATTCAATAAAAGGCCCTTAATAAAGTTATAAATTGACATATAACTTATATTTTTAAAATCATTATTTTTTAACTTATCTCAATTTTAAAAAATCGCATTTTTCGAAAAAACGTCATTTTTGGCACTTTTGACCATTGATATCTCAGGAACTATGAGTACTAAGAGGCTAAAATTTTGGATTCGATGCTTTCTAATGATATTCTCTCAGTATACAAAATTTTATCGAAATTAAAAAGGTCGAGCCGAAAAGTTATCGATTTGGTATGGAATTACCCAGTATTAATAATATATTTTTTATAATTCATATCTAAATTTTTAGAATATTTACCAAAACAATCAAATAAAGGAATATCATGGCACAAAATACTAATGATATAATTAATAAAATTAAATATAATATTTATTCTTTTAGAAATACAAATAATAATTTAAAATCTGAAATATGGGCTAAATTTAACATCATCATAGATGAAAATAAAAAAAACATTGGCTACGTACAATGTAAGAATTGTTCAAGTATATTATCTTATAATTATAAACATGGTACATCACATCTAAAAAGACATAAATGTGATGGTAAATCCATGAAAATTAATAATTTTTTTACACCTGAAAAACCAACCTATGAATGTAATATAAAATATTTAAAAATTATAAAATAAATTATATTAATATTGTGCAATTAGATTATATTTTCAAAATACTATTTATTATACATGCATTTTTTTAAATAGCGATTTATTTTTATTTTATAAAATAAATAGTAAATTAAATACAATATATTATATTCTCAAAATATTTTCCATTTTTATAAATTAAATATTAGTTTTATTTTTTTTAAATGCAATATAAAATATAGTATATGCTCAAAATATTATTACCATTTTTATGAATATTAGTTTTATTTTTATAGTAAATGCAAAAAATATAGTTATAAGCTCAAAATATCCATTTTTATAAATAACAGTTTTATAATTTTTATAAATTCAATATAATATTCTCAAAATATTAGCTTTTTTATGTATTTTTTAAATAATAAGCGATAATGCTCGCTGAAAAATTTGGTAAAATACCTCATAGGTGAATATTTTTTATTCCAGGTCGAATATAATTTTAAAAAATCCGAGCCGGGCCTGAATTTTTTTTTTAAATATCCGGGCCGGGCCTTAAATTTTTAAATCCGGGCCGGGCCGTAAAAAATTTTTTTTAAATTTATCCGGGCCGGGCCTTAAATCTATAAATCCGGGCCGGGCCGTAAAAAAATTTTTTAAAAAATATCCGGGCCGGGCCTAAAAAATTTAAAACCGGGCCGGGCCGTGAAAATGGTGCCTCTGCAGGTCTCTGATATATACATTATAATATTTTAGCTTTACTCATGATTAATTTTACTATTACATATACACGTATATTTATAACGGTAATAGGAAAAAAAAACCCCGGAAAATAAACCCCCAGGAAAATAAACCCCTTGGGATTATTTTTATACACTCTCATATTTAAGTATATCTAGCAATAATTTATATTGAATTGGTATTTAGACAATTGCAAGTTAATAATTTGTTAAAAATATTATTGTTCAGCAACTAGTTAAATGAACAGATATTAAAATGTATTATGATCATTAAGTTTTAAAATGTATTTTTAATCAAAAGAATAAAAATTGTTTATAAATTAAAAAAGCTATAATTGGTATTTAGACAATTGCAAGTTAATAATTTGTTAAAAATATTATTGTTCAGCAACTAGTTAAATGAACAGATATTTTCCCAGTACCAATTTAAACATCAGTTTTTCTTATTTAAGCATTTTTTTATGAAGAGTAGGCCAAATAAAAATATACCTATATTATTAGGTCTTAAGTAAATTCTATAAAAATGAAAAAAAATTCTTGGGGAATTTTTTTCCGGGGGTTTATTTTACGGGGTTTTTTTCCGGGATTCGTTTATAACAATATATAATAACAAAATTACGATTCGTATATAAAATATTATAATATTTATTTCATATCATTTCCAACACAATTATCAGAATTAAAAGTATTCAAATTATCTAAAAAAATTTTAAAAAATGTAATGAATGAATGTATGCAAAATTTCTTTTTTCCAGGTTTAATTTGGTTTTCCTGCTTTACTAAACGTTACCTCATATATTACCATATATGAATATATAAAAGAAACTCTATATGACCTTAAAGGTTTAGCAAAAGGATCCTCATTTCTCGGTTCAAACCCGAATCGGGGCGGTTTGAGAACTGAACTGCGATTGCTTGGACTTTATAATAATTTCCATAGTTAGGTCGATAAATTTTTTTTATATTATTAGCTTTCAATACTCATCAGATTAAATATAAAAAATCTAACCAAATCAGGATAACTCGTTAGCAAAGATTTTTTAAATAGCAATCTCTCAATTGATAGAGGAATTTGTTATAAAATCTCTAATAATTAAGTGCCAAAGTGTTTTTACGGCGGGAAAATAAAATTCAAATAAATTTTTAAAATAGTTATTTTGTGAATTTTTATATAGTTAACATCATACTTTATTTAAAATGGAATCATTATGATTTTTGAGCTGGCTCTCGTCGTTCCCTTTATCGTCAGGATTATGTAAAGCAGCGCGCTTTTTACTATCTTCAGTATTTATTTTCATATCAATATTTGGGAATTCTGTAGCTTCTTCGTTAAATTCTATATCCTTTATGTCAATGTGAGAAGATCCAGATGGGTTCAAATATATTCCGGTAATAATATGCGCTGCTGAATCTGTTATTATCAGTCAAATATATAATCAATTATAAATGATATATATACAATTCTGAATGTTATTTATCATCCCTCTAAACATATTTCCTTGTCTTAAATACGCGTTTTGGATTTTAGACACTCGTTTAAACAAAAAAGTTATATAATATATATCGACTAAGTAATAACTAAATTGTATATCTTCTTAATGTTGTAATATTCAGATGAATATTTTTAAACGAAAAATGTCTTATTCAAATTAGAAGAATTATTACGATATTATTTTACTTTTTGTTACTTTTAGTTTATTTTAATTTTATTTTTAAATTTTTTTTACTATAATCTTTATATAATATTAATTTAATATATATTTACTTTATAATTAATGTAGATGAATAAAAAAATAAAATATGTTACAATCTTCATACACTTATTTATTCAACTATTTTCTACAAGTTGTTCTCACACTCTCAATTTAATACTTAAAACAGATTTCAGGTAGTCATAGCGTTTTAATCTCAGATCGAATTTTTTGAGATCATACAATTTAATGTAGAGTTGGTTGTTATAGTTGATTTGTTTTTTTTGATGATATGGGAAGCATTTTAATTGGATTTCATCCATCGTAAGCAATATTGCAGTAGTGTGAACTATACGCAAAAAAACCAAGGGTGTAGCAACATGGGATAAAAAATAACAATAAAGTTTTAAGGCCCTATCGGCTGATCAAAGAGATGATCTGATGCTCTGCAGTGCCAAATATAATCATTTTATGAATTTTAGTCTTTTGGGATTCCTGAATATTTTTAACGAATCCAAGTTCTTGTTCGATTAAATATTGGGCATCAATTTTTACTGGCCTTATGAAAATTATAAAGCACATGGAATCTCAAAATTCTCATATCATAGTGTTGTTAAACGGCTTGTTTTGAGCCGATTTTTAAAAACTGCTAACTCAATATTTCATCCAGAATAATAATACTCAAGCCCGAAAATTTTGTTCGTAAAAGGAATAAAGGTTTAGACAACTATTAGCGAAATTTTGAGGATTAGGCAATATTTTTCTGGCGAAAATATTGAGTTAGCCGTTTTTAAAAATCGGCTCAAAACGAGCCTTTAACAACATTACTCATATCATCAGATAACAAACTCGAAATTAAATTGTATGATTTCAACAAAGATCTGTTCCATCTGTGTTTAGGAAGATAATAAAATTTAGTTATTATTTAGTAAATATATTATATACGGTTTTTATTTTAAACGAGTGGCATTCTAAAATCTAAAACATATAAATGTGTATTTAAATTTTTTTCTTTTTCTACCCCTTTTTTATATCACGTTTATTTTTGTGCTAAAATAATTAAGATTTATACAACTATGATTATGAATGAATTATAGAAACAATATAGAATATGCGCGAATTTTATAATAATAGTTAAGAAATTTAATCATTTTTCCTTTTTTTTACTTATGTACAAAATTTTTTTTATAAGGAGCTGTTTTTCAAAAAATTTAAAAGTAATGGATGAATCTATCTTTCTATATTCCTATTTATTAAATCCTAATAAATTACATATTAAAAAAGGAACATAGTTTTGTGCCATTACAATGACCATCAAAGGCTTTGATTTTTTGACACAAATATTTGTACTCCTATGATATGAGGGTTAAATAACATTATAAGAAACAAACCTTTATTATATTTTTTATCTATCTTGTTAGCTAATCGATTTGATGCGGAACTGTTGAGAGTTTCCTTTATATTAAAATAATTCTCGTTATTAATATGACATAAACTAAGCATAATCTCAAGATACAGAAAATTCCCCACCTATAAAAATACTCCTGTCTCTAACAATTTTTTTTATAATAGGTTTTTTAAAATATTTTTCACTACTAAAGATTTTTAAAAAAAATTTTTATTCTTATAAAAATCAATTAAAATAGAGAAGTATAAAATAAATGATGTTTACAAGAATACCGGGGGGGGGGGGCAAATTTTATTAAAAAATATCATGAATGCTTATAAATATGAAAAAAATCATTTGTATCCTTAATATTCAAGTATTATCAGTTTTCTAATAATTTTGTGTTTCAATCAACTTGCTTTATACTAGGGATGTGAGCCCGAGCGTGAACTCTCGTGTTTTTGGTGAACCCGTATCTTTTTTTCTAAAGTTGAGGGTTTCAAAAGTGTTCCAAAAAATAATTTCTTAAAATAATGCTTGTAAACGTTCGTTTTTTATGTTCGTTTCAATTTTAAAAAATCCTATTATTTTTATTCGTTTTATATAAAAATATTAATTTAATAATAATCCATACTTTTTTTAAAAAATGGGTTAATTTTTAAGTGAGCTGTTTCTTTTATATCATATTTGAATGTTTTAACCAACCACTAATTATGTCCTATATTTGGGTCTAAAAATCGACTAGACCAGCTCTGAGCACGAACAGACCCGAGGTCCAGACCTGGGATTCAGATGAATAATGTTATTACAAATACTTTAAATAAAAAATATTTACCAAAAATATAGAAACAGCAAAATGCAATGGCATTTTCTGAGGTTAGATAGTAAAGCTCTGGAAGCAACTCAGCTTGGGGTTAAAAAATTTTAATCGGGAGTACTTAGCGTCTTAAAAATACCAAAAAACAAGGATTTAAATGAGTTACTATGTTGGTTAGCTGAGCGATTATTCCCAGCTATACCATCTTAGTTCAGAATTAGATATGAACTTTCTGGCCGAATTTATTTAATTTCATCGCTATTTTTTTAACAGGTATTGATTTTTTTTTATATTTTAGAAATGTATGTTAGACATACACTAGATAACATTAGTTCATAAATTCGACAAGATTGAGCTTAAATGTGATATTTAAAACACCTTTGGATAGTTTTTATTTAGAGAGGGGGGAGAGGTTGGTTATAAACAAGCTTTTGTCCTGCCTATTTTGAAGCCAAAATATTATAATCTTTAATTTACACTTTTTATAAATTTTTGTAATTGCTATAATTGGGTAATGGCTAAATACAAGCTAACTCGGCTCAATCTTGAGGCGCTTTCCGAAGAAAATCCGTTAACATTGAGGCGTTTTATATATATTATTTTCCTGCAAATTTGAGCCTCTATCTTTTTAAGAATAACCCCGAAAAGCCAGAGTGATAGTTTAGGGCTAAAACACTTGGTCTAGCCGATTTTTTAGCCGGCTAAAAATATAATGTTTTTCTCAATATTCACTTTTCAGGAAAATGTTTTATTTTAATTATTTTTGTAAACAAAATATTATCTCAATGCGTTTTATTTTTAATTTAATCGCCAACATGATGTTATATTAACATCACATTCACAACACTGAAGAATAATAATTAATAAACTTTACTTCAAAAATATAAAAAAATGGAAATTTTATTATTAATAACTCATTTTTAAAATAATAGGAAAGTTAAATTTAATAAAAAAAAATTTCTTTATAAATAAATAAAAAAATAATAATTATTAAAAAACTTCAAAAATATATTTAAAAAACGCATGTTGATTGTTGAGGAAAATCATGGCAAATTAACATGCATTTTTTATATTTCTGAAGTTGTTTATTTATTAATTTTTTTTTTAAATTTATTTATATCATTTTTTTTATTAAATTTAACTTTCACTATAATTTTAAAAATGAATTATAAATAATAAAATTTCCGTTATTTTATATTTTAAAGTGAAGTTTATTAAATTTTTCAATATTGTGCATGTGAGGATTTAATATAACATCATGTTGACGACTAAATTAAAAATAAAACCCATTCAGATAAAAATATTTTGTTTACAATAATATTTAGAACATATATACTTCTAAAAACTTGAAGGTGAATGATTACTTTTTAAAAAAATTTATTTTAATTTTAAACTTCTTCAAACAAATATATTTTTAGCCGGCTATAAATACCGATATGATTAAATACTGCATTCCTAAAATGCATTGATTAAAATCAATTAATCATTCAATCAAAATTGATAACATAATCTTTTTTTAAAATAATTTTCAGAAACATTTTATTTAATATAACATAAATCAAAATATCAAATAATTTTTAATTCTATTTTTACTTAATATATTTGTAAAAAAAAATATTTACTAGATTATTGCCACTCAAATCTTATTTTCATTTTTTAAATTTAGCAAATATATATCCACAAGAGGGCGTTAAATGCATAAATATGAAAATTTCATCTTAGGAAACCAGAATAATTATTGGTTAGTGCTTTTTTATATTTAGGTGTAAATACATGTGTAAAACCTAAAAAAATTTTAAAAAAAATATTTGATATTTAATTAATGAGTATGGTTAGAATCGAAAAATAATAGAAAACTTGTAAGACACATATTGATGTCGTTATTGACCAAATTCTCTTCATTTTTATTTATTAAGCGTACATTTAGAGGTTAAGCATTATCCTAAAAAATATTTTGAAAATATTATGATTTGTCCGAATGCCGAGCTCAAAAAAGAGCTGGCAAGGAGCCTGATAGAAGAAATACTCGCGGGACAATTAATATTCGTCAAATCTATTGTGAAAAGATCTTAAATATCCCAAGAGAAAAATTATATTTCCTAGATGAAACAGGAATAAACTTGCATGTTGTACCAATCTAGGCCTGGGCGCCATACAATGCCAATCCAATAATAAAAATCACATCCTCTAAGGGCAAAAATGTAAGCATACTTTGTACAATTGGAATTGCAGGGGTAATCCATTATAAAATAAACGAAGGAGCTTATAATGAGTTATTATACCGTGATTTTATGACAGAGCTACCAGTGTCTTACCACCATATGCAATTATTGTAATGGATAATGTATCTATCCATAGAAACCATCTTATCGATTCTTATAAAGATAAGATTGAATACTTCTGAACTAGGACATATATGTACAATATATAAATTTCATCTTTAACAAATGTAAAATGCGTCCAAAAAGTTAATACCAGGTTCAAAATCAAGTTCTAATTAGAGATACTTGATTCTAATATTTATTATTATATATAATATAACTATAAGTATCCTGTTAATAATTTATTTTATATTGTTGTATTCGATAGGCTTATTAAATTATTATGATCAAATATCATTAAATATTAATGTAGAAAATATTCTTTAAAATTCATTTATTTTTAGTAGTGTTGTAAACGAACGCGTTCAAAATGAATTACATATTTTAGAAAAAAATGATGAACGGCGTTCCTATTATTTTTGACGAACTTTGAACGTGAACGCGTTCCTTTTTTATGACGAACGCATTCGAATTTAACGTTCGTTCAATTTTAAAAATATTTTTATTTATTTGAAAAATTTAATATTTCCGAATTTTTTTTTAAAAAGTATTATTTATTTTTTAATCGGCAGTGTATTTACTTTTCACATTTCAATTTTTTTAACACATAGTTTATTAATTTGAATATTATTGTTTATATTTTAATTTAATAGATTAGCATAAGCATGGATATTATTATTTAATCCTCATCATCTGATTCTGAATCCAAAATCAGATGAATTCTCATTACTATAGCCAAATATGATAAATGTTTTACATTAACATCCTATATTGAAGGAACTAATCCAATGCTTACCAAGTGTAAAATGTGGCCAAAAAGTATTATATTGTCAAAATCTTCAGATTCCAATTTAAAATGACATTTGATTTTAATATTGATTACTTGATTTTATATGATATAACTAAGTTAAATCATTAAATTTGAAGAAATAATGCATTTGGGATATTTGACCACAACAATAGCGATAGTTATTTTAAAATTAAAAAAATTAGTGGCCTCAAATGGTCAACCATTGATAGACGCCGTATTAAATGGGATTAATAAAAGGTATTAAACCTATCACTCTCAATTATTACATATATTTTATTTTTCTAAAAATTTGAACATATATATAAAGATCAATATGTTCTTTCTGCAAATATACATCCAGCATTCAAACTCCAATGGCCCAGAATGAACCTATTAAAAATAAACGTATAGCGTTATTGAAAAAAATGCTTTGAAAACCCTAGAGAACTGTTAATTTCGAGATATCCTTTTTGTTTGTCGAGAGTAGAGAATGGATTGGAGGAGGATAACTTATCTCAATTTTTTGCAAATAACAAAACAATATGTTTTTAATTAATTCTCCACGTTAAAAGAGCTGTTTATTAAGTATAATACCGCAATCCCCTCACCTGCCCCTGTAGAGCGTATAGGCTAACGCCGTATTAACTGCCAAGTGTTCCTGTCTATCAGATAAATATTTTGAAAACAATTGTTATTAAAATTTAATAAGAAAATTTTTTTATAAATAAAAATATCTTTTTATTCGCTATATTATTACATTTTATTTTTAATTATATTATCAAAATAAAACTATATTATTATTTAACATGGCTAAAATATTGTATTAAAAAATATAAGTTTATTTATATTAAATTAAATTTATCATAAAATTTTTTTTTTGAACATGAACTTAAACGTGAACGCGTTTGATTTTTGTCAATGAACGTTGAACGCGTTCGATTTTTTTAGAAATGTTTACAGCACTAATTTTTAGTGGTTATTTGAAATTTCCCTATTATTTTTAAGTTTCTAACAAGGGTTTTATATTTTAATAGTTGAACACAATTTGAAGTGATAATTTATATATTTTTATAAATAATTATTTTTTAAGAATTTTTTTAATAATTAATCTTATATTTTTTTATTTATTTAAACCAAGGTTGTGTATTTGACCGGTCAAATATTATAAAATTCACATTATGATTAATATTATCTTTATTTTGTATATAATAGTAAAATGAAATCTATAAATTTTATAATATTTTTATTCATTGTCATTCAATAACTTAGTTTCGCTCTCTATGGCAGAGTCTTATTCTGATTCATATTCAATTTTATCATTTTCTTTAATATTTTTAAATCAATTTACCTGTTGTCGAGTCAATCGATTTTATTTATAGTAAGAATATTAACCCAAATTGATAAATTTTTTTCAGAAGAAGTCGAAATCGGAATTTTTTTAGTAAAATGCCCCTTCTATTAATGGGCATGATGAGCAAAATCCATTCCACTAATTTGAGGCAGGAATCTGATTGTTTCGTATGGGAGTTACTCCCTTCTACATAATTTGCAAATAAACATTCCGCCTCTCATAAATTTATATCACTTGAAATATTTTGAACATCAGTTTGTAAATTGCCTAATTCTTGCACTAATATCACATACTTTATTAAATTTACTACTAGTAAGATGCTCCCCTTGATATTGGGGATCTCAATAAATTAACGGCATTGTCATCAAATGTATTTATATCGTTTTTCCTTTATTAACATATTTTTAATTCTTCAGATTTTTTTATCAAATATTCCTCCGGTCAATTAACTGAATTTGACCGGTCAATTGACCGATTAGCCAACCCTGCTCAGAACATTAATTTAAAACATGGCTAGTATTTTGTGTTAAAAAAAATGTAGTGGTAATTATTTATATTAAATTAAATATTAAATCAAATTAAAAAACAATATATTTATTCATAAAGTTTTGAACTAAACGCGTTCACGTTCTTTTTTAAAAGTGAAGGTTGAGCGTCAACGTGTTTGATTTTTGTCAAATGAACGTTTAACGCCTTCGATTTGTTTTTTTAGAAATATTTACAGCACTATATAAATAAATTTATGAAAAGTAAATAAAAAAAATATATTTCACATTATTCAAAATTTTCAATTCTTTGCATTTTGTTGGTTAAATTTTATTGTCAATCATAATTTAATGAGCTATAAATAGAAATATATTCACTTATCTTTTTATATCCATTTTAAGAAGGTAAAATATTGAGAAAAACATTCAATCAAATAAAACTTTTACTAGATATAAAGTTAGAGCAATTAAGCTCCTTGAAATAAATATTGTTACTCCAAACCCTGAACCCGAAACCTTTTTAAATTTTTTATCTCTGAACCTTAACTCTGACCCAACCCCTTTTTTGTATAAAGGGTTCACATCTCTGATTTATACAATAGAAATGATAAAAGTCATCGGACCTTTTATTTTTGGAATCAATGTTGAAATTTTAATTTAAAAAAAAAATTAAATTTTTTTTACTCTATTTATATTATCACTATATAAATCCATAGTAAACTTTTCAACCAACCGTTCTTTACCTTCCAAATCGCTAACCATACCGCAGAGAGTGACCTAGAATGTTAAGGTATTAATAATGAATGAATAATTATGATGATGAAGATGATGAAATGTGACAAACTTAAGTAGGAAATGAAAAAGGGTTTAATTATTTTTTTATAATAATTCAATGTGTAAAGTTTATAATATAAAACATAATACTTGAGATATTTTTCCATCTATTTCCTTTAAAATTGTTCTAACACCAACTGGAGCTGAACACCCACCTTGCTTAGAAAATAAATAATAAATTATTTAATTAAGAAAATTTATATTAGAAGCCCTGCACTGTCACTAGGTAGGTCCAAACCAAAATTTGTTTTATTTTACCCTGAAAGGATCGATAAACTGTTTCTTTTTAAATTTTTGACCGTATAAATACGTTTAAACTTACGATAATAATAATAGCTCTAAGATTATTAAATATATAAAAATGGATAAGTGCTGATAATTCAGAAATACTTGCCTTTTGTCTAAATCGATCAAAATAATTTTCTGGTTAAATCCTTTTTTTATAACTATATGTATTTTTCTTTAAATATTTCTAATAAATTTTTAACAGAAATTAAAATCATTCTATAATACCTTTAGAAATTAATTAGAATATAAAATCATCATTTTTTTTAATTTCAAGATTTCATGACTGGGTCGGCGAACTGAACTCAAAATATTATGGGCGGGTGTGGATCAAAAATCTAACATCTTAATTGAGACCTTTAAAAACAGGCCCAATGCAGAACTATAATTTAGATAATAAAGTTTCATAAATCAAAAAATTGTATAAATAAAATTTTATTTAAATATGTTGATTCTCAACACATTGTCATCTCAATGCTGGAGTGAACACAGAAACATCTTTAAAAGCTAATTGAGATTATATTTTTCAATTTAGATAATACAAGAGCAATATTGTTAAAATTTTGAAAAGTAACTAGCTAATAAATTACATTTAAAAAATAAAATATTTACCACTCTATATATTATTTTCATAACTCTTCATATCTATGATATAACTTTATAATTAAAAGTAAATTAAAATACAATTTAGATGGTTATAATTACTTAAATATAAAAAAACATTGAACAAGAAAAATTTAATTAAAGATATTACTGAACTGGGGATACCACAATTTAGTACTCATTTGCACTGTAAAAAAAATGTCACAATATAATATTTATTTCCACCTGAAGAAAAAATATTATAAATATATAAACAAGATAATGTAATATTTTTTTTCAAAAAAATTGGACTTGATATAATTTTTATTTGACTGTAATAATAAACTATTTTCAAAATTGATATCTAAAAAGATGTACTAGTTTTCTTTCTTAAAAAGTAGGCTTTCCTAGACTAAAGAAAAACATTCTTCAAAAGAGTTTGATCAATATATTTATTAAAAATTTAAAATCAGATAATGAATAAAACATATATTAATCAGATCAGGCAAATCCGGATTGATAAGTAGTATGATTTTAAAAATCTAGGTCGAGCCAATGCAACAACAAATAAACGAATTCAGCTTCGATTGATTTTTGGAAAAATTAATTTAAATTATACCAATTAATCAGCTTGAGCATCATTTAATAGAGCGTTTAATATTTTATTTCCTTCATATTTTCCATTTCCGTTTGGCAACATTTTTGCAAATTATTCAAAAATAAACATGTTTTCAAAAATTAAAATCCAGACAAAAATTTTTTTTTTAAATAAAACTATTTTTTTTAAATCTGGGCCAGGGCCTGCAATTTCTAACTCTAAATGTCTTTGATATGTATATTTAAGATCTTTTTTAAAAAAATTAAGTAGTTATTTTTATTATGGTTATTTAACAAAAATGTAACTAGTTACTTTAATAACATTAAAAAGTAGTAAATACATTTTGATGTTAAGAATGAATCTATAATATATTTGATTACATATTCTTTTTGGACATCAGATTTGTCCAAAATAATTCACTCCAAAACTGAGGTGACAAAAATGGGTAAATTATGTGTATTTAAATTTTTACAATAGTTTTTAGAAAGGTTCTTTCAGCCAATATTTGGACAATAGTAGAGATATGATTTAAAGGAGCTAGCAGACTTAAAATATCTATTCTAGATTCTAAACATTCGACAGCCAAAACTCCTTGTCCAACTGCGTAATAATAATTTTTATCATCTAGTACCTAATTTTATATAAGAAATAGTGCCAAAAAACAATTTGTCACATAAAATTTAAATATAATTATTATTAGAAAAATTACTTTTAAATAATATTATTACATAAATTAATGCATTAAAAAGTAACTGCACTAACTTTATTGCCATTTTTCAAAATTTTTAAATGTAAATATATCTACTGAATGGTTTTTTATAATCTAAAAAAATTAACTTAAATGCTGATATTACAAGATCATATTGGAAGAGGCCTAATATAAATAGAATTTTAAAACTTGTGCAATCTTGTCCTCCCAATTCAATCTCTGCAAGCCAGCAGAGGCTAATATAATAGCATCAAATTGTCCTTCATCTAATTTTCTTATCCTTGTGTTGATATTACCTCTCTTTATATAATTTTTTTTTTTTTTAAATTTGTTGTATGTAAATTTATATTATGATATCTTATAAATAATATCTTTTAAAATTATTCCAAATACAATTTACTATATCTTTAACAATAAGGTGTGGATATGTATGCCTAATTTGAGCCATTCTTCTAAGTGAACTAGTTCCTATAATACTGAATAATATTAATATTTTAAGAAAATATAACTTAATAACCTATTGTTTGGTAGTAATTCAATATTTTTAATTGAATGCTTTTGTGTGTTGATGATAACAACATCTTCAGAACAAACTCTTCTATTTAATTAATATAATGTATATACCATACAATTTTATATATTTAATTATTATAAACTTTAATATAGCCCCAATAACTAATTTAGATGGTAAAGTTGTAGGTAAGTCTTTTAATGAATGCACTACAATATCAATTTGATGAAGTTCCAAGGCAACTTCTAGTTCTCTGGTGAATAGTGCCTTTTCTCCAATCTAATATAGTTTAAAAATTTAACATCATAGTAAACTAAAACTTTTGGTAAAGGTATGTCAAGGATATTATCGCCTATTGTGTCGATTTTAACTTTAACAATTTTATACAAAATTATATACATGTAAATTATACCTATCTCACATTCAAAAGAACATATTTTCGTTAATTCCTTAATCACGTATTCAGTTTGTACTAAGGCTAGCTATTTTTTGAATATAAATAAAATAATTTAAAGTAAACTTGACTTCTTCGGGTACCCACTCTTAATTTTTTTATTCCCATAAATTACCATATGTTTTATTTTAGGTTATGGAATGCTTCCTATAGAAATATTCATGCTAGAAAGTAATATTAAAGATTGAAATATTTATTTTTGACGGTGAAAAATCTGAAGTGATAGAACTGTATTGTATGGGTTGAATCAGGCAAATATTATTTTATTTTAATCATATTTGTTTACAGATTCTATGAACATTATATTTCAATATTGATAGTAATCATAATTTACACTAAAGAAATTATACTTAAAATCAGCCATCACTCACCTTTAAAGTAATTAAATTATACTGTATTTCTCGGGTATAGGCTTTTTTTTGCCCCATTCCTTTTTAAGCCTTAGAGATTTTGTACCTACAAATACGTGCGGCTTGCCCACAAACGTGTAGAGGGTTTCACATATTTTTACTTTTATACCCAAATTAAATTATTCCAATTAGATGGAAATGAGGAAAACCTAGCGTGGCTCTGTTGAACCTTCAACGCTAGAGGTAAGAAGCGCTATATATCACGTATCAGGTAAATATTTATTTAGAACCAAGCAATGACATATATTATTATATGTCATTGGAACCCTGGTACAAACAAATATTAAATTGTCACATATTTATTTAGTACTCCATTTTATAAATTATTTTATACTTTGATAAATTTATAAATGTTTAAATTTCTCGCAATCTTTATATAAACCCTATAAATCTCATAAAATATATTTTTATTTCTAAAGTTTTTCAGAAAGTTAATTAAATTTAATGCAATGCAGACAAACACACATTTTCAAATCACACTCATAACCTTTTACTATTCCCTACTCCATCTACCGCTTTATACTCCCTATAAAAATTAAAGTAAATTTTTTTTAGCCCCGTAAGATTGTAAAGGCTAGTGACGCCCCTGATTAATATATATATAACAAATAAAACTTTATTTACAACATATATATAGAGAGAGAAATTTAATCCTTATTTAAAAAGCAAATTATTAAAATAGAATTAAGTTCTCGCTTCTAATCGATTATATAATAGTCCTTAGCACATAACTACCACTCAGTATGAAGTTAATAGTGGAACTGTCGATAACCAAAGTCACTGGCCTTCAGCGAATATATTTGTATCTATATATTATAAACATATTTGGATGGAGTTCTAACCAATATATATAAAATTTTAATAAAGTGTAGGCTTCATCTCTGATCTAATAGCTAATGATTAATTACATTGTGGGTATTTGTGAGATGATTATCCAAATATAAGTTTTCAATAAATTTATTTAAATTTTTTTGCCTATGATTATTTCAATTTTATGAATATCAAGCATTTTCGAATATAATTTATCATCAGAAAACAGGCTAATTAAAATCTTACATATTTGACTGCAATGGGAATCAGATATAACTTAAATAAAAAATATATACTTTTTATTATGAGCAATTTTAAAATATTAATATGAATAAAAAAATTAACTGTGCCAGGGTTGCCAGGTCAAAATTTTTAAATTGCGGGAGAAATTTGGTATTTTGCGGGGGTAATATTAAAATTGTGGTAGAAATATAAAAGTTGTTAAAAATAAATTTTGCGGGCCTTCGGCCGGTATTTTGAATTGACTCAATTATCCATCCGCCTATTATCTTTTATAATTAGTTTATATAAATACAGTCGGTAACTATTTTTCAAAATAAAATAACATCTTGATTTATTAAAATATATTAATTTATAAAATAACCAACCATCCTTTTTAAATATAAAAGAATGTAAACAAGATAAAATTTTATAAAAAAACAAACGATTTTAATTTTACAATGTAAAAAATATATTTTATGCGAATGCGCAAAACATCCGCAATTGGAAATCTACCTTGTGTGTGTGTATAACATTATAGTGATAGGCGCTTAATTATCACGTATCACGTTTAAATACATAATTATGTAATATTGTACTCATTTCAATGATAATTATTTTATTTATTATTGTTCAATCACATTATTATGATCAGTGCAGGAGAGTGTATCTACATCCATTGCAAAACAAAAATATTCTCCAAAAATAAGAAATAATATAGATGCAACTACAGTTGCTATCATTACAATGTGCATAGAATCTTTCCACGTAATATTTAACGACTCCAAGATAAATGAAAACTTTACTTGTAGAACAAAAATGAGCAAATATATCATCAATGTTTTAGAACCTGAACTCAGGAGGTCAATTCTTGACGATTTGAAAGATCTGCATACATATGCAATTCTAACAGATGCATCTAATAAGGGAAATATTTAAATATTTACCTTGATCCTCTGCTATTTTAACAAAATTAAGGACGTGTCAAGGAAACGATTAAATTTTTTCCCCTAAATAGTGAAAAATTCAAAGGCATAGTTAACCATATAATGGTAAATATAGCAGATTCGGGATTATCAATAAATTGTATGTAAGCTTTCTGATCTGATAATGCCTCAGTGAATTTGGAAAAAACCAGAGTGTATTTACAGAATTGAGTCAGCACAATGTTGGTTGCGATATGTTCTTAAAATTTCATAAACCTTTAAAAATATATTTCTTAAATAAAAATTATAAAAGCTGTCCTAAAATTTCGAAATTATTTTTCCAATAATGAATGGCAGAGGTGTATTTAGGATTGATGTCACATGTAGGAAATCTACTACATGCTATTAATGTGCAGTTGCAATCAGAAGAATCTCAACAAAGTTCACAAAATTATGCTGCAGATGTGTTCTTCTTTACAGTTAAAAATTGACAATAAATTTTATGGCGCCATTGATAAAACTCATTGATGTCGTGTCTGAGGAGATTGTAATGCTCTCTATTTTTGATTTACAATGTAATAAATATATTTATTTTATGCGAATGTATAAATAAGATTTTAAAAATATAAAAAAAATATGGAAAATTAAATAATTATAATGTTAATTATATTTTATTTGAGATTTAAATAATGGAACTAAACGTTTACCGTCGTTAGTGAGATATTTATAAAATTCCTGGCATGACATATTATAAATATGTTTAACCATTAGCTCGGCCTCTAATGTTGTTAAAGCAATCCGATTTCTCTCCTTTTTCCAGGCAGTCCTCATCAGGCTAAAAATGCGCTCGGATGAGGCATTAGAATGAGGTAAGGAGAAGACACTTGCATATTTTTTCCAAGCATGGGGATTTATTGTTATTACTAGTGTTGTTAATCGGCTCAGCCGAGTCGGCTCGAACAGAGCTCACCCAAATTTTGGGTCGTTTTTTTCGACTCCAACTCAAAGTTTTGGTCGTTTTTTACGACTTCGACCAGAGTTCAAGCCGAAAAAAACGACTTCGACCCAAAATATGGGTCGTTTTTTTCGACTCCGACCCAAGTCCAAGCCGAAAAAAACGACCTCGACCCAAAATATGGGTCGTTTTTTACGACTCCGACTCAAAATTTGGGTCGTATTTTTCGACTCAAACTTGAAATTTGGGTCGTATTTTTCGACTTAAACTTGAAGTTTGGGTCATATTTTTCGACTCAAACTTGAAGTTTGGGTCGTATTTTTCGACTCAAACTTGAAGTTTGGGTCGTATTTTTCGACTCCAACTCAAAGTTTGGGTCGTTTTTCTGACTCAGACTCAAACATCGGGTCGTTTTATTCAATCCGACCCAAAATATGGATCTTTCTTTTTAAAGACGACTTGAAGTTAGGGTTGCTTTTTTTCACCCCTAACCCAATATCTAGATCATTTTTTTCGACCAAAAGTCAAATAACATTTAGTATATATTAATATTATAGGCGGGAAAGTTACTTAAAGCTTCTTTAAATTATAATGCTCTGATTAACTATTCATCATAGTTATATTTTAAAATTTTTAAGTGATGTACCATAGAAAAGTGCCATTTGTCATGATAATTATTTTTGAACTTTTTTAAATGAAATAGATAAAAATATATATTGTAGACATGTTAAATCAAAATTTCAGTGATGATGTACCATAGATAAGTGGTAATTGTCATAATCGCTATTTTTGAACTTTTTTGAGTTTTTTTAAAGCAAATTGCTAAAAATATATATTCTAAACATGTTAAATTAAAAATTCAGTGAGGATGTATCATAAGATAGGTGACAATTGTCATAATCGCTATTTTTGAACTTTTTTCAATTTTTTTAAAGGAAATAGCAAAAAATATATATTCTAACCATGTTAAATTAAAAATTCAGTGAGGATGTATCATAGATAGGTGACAATTGTCATAATCGCTATTTTTGAACTTTTTCAAATTTTTTTAAAGGAAACATCTTAAAATATATATTCTAAACATGTTAAATTTAAAATTCAGTGAGGATGTATCATATATAGGTGACAATTGTCATAATCGCTATTTTTGAACTTTTTCAAATTTTTTTAAAGGAAATATCTAAAAATATTTATTCTAAACATGTTAAATTAAAAATTCAGTGAGTATGTAACATAGATAGGTGACAATTGTCATAATCGCTATTTTTAAACTTTTTCAAATTTTTTTAAAGGAAATGGCTAAAAATATATATTCTAAACATGTTAAATTAAAAATTCAGTGAGGATGTATCATAGATAGGTGACAATTGTCAAAATCGCTATTTTTGAACTTTTTCAAATTTTTTTAAAGGAAATAGCTAAAAATATATATTCTAAACATGTTAAATTAAAATTTCAGTGAGGATGTATCATAGATAGGTGACAATTGTCATAATCGCTATTTTTGAACTTTTTTAAAGGAAATATCTAAAAATAAATATTCTAAACATGTTAAATTTAAAATTCAGTGAGGATGTATCATAGATAGGTGACAATTGTCATAATCACTATTTTTGAACTTTTTCAAATTTTTTTAAAGGAGATAGCTAAAAATATATATTCTAAACATGTTAAAGTCACCTATCTATGATACATATTCACTGAATTTTTAATTTAACATGTTTAGAATATATATTTTTAGATATTTCCTTTAAAAAAATTTGAAAAAGTTCAAAAATAGCGATTATGACAATTGTCATCTATATATGATACATCCTCACTGAATTTTAAATTTAATATGTTTAGAATATATATTT